GAACCCAACAAGAGCAAAGTGTACGTGAAGCCTTCAAATGCTACTTGACGATGTATTGTTCTAACCAATCAAATGTGGCAGATGCTTTGCATTGTAAAATAATAGCTTATTATCGTGAGTTATGTGGAAATTCATGCCCGTGAAATGAGTTTAAAATAGAGTTCTCTTGAAACATGGTGTTCTGACACAATATGCTGAATGCAAATGTATTGTAGTCCAACATGACTATTCCTGTTCACAACTGCATCCATCAAATGAGATAGGTTTTGATAAGCGGCTCTAGACTCTGCCCAAAACTGCGCTACAGGAATTGAATTTCATAGATCGTTCGATTTCTTTGCCACTCTGAAGCCTATGCATTTCATTCCCTTGGGAGTAAGGTATCGCCGAGTCTGCTCTGAATATGTGGTTGTGATAGCATCGACCAAAACGTACGCGCCTTCGTGAAACGAGACAATCAACTGACAAGGCGCTGAAGATTCCATTTGCGAAAAGAAAAATGTTATGCCTCAAGCTTTGCTGTAACTGGTACACAATTATATGGAATAATTTGCATGTACAGTTGAGAACCATTACTTCTCTAACCTCATTCAAATCTGAACTACGTAAAACGCTCAGTCAGTAATATTCCTGCAAATATGTCAGCATTTCCATTGTCTTCATTGATTAAATCTAAATCAATGCTGATCTACCGAGATGACAAACTTGGTTGCCATAGAAATAAGGAAGCCGGATGGCTATTTCCCGGTGTTTTCTCTCAAAAGGGTTTTCGCAGGGTTTTCGCACCTCCCACAATCAGCGAATCATTATAGTATAGGGCGTACCGCAGGTCTATTGCACCTACGTTTATATCATTCTCGATAATCTTCAGCGTCACTACAGCCTGTCCCAAAACAAATGCTGCAAGCAGAAACGGGCTCTGTGTCCTTGGAACATTGAATAATATTTCATGATGCTTATAATAATGTTAACACTAGGATATTCAGCTTTCAAATACTATTTGTTTTATCAATTTTGCTGTTGCCAAACCAGAGATATGGTCCGTTGAACACAAACACTCAAAAATCCATTTGTGCCACTTTCTACATTGTTAGGCCTAATAATGACATGACAAGACATGGCACCTGTTCAAATCCGACTTCAGTTGAGGTTCGCAATTCCAGAAGATATGTTTTATTATGATGATTTGGAGAGTGTGTTACAAATAATGAAAAGAACATTATAATATGAATAACAAAAGTGTTTCTTCACCTATTCATTACTAATTGTTTTTTTCTGCACAATCATATATGTGTATAATACTGGCAATACTGCTGTTTATAGTATCAACCTACGGAAAGTGGCACAAACTAATTTTTGAGTGTTTGTGTTCAACGGACCATATCTCTGGTTTGGCAACAGCAAAATTGATAAAACAAATAGCATTTGAAAGCTAAATATCCCAGGTTTAACATTATATAAGCATCATGAAACATTTTTCAATATTCCAAGGACACAGAGCCTGTTTCTGCGTGCAACATTTTTTGGGACAGGCTGTATATGGACCGGGCCCATAAAGAAGGCGAATAAGATGTCTATTTTTCTTTTTTGGCCAGATCAAAAAGTAAAATTGATCTCATCCAAACGCTTGGCATAAAAAGAAATTACGTTTGGCTCGCAGCCCGTGAATAATGCACATTTATAGTACCACTCACACAGGGACGTGCCAGTAATGAGATACCTCGAACCGACCATCAGACGCCTACTATAGTGACCGAACTTATAATATATCTCCATTTTGAAAGTCAAACGCCTCCATAAAATGAATGGCTTTGTAACCATATACCGATGAAAATCGATGTCCGAACTCTTATTGTGCAGAGTGCTCTTCATCAAAGATTTACGCATACGTACCGTGGATCCAATCGTCAGGTATCAAGTATCGGCGCATGCGCAGTCATTACGAAATAAATACAAATTATGAAACAAGTGAGCTCATAAATTCCATTTTGGTAAACCATTTTAAAAAACAACTCATTCTTCGGAAACCAAAGAGACACATATCAAAGATTCACCCCGCGTTATAATGTAACCGCATCCAATTTGGTGATCATGAGGCTATATCATTTTTCGGATCTTCTTTATGCAAGGTTGACAAAGATCCTTTTACACATCTGCGGCAGCGCTGTTTCGAAGCAATTATGTTGTCTTTGGGACGAACGGAAAAGGTATCCAGTTACCCTGCCCGTTGGAGTATCTTTAAGAAAGGTCCCGAACCCAGGTCGACGGGAGCGTTTCCGGGTTTTTTATCCGGTAGATTGACAGTCGAAACTCGATAGGTATCCCGAAGCAGAGTATGGTGCCATTGGCTTCATCATTGTACCCTATTCATCAAATAAACCTTTGGAGGAGGCATTTCGAAATCGGTGCACGGCATGTGTGATACAGACTGTCTGGCCAGGATGCGTGCGTCCTCGCGGCACACGGCATCTCAGGTCCCAGACAGGACCCAGGCATCTCTTGGAGAGAAACGAGGACAGACCCATTATAAACGAGGATCACATTTCCCCCAAACAAAGAGAAAGGATCTTCTTGCTGCAGGACAAATGGATTTTCAAGTCTTGCAGGTTTTTCAGCCTGATTAAAGCACCATTATAAAGTGTACGAGATAACCCTTCAGCATTCTGAGCGGAATTAGTAACAAAGAGGCTATAAATGGTGTCGCCCTGTGGGAGGATTGTTTTGATATGTTTTTTTTTTTTGCGCGTGCTGTCATGAATCAGGGATTGTATCTGGCAAATGTCAGACGCTCTGACGATTTTTATCTGTCAGATAACGATTCAGCCAGTTTATTTTTAGATGTTAAGACCTACTAGTTTTCAGTAAGATTTGAAACTTTATATCCATCTTTATAACACACTGAGTATACGGTGTGTATACGTCGGTGAAGGGCAAAACCTAGTTTGAATTACATCACCCCGACACAAAATTCCATCTTATGAAAACTGTATATGGTGAAGTTGTGTAAACTATGACTTCGAGTCGTATAAGAAAATTGTTTAGGTTTACTAGCATCGTTTACTCCTGATTCTGACCATTCTTCTGATGAGGTCTAGAACAAATTGATCGAAACGCCGGTGAGTGAGCAGTGGTTATTCCCATCACTCGACCCTCCACTCTAAAGAGAAATTACAAGTGCTACCACAATTTACAACGGTTTTATCGGCGTTATACAACTGCACCGTTCTGACAAGTTTCTCCGAAATTTCGGCGAAACATGGTTGTCATATGTAATGGTGTCCAAGTCATACGATGTCCTCTGTCACAGCCTGTCATTTCTGTGGATCTGCTGAGTCGCAATGACAAACTGTTAGCTATTGTTTTAATAGTTTCAACCAAGTACCAGTCTTTCACTTTGAATATCAAAAGTTTCAGCCTTTTAAGTAATTAAAAAAAGTTCTCTACATTCAGTGTATCGGTCTGAAGAAGCTGTTGATGTGACATCTGAAACCAATTAACCCTAAAAGGGCCGGGTTATTTTGACCAACTCTCAGCCGGGGGGGGGGGGGCGGATTCCGCCCCCCCCAAGATCTCGGCCATCGAGTGACGAAAATTTTGGAAACTCAGTACATGCATAGAGCAACTCTTCCTAAACATACCCAAGAAATTTCATGACTATAGGTTAATAGGTATTGGAATTATGGCTAATTAATTATTCATATGTACGAATGGCAATTCTGCTCTGTGTACATGACGTATTTGGGAAAATTCCGTTTTCACTACGCGCCGGAAAATTTTTCGCTACGCGGCAACCCGTGGTCCGATTTTTATGTTTTTGGTATCAAAAGATGCGCAAAGCTCGAGGCTAAAAAGTCATAACAGCTCGGGTTGCGAAAAAAAAATTTTTTTAGAGGCTATCGCGGAAAATGTTGAGGGGGCGGGGGCGGATTCCGCCCCCCGGCACTTTTAGGGTTAAAAGGTTTGACATTAAGATGTAGCAGAGGGCACAAACGGTTAATGCTCTAGACATGAAGAAAGTAGCAAACTTATAGTGGTAGCTCCAAGTAACTCTTACCAAACGGTGGTAGAAAGGTTAGCCAAAGAGTTGAACGACACGGAGCAAAACCCCACGAGATCTTGATGGGAGTGCATTTACCAAGACGCCTACCCAAACACATAAGAACCACACACACTTTTCGTTTACTCGCTGTCGCCCGTCCGATTCAATTTCATTGGAATCAAATTAAGAACCCGTCGATATTTTGGTAAAAGGAATCGCTAACTGCACTTTTCTTGCTCCTACGCCTGGAAAAAATTTCCCTGTACCCGTGTAGCGGGGACCGCGGTTTCTTGGGCCACATCATCCGGACTCATTTTGTGACACTGTAAGGCGAACCGCGTTTGCCCGGTACAGTTTGTTGATTCTACCGTCCAATAAAACCCACTATACTAGTGAGGTCAGCTCGTAGCTTGCACTTACCTCTGCAACACGAACCAAGAACGCGCTGACTGTTTCATGAACTGATCTAATGGAGAATTCCTTTAAAGTTTGCTTCTTAGAATATAATTAAGTTTTCAAAATAGTGTTATACTTGACTTGAAACAATTTTGCTGTAAAATCAATTGTAAGTATGCATTCAAAGAACCATTGTCTAAGTTTCGGCACAGTTGTATCAATACGTATAAAGTTTGACATCATAAAGAATAGAAGTCTATAGGTACAATGTAAAATCATTCCACCAAAAAGCTGCTTTTCTCACAAACGAATGTGCTCGGTAAACTACCGAAACTTGTGTGCATTTTGTATCTAATAATTGCTACATTTGTAGTTTTTGTTTAGTTGAAACGTCGAATCTCTGAGTGTTGTTAATGAGATGTTAATTAAGATTAGATTATTAAGCACTAGTTGTTGGATTATCTTTGAATGACCTGTCACTTCCTGGTTTATTGTTAAAATCGCTGTGAATTTGAATTACTAAAAATGACTTCATAAATTCTTCTTCTTTATTTTGCACAATCAGGTCAGCATCCTTCTTTAGGACTCGACATGTCTTGAATATTATTTGAATGAACAACTCGCTCAAAAGAAATTGGTAAGTCGAAACTTTTACTTGATATATTAATGTCGCACGATTTTCACACGTTTAATAAGTTTTGTACAGTGTTACGTTAATATTGGAATTTCACATTCCAACTTAGCACATAATTAAATGTATTGATGGATGTAATGTCTGCCCATGATAATACACGAATTCTGAGTTTATTTGTATTCACTGTGGGGTGATACACTTTTGGCTGTCTACGTTGATATAAATGGACGTTTACAGACAGCCGAGAGTTGGATGAACCAGTTGCCATGCTGGAAGTCAAGGGTTCTCGTAAGTTGCGTGGTTACACCAGCGCTTTATATCAGTGGAAATGTTATTTTGGTATGCAGGCCCAGTCAGGCTGCAGGTAGCTAAATGACTGCCGTTAGACATTAGCGGAATCGCTACCAGTTTTGCAATTTGCCAACTTAGGTTAGTTGTGCTTGCATTTGCAATCAGGATTCGTAGTATGTGACGCCGTATGGGGAATGACATATTAAAGTTACCTGATTTTGTTATCAACCTTGATATGGAAATTCATTCCGTTTCCATTTCAAGGAATTGACGTAAGGACGGCGAAAAATGCACCAAGTACTTAATTTGTGTGTCCAATTCTACAGACTGATCTAGAAAGTTAAGGGTATTTCTATGGTTTTCGATGACGTGGATCTCCTGTCGTTCCTAATGTAATTCGGGCGCTTCACAATGCAGTGCGCCACCAAGAGTTTGCCACCAAGAGTTTGCCACGGAGAGATTTTTTCCCGGTGCATTGTGGGAAATGGTCGACAAATTCGCAGGGCGGGACATTTGAAATTTTTAGTTTTTTCTAGTCATGTAGTTTCGCATGATTCGAGAGTTTGCCCTTTTCTTTGCCTTTTATCAATACGGAGTTTTGTTGTAAGACGCTATACCCCAATCTATAACAAACATTAGCTCAAGTTGTCTACTGACACTCGTTCAAATGGGCCATGTTTCATCGACCGTAAACTTGAATAATGGACTCTCCACGACAAACTCTTGGTGGCGCACTGCATTGTGAAACGCCCGAATTGTTCTGGGTATTTCCACATGGGGTCGTTAGTAACGTTTGACTAAGTTCGATATTCGATAATCCAAATTATTCAATAATTTAACAAACTAATAAATACTGTGACGCTCATTTATAGGGTTAAGCTATAACAACTGCAATTTAGCGTTTGAGCAAATTTAAAGGGTTCCCATAATAAGGTCAGAAATGTCCATATCTAAATGTCAGTATAGTGTGGTGAATGTCATTGCACCCTTTGCTCTTTATCTCACATGACACGCGTTGCCTATAATGCAGATAAGTTATTTACATGCAAATTAACCCTTTCATTCAGACGTACAGGTAATTGGAAAGTCATCCAAAGGCTTGCCCCCCGTCAGATTACAGTCATTAGCGCCTGTGGTATGTTTAATCATAAAACAAACTGCAGGCTCTCGATCGACACTTCTTTGATGTGTCACTTGACGAATAATGAATGAAATGTCCCAGGCAATTTCCTTGTGGGGGGGATCTGAAACACAAAAAAATGACTGGCTGGAGGTATAACAAAAATCCTCGTAGGATTTCTTAGCCATTCAGAGATTTGCTTGAACCCAAAACTGAAAGTGAGAACAAGCTGCCATATCCTGAATCTAAAGGGACACAGTAAACTAATAGGGAAATTTTGGCCAAAAAAATGTCCAAAGGGGGCTAGTTGTTGATTGATATTTGTCTTTGGTTAAATAGTGATTGTAATTTTAGACAAACCCTAAACCAAACGTTCTGCCATCCGCATTTCCAGCAGTAACTGCAGCCGATAAAATGAAATACTAGCAATATATCAATTTCAGACTGGTGCCACCGAGGGTGTCCGTAGATGTCATGCCACAACGTCAAGACTATAAGGTACTATACCCTCTCTTTGGCTTTAGTGAGTACAGATTTATGTTGTAGCCTGACGGATTGCATAGTGGCTGAAAGAGCGACTAACAAGTCATGATGTACAATTAACCGACTTCTGACGTCACTGAGCGATGATCGTGACTCGCGCCTAGGCCTGATACACATTCTTTCATGAGTCACATGGCACAGTGGGGACATTGACCGATAGAGTACATTGGCCCATCAAGAGTCTTGTCATATCGACAGCAGTACATAACACATGAAACCTAAGTATCTCGCTGTAAAGAATATGTAGAGCCAGAGGCATGAATGTCTGATGTTCATTTGTCACATCTATGTGGAAAATATATAAATAATTTGTTCCAGTAAGCTTAGACGATACTTTTCTTGAAGTTGGTTTTCTGTATCAGTAAACAACAGATGATTTTGTTTTTGTACGGTATATGCAGTAGCCCGTAAGCTTAAAGTTTTCCTGCGATCAAAACGTCACTCATGTTTTCAAGAGAGTATTCGGCCGCAAAAGGTCTTAAAAAATACAAAACCACAAGAAGGTTTTTTAAGCGGAAGAGCAAATAGAAGACGAAATTGATGCACGTTTTACAGGTTTATTTGTACATGTGGATGTGTGTTTGTTTGCATTCGTTCATTTCAGTACATGGCAGTATTCATGCAAAGACCCGCAGTTTACTCCTTTCTATTTTCAGGTCTTCGATGTATGTTTTTTTCCAAACTGCCAGGCTGTTGCAGTTCACACCTGCCTATATTTTGGCAGTTACGCCTTGGCAGTGTAGGCGTATAAATTGACACAGGCAGAGCACGAGCGTACTAAATTCCATCTGCTCCATGGTTACTGTGTAATGCTCGCTTTCTCTTCAATGTTTCGTTTCTTGAAAACAGTTTAATCGTTTAACTTGTGATATGAAACAGCCGTCGAGAGATATCAGTTCGTTTCAGTACTCACTTTTGTAGCTCTAATTGCTGCAGCTTCATATTCTTGTATTTCGTGTCTGAAAAGATCGTACTTTCTCGTTCCTGATGACCTCTGATTTTTTATTCGCCGTTCGTTTGCTGAGATTTTTCTATTTTTCCGTCACGAAAAGGAATTGTGATACGTGTGACAGGGTGTGTGTAGGAAAGCACGCAGGCTCCAGTATGTGGGTTGATCCATTGTATAAAGCATCTGTCTTTTCTGAGTTTCCTTTGCAGCTCTGCACAAATTGCCTTATATCTGCCTGCCCTTTACCTTATATGCTCTGTTTCTTTTCCATGGTCAATATATTTATGCTCTGAATAAGTTATGCAGTTTGTTCAATTTCTTGTGTGCGAAAGGGATGCCGTGTTGCGGTAAACGGACCCTTCAAGTGCTGGCTGACTTCGCAGCGCCTACATGCAATAATGATGAAAGTCAATGAGGCAATGGAAACCAACAAACATCTTCTCGTTGACCCTCACATAGTGGAACAAACGCCCTCAGACATCATGAAGTCATGAAAGCAAAGCTGCTATCCTACTCCATTGTCTCATCAACATCAGAGGGTTTCAAGAGCAAAAACCAATCGTTCTTTACAGATCCACTTTACTTCAGATGTAAAAAAAAAATATATATGTTGTAAACGTTTCATTTTGATTCGAAACTAGTTTACGTTTATACGCTATATTTTCCTGACAATGAGCCCACGCCGGGGGCGGTTGCATGTTAGATATCGATTCCAAAGAGAATTCAGTATACATTATTGCAATGACAGTGAAGATAGTGGTTACTTCAAACGGAAAAATGACATTTTAATTAGAGACGGTTTAATTACAAATCGTGTCTTCGCACGTCTCTTGAGCAATTTACACATGTTGCATCACGCCAGACTTTCTCTTCAAATCGATATTCGCACGGGGTCTTCGCTTATAGGTGTCTATTTCATGCGTCGTAGCTCTCGGTAATTTGGTTAGGTATGAACGTTCCAATTGTCGGCGCCTCGTTTTGCACAAACTGCTCGATTCTTATACACCAATATTGACCCATTTTGACATTTTCAATCAGCGATGTTGGAAAATAGAGACAGAAAACACTTTCGTCGACACTCAAACACTTCGAATTATCGATTCGAGTTGAGTGCTTTGCATGCGTGGGACAAAATAAAGTGTTTTCAGGGACGCGAAATAATCCATTGTAAATGGTATTGAACTGTTCAAAATTGTTTAATCAAATTGTTTAATTTTAATGGGGGAAACTTAGTAAAATCCCTCAACTTTTTATTATTAGTGTGTTTGAGTGTATTACTGCAAACTCTGTGGTGTCAAACACTTTATAGCATAATATATATATATTACACTATTATTTAACACTAGCGATTTTACGCCGCATGCCTATAACATTTACTTTGTGAAGCACTGTGCAATCATGCATATCAACACTATCATTTGGAAGATTTTATATGAAGGCTTTCGTTTTGCCTTCGTAAACAATTTGTGACTATAACTTGGATGCTTGCCAACACGGACTTCGGACGTTCTTAACACCCTCGGCCCCGAACCTCAGACCCGCCTCTTAGAAATAGTTCCCGAGAACACGCAAGCTTGGCTGTCGAACATTCAATTCGGGAAAAAAACATTCTGAAAGCCCTCCGGAGAACTCGGCACAGTGAACACAATGATGAAAGAAAAATGTCCCTGATTTTCAAAAGGTGGTTGCTTAAGGCATTAAAAACTCGTTTCGTAAACAAGCTTTGTGAGCCAAATATAAAAATCTTTTACGTCAGAACAAGTGCGTTTTCCCTAATGGGCTACCGTAAATTCTGTGTGAAATCAATTCACTAATGTATTAGTCCCGCACTATTCGAAGAACATGAATGTAGCTGTCATAATTATACTCAACCCCCAAGGTAACACTGCTTTTTTTCTTCATTTTTGTCTTCTGACTTCCGCATCGCCTCAAAGCGTCAAGTCACTTTTCCCCAGGCGCCCTACCTGTAATCTAATTTGTAAGAAAAAACAAAATTCTCAATGCCTTTCAGACTCATCATTTTTCAATTTCGTTCCAAAACTGTCAACTTTTTTTCCTGGAGACCACGTATATCCTTTGACAGCTTGATAAAGGAGAAATGAAATTTAGCCAGGCTTGAAAGGTAAGCCCGTATACCCGCTGATAGCGAAATCGGAGAATATTGGGTTTAAGTCAACGCTTCCAGCAATTTATTGTCGGTATTCGTTTGTCGTCACTGTGAATTAAGACATTTCCGCTGGCATAATTTCAGGCGCGGTTTGAAAGACAGTATTGTGGAGATTTCTGCTGTTTATTGTGGCGGCATGAATATGTCAAAGTGAATAAGAGTAAATTGGACAAGTCTTAATTCACAAATTAAGTTTTCAGTTTAATTCAATTTGTTTCTCTTTGAAGGGTGGCCAAATTTTGTTGTTTATTTCTCAAACGCGTGGAAGTGAAGTTGTGTGTGTTAATAACTTATGTGAGAGACTTAGACGTATGGAATCATTGTACTCCCCCACAAGGGGGGGGGGCTGTAGCCCCCTCCCCCCAAAAAAATCCCTAAAAAAAAAATTCCGTTAGCCAAAAGAAGGAATGTGACGTACATGCGAACGGTCTCCCCCTAAATTCGTGACAAGGGTGCATTTGTAGTTAATATAGTGTGCCTGATCGTAGGATTTGGCGCTCCCCATTGAAAATATGGCACGAGGCCCCCCCCCCCCCCCCCCCCCACCGGTTGATTTTCGGAGGCCTAAGTGTCTGTAGAAAATAACCGGTCTACATTTCAGCACGCCTCACTGAAAAAAAAATTCTGGATCCGCCCTGCTAGCCCCCCCCCTCCCCCCCCCCCCCCCAATATTGGCTCTAGAACCGCGCCTGCCATTAAGCAATCTTGTTTCAAAATCAGGCTTTTTAAAAGTATCTCTCGTCTCTCGATTGTCAGCCTGAGAACTAGACAAGCAAGGCAAACTCATTAAAATACACTGGTAAGAATTCCGAGCGCAGAATTATTATAGGACCTTTTGGATATTAGCGAAGTCGTTTGGTTGTAATAAGTGTTTGTGGTCTCGGATCCGGGTGTTGCTGTGTACTGTCACAGCGCCCTCATCCTATCTCGCCGTCTATTACCCTCGCCAAGGAGGTTATGTTTTCATCGGCGTTGGTTAGTCAGTTGTTGGTTGGTTAGTTGGTTAATTGGTTGCTTTGTCTGTTAGCAAGATAACAAAAAAATGTATGGACGGATTTGCTTGCAATTGTTTTTACGGGTGGTCCTTGGTACGAGTACCAATCGATTCGATTTTGGAAGTGATCGGAACTGGGTCTGGATCCAGGATTTTTTTTTAGAGGATTCTTCACCATTTATGCAAGTATTTCTTTTGGGTGTACTGACATTATGGCGGGGAACATTTATCTGCCTTGGCGGAGGTTTGCGCTCTCTGAGAGCTTTCTAGTTTGAAATTATTATAAGAGTGGCCTCAAGAATGCAGCTATTAAAAAAAAACATGTGTCGATGTTGCTCTGTTTTTTTTTAAGGGGAGGATAGGGAACCTCCCAACCCCGCCCGCTGGGGCGCCCTGGTACCAGTCCTCCTTCCACCTTCCCATCGCAGCCGGTACCCACCAACTGAGTAATAATGTGTCAGAAATAGGCCTGCAGTTAAAATTGTCGAAATAAGTCGTTCGGTATTTTGTGAGGTCATTTCATCCATCCTTACAGTGTGCTTGGATAATTGAGAAGAAAAAAAACCCAGTTACACATAGTACAATAACTGATCGCACCATTTAAGGAGCTATAAAGGCCTCTACACCCCCCCCCCCTTCTCCGCCCAATAATGACGAATGACGATAGTGCCACGCCCATGCTCTCTCAGCTCCCACAATGCAATGGTACAGCAGACAAAGATGGCTGACGTTGTGTGATGAAAGAGAAATGTAGTCACTGGAGTTTTTAAACGACCATATCTCATGTCTCAGCTTGTGAATACTGCCCACAGTTCCAAGATTTATAAAGGTAAGGCTATATTTTATGGTACTAGTGTCAAATATTGATAGTTGTATTTTTACTTCCATTAGAGACTCAATAAAACTTGTTAAGTATTTGGGTCCAGTTTCCGGACATGTTTTTGAAGTTCCGGAAGTACATGTAACTAAGCGGTTATCATTTTAAGAACAGGGTAGGTAGGCCATGAAGAATTTCTTTTAACTTTTAGCATATGTAATGACAGCTAAAGTAACAGCCATTATGTGTGCAATGCTAGTGGGAGCAACTATAGAATGCAGGGCCACGCCGAAGCAAGGTTTTTTGTTTTGCCTGGAGGCGTGGATGGAATAGGAGTAATAGATATGCAAACCTGCAAAAAGTGCTAAGTACAGCGAAGGAATGCATTTGTCTTCTAAGCTTCTCATGAAGGATCGGAAGGGAGGGCGTGCTTGTAAATGTGTTGGGGGCACTGTCTGGAGTGGCGGAGGCGCGGAGTCTTGGAGTCGCAGAATCACTTTAAATGGGCGCGCAAATTAGAAAGGGAGGAGGGCGACGGGGCACTGTCTGGAGTGGCGGAGGCGCGGAGTCTTGGAGTCGCAGAATCGCGGGGCACTGGAGTGGCGGAGGCGCGGAGTCGCAGAGACGCGCGCCGATAGAGGGCGCAATTCTCGGCGGAATTTTTTTGAGAACGAAGCATCCATACCCATTTTAAATGGGCTCGCAAATTAGGAAGGGAGGAGGGCGACGGGGCACTGTCTGGAGTGGCGGAGGCGCGGAGTCTTGGAGTCGCAGAATCGCGGAGACGCGGGGCACTGGAGTGGCGGAGGCGCGGAGTCGCAGAGACGCGCACCGATAGAGGGCGCAATTCTCTGCGGCTCCACGACTCCACGACTCCACGATCGATTTTCGGAGGTAGGTCGACTGCGGTTCCACGCCTCCACGCAGCCGTACGGAGGCGCGGATGTAGAGTAAAGTGGCCCTGCATTCTATAGTTGTACCTGCTAGTGGAATGATATGTCCACTCGATTTTGCTCTTCATTGTTACGCCCACTGGTTTGGGACTTTAATCTTTTTTTAGAGGACCATGTCCATGCAGTAAACTAAGTAAGGGATTCAGACGACAATTCACAGTTTTCATGATTAAATATTTTATTCATGACAAATAAATGAACATTGTTGTACTATTTTTGTGCAAAAATTACACCATATTTCTTGAATTATATATGTAAAACAACCATTTGGTGTCTAGTTTTTGATTTAGATAGACATAAAAATGGCTTTTAACCCTTACCCTACTACTAGACCCTCCAACGCATGCCAATATGTGCCTTAAGAAAATGGCATATGTTTTTTGCACGGCCCTCCAATATCTGCCATGTCATTTCAAGGGTAACTGGACAGGCACTCCAATACATGCCACAGAGAACAATGAGAGTCCTCTGATAACAAAGTGAGTGCCCCCATCTGGTCAGTATCAGGCACCCTCCAGGGCCTCTAACTTCTGCCAATTGGAGCCTTCACTGTTAAGACAAACTATCTGCCAATAAACTGCAGCTGGAGGGCATTGGCATAACCAACTGACATGCAGTAAACTACCCTCAGAGAGTAAGGGTTAAAGCCCGGTTCATACTCGGCGTGTATGCGAATGCGAAGCGAATTTGACGTCAAAAGTTCACTGCGAAATTCCCTGAGTTGAAATGTGTTCAACTTTTAAAAATTCGCAGCGCGAATACTTGCCATGACATCACCAGTTTGCGTTTGCTTTTGCGCCGAGAATGAACCGGGCTTTATCACCAAATAGACATTTAGCTATTCGACTCTGAATTATTCAATTATGCGCCAAATACATGTAGTAACTTTGAAAAAGCTTTATTTCAAATATCATTTGGCCAAAATTGATGATTCAAAAAGATTTTTGTCTCCTTTTGCCAAGATCTTTCCAAAAATGTCCACAGAAAACCCATTTTCTTTAAAAAAAAATTTGTTGTGACATGCCTAATCATATAGGGCCTACATGTATTTTTTGGCAAAAGTATTGATAGTATTTGCATTCGGGGATCTCAGACTTTGATAATTCCAGGCAGAATGCAGAGACTCATAGCCACTTGAATTGAAACTTGATGTTTTTTAAACCAGCTGGCTCATGATGATTCATCATCTGATAATTAGATCATTCATGTCTCATGAACATGTTGTTCATGAAAAGCACATCTGATTAAGACCTATTGGCCTCAAATCTGGCTCACAATATACTGTACAGCAACACTTTCGTGCACCTAAATGATTTACAAACAAGTCAAAGTTGATTTTACATGAACTGAAACTTGATAATTCAAATAGGCCTATAGTTAATTCATGTAGGTCTAACTCCTTCATGTTTTGTTCTGCAATTCTGACTTGGCAAAGAATTCACTGCTAATTGTCCACTGCAAAGACTACTATTTGTGATATTGTCCTTTTTCAGGGGTGGATCCGTTGCAGTAGCTTTGTTTATTTCTCCAGCAATGAGTGCTAGTGTTGTCTCGCCATCAACACCCAGTTCAACGGATGGGGATATTGGTGCATTTGGTGGCATGGATGATGACAGAGGTAGGATACAATGTAGTTAGTAAAAATGTTCAATAAACACGGTTTGTTGGTCAATATATGAATATACCATTCATGTTTATTGAACATTTTCATATAATTGAAGCATCATAGAATTGTTACCCTGTTTCATGAAGCTTCGATACCATGGGTCAGTTAACCCTAACCGCCCTGAATCCTCCAAAATCCTTTTTGCAAATTGGAGGAATTTGCAGGATTGAGGTTACATGGCCAAAGTGCGTTGCTGATTTCGTAGTACGCACTGTGTCAAGGTCTTGGGCCGGCCCTTGTGTTGTTTATGCTCAGCTGTGCATAAATTTAGTCCTTGATTATACTTGACATCCTCCGCACTGCTCCAGGATGTCACTGCCTCTGCCTCAGCCTATTGACAGTCATAGCCGGAGGATTTTTCAGGATTCAGGCAGTGGTCACCCCTCCAAGGACCATATTCAAGAAACAACGGAGGAATTTGCAGGATTGAGGCTGTATGCTATTTTTTCATGAGGCCATTCGGAGGCTTTTGCAGGATTCAGGCTACATCCTAGCAAAAAGGCCTAGGGAGTTAGGGTTCAGCATAGTTGCGAAAGTGAACATAACAACAATTTGTTATGAAAGGACAAGTATTTTTGCCGTAAAGGTGTGTACAAGTAGAACACATTTCAACTCAAGTGAACTTCCTAACCCTCACCCTGCTGAATCCAACAGGATACAACAAGATCGTTGGAGCCTGTTGGATTGAACAGTAAACCCCTTGTTCAAATGTACACGTACATATTCAAATTTGGATTCTGTTGGGTACTGATAAATAACGCCAAGATGGACTCCGTTGGATCCAGCAGACAACAAAAAATTAAGCACAGTTGGATTCTGTAGGATTGAGCAGGAAGTAACCGTTGGACTCTGTTGGATTTAGCAGGGAAGTCCTGAGGAACCCTTAGGGGGTTATGTTGTCAACTTTGCCTTGCTTTCACATTCACACTAGCCTTTAGTCAAGTCCCACGCGCTTACCCGGACACGTGACGCACCCCGGATGCTGACAGGTAAAAAGACTAGCACGAGCGGCAAAGCCGCGAGGGCCTTTGCCATCTCGTGGAGAACGCTTATGTTTTTCTTAACATTTGTCTACCGATTTGGTAGACATGCATAATGCATTACCCGTTGTGAATTGACCAATGAAAATGCAGAATTACCAACGTAAATCAGCCGTCGTCTGGCGCCAGACAGCACGCGCGCCATGGCGTGCTGTTGCTGGGAACCGCAAACCACCGTTAGATGATTGGTTTATATTGCTTGATTAATATTACGTGAATAAATGAATAAGTGATTAATTCCACGAGATAGTAAAAGCCCTCGCGGCTTCGCCGCTCGTGCTAGTCTTTTCATTTGCCAGCATCCAGGGTGCGTTACGTGTCCGGATGGTCCGGGTATAGGCGCGTGGGACTTGACTAAAGGCTACATTCACACTGGCCTTTAAGACCATTTTTGTTCTGAAATTGTGCACAGATGTTAAGCGTCTTTCCATGAGCAGAACACACCTGAGAATTGGCACACAACATAATGGCACTGAAACTTCCACTGCAACTCGCTATGCCCGACTATGAAATAGAAACGTTATTGGGCACACTTTCCTTCTTTCTTTTGCATTCTAATGGTGTATTTTTTTTCAGTCAAAAATCATCATTTTACTCAAAGTGTCTGCTTGATAGATAAGCATAACAATAAACCACTCAGTTGTGTAGCTGCATGTAACAAATCTTACTTCGTCTGGTTTGTCTATCGATATTGACGCACCATGCCCGGGGTTTTCCGATGTGTGGTCACATGGCCGGTCCTATTTAAGTGATAGAGGGCGTACCAGCTGCAGCTGGGCCAGCGGTAGCGATCAGGCTAACTCTAAGGCCATACACATCCGCAAAGGTTTCCAATGTGGTCATATGGCCACCGCAAAGAGCCTGTGTGTGGACTGCCGCGCCAGTGTGTGGACTGCCGCGCCAGTGTATGGGTTACAATTGGGCCAGCGGTAGCGGTCAGGCTAACTCAAAAGCCAGGATTTGTTGTCGTTATGGGCTGGACTCCAACCACAATGGCAGTGTACACGCTGCATCCCCACGTGAAAAAAAAAAAACGAAGGGCGTTGGGCAGTAATGACTCATGAGAAAAGTTTCGCGATCTTTTTACGCTTCTTTGTTACTGTTAAGCAGCGGTTTCTTATGGACTGGTCGAATAAAAATTCCAAATAAACGGAGGTACTGGCGCTGGCATTTCGAGTTACAGGGGTATTCATAATATTCTACTCTCTTGATGAGAATGGACAGACTTGTATGACTCGTGACTCGGACTCGGACTCGAGTCCGACTCGAGTCACATTTTTAATGACTCGGACTCGGACTCGAGTCACTTTGACTTATGACTCGGACTCGGACTCGGGGCTACGGACTCGGACTTGGACTCGAACTGACATGTGACTCGACGGAAATTATCGCACTGCACACGCGCACATACGTAAGTCGATCGTTTTCTTTACTGTGCAATACATGTGCAGGGCACTCGATGCGGTGCGTGCGTGGCCGTGGCTGGTTACCCATATATTGATTAAAGAAATCAATGTACCGAAACTTGTACCCTGCCGTCCGCTCGTAATACTGCATTGGTACAAGATTGATAGGGTAAGGTACCAGACTTTTCTTGTCAGACGTCCTGTCGTTCACACGTGTATTGCTGTCGCTGATGAATAGTCTGCTGATCTGCCCGTTTCGGTAACGTTACATGCAAGTTGCATGTAACTTAAATGTACGTTTTTCCAATACAATGTTAGAGGTGACTCGGGACTCGGACTTGGACTTCGATGTTTCGTGACTCGAATACAAGTCTGGGAATGGAATGTTACTTCAAGATAAACAGAGTTTTGAGTTATCTGAATTTGAATTATTGGGATTATACTGTACTTATTCACAGACCCCACACTCAAGATACTTCACTTTGATTTATTCTTATTTCTCACAGGTGTAATTTCCCCCAGACCAATGAGTACCGACAGCAGCACCGGCGATCTAGTAATGCGAAGTACCAGTTTGGACTGTTCCCCTGACGACAGCGAAGATGCTGAAGAGAAGGCCAGACTGACTTGCCAGGTGTTGGAACTACAGAACACGCTGGATGGTAAGCAAGTTGCTGTTGCTCTAACCCCTGCTGGATCCTCTCAAATCCACCCAGGGATTTGGGAGGATTCTTGTAACTTGTCACAAGTCCATCACAAGTCTATCACAAGTCCATCACAAGTCCATCACAAGTCCATCACAAGTCCATCACAAGTCCATCACAAGTCCATCACAAGTCGATCACAAGTCCATCAAAAGTCCATCACAAGTCCATCACAAGTCCATCACAAGTCCATCACAAGTCCATCACAAGTCCATCACAAGTCCATCACAAGTCCATCACAAGTCCATCACAAGTCCATCACAAGTCCATCACAAGTCCATCACAAATCTATCACAAGTCTATCACATGTCCATCACATCCCGCTCCAAATCCCAAACCATTCAAATAAACTGTGACAAAGGTATTCCTTTGGTAGTGTTCATCCACTGTGACTTGGACCAGACTTGTGAATTATCTTTTGATGGACTCGATCAGCGCCATCCATTACTACTTATATGTAATACAAGCTGATTTACCCGATCATAGATCGGGTAGGGCGTAGTGTTGGGGATGAAAATGTGGGGAGTTAAATGTAAATGGGGGATATAGTTGGGGAGACATGCAGTTATAGAAAAGCAATTTATGTGGTGTGATCTGAGACAATTTCTGACCACTAAAACCAATTTGAGCAAAAGATCATCTTTTAAAGTTTGGAGTTTGGAGTAATTGAATCAGCTACATGTATTCTGAGTAATGAGAATCATAATTGTAGGCTACAACATTTTTATTCGGGGAAGAAAAAGTGGGGGGGGGGGACCAAACAATGTCCCCCGCCTGAAAATGTGTGTGTGTGGGGGGGGGGGGGGGGGGGGGGGTCCCCCTGTCCCCCGTCGATTTACGCACATGATAATTATGTACCGTGGCAACTGTCTGTAAATGTTGCCGTTGGTCTGTTAAATTGGCTTTTTGTGAGGCAGTCGCATTTGGAAAACGTAGATGGGGGATATAGTTAAGGAGACGTGCAGTTATCCGGTTCGTTAGTGTGACGTCACCTCCAGCACTCACTGCACGATTGGAACCGGAAGTTAACGCAGCTCGAGCGTTTGGGCCAATGGGCGCTAGTAATCAGTGGTGTGCGCGCGTGTATGACGTTTTTACTAACGAACCGGTTCGTTAGTGTGACGTCACCTCCAGCACTCACTGCACGATTGGAACCGGAAGTTAACGCAGCTCGAGCGTTTGGGCCAATGGGCGCTAGTAATCAGTGGTGTGCGCGCGTGTATGACGTTTTTACTAACGAACCGGATAGAAAAGCAATTTCTGTGGTGTGATCTGAGGCAATTTCTGACCACTATATAAAATCAATTTCAGCGAAAGATCATCTTTTAAAGTTTTGAGTTTGGAGTAATTGAATCAGCTACATGTATTCTGAGCAGTAGAATCATTATTGTAGGGTACAATTTTTTATTCGGGGAAGAAAAAGTTGGGGGGGGGGGGGACCAAACAATGTCCCCCGCTTGAAAAATTGGGGGGGGGGGGTTCCCCCTGTCCCCCGTCGATTTACGAACATGATAATTATGTACCATTGCAACTGTCTGTAAGTGTTCCCGTTGGTCTGTTGCGTGAGGCAGTCGCATTTGGAAAACGTAGTGAAAAGGTTACCGTAGTACACAGGCGAAGCCTGATTGTACAGTTTTGACAATAAATAATAATGCAATAAAACGTGAAGGTGTCATTTGAAATGAAAATGTTGAGTGTGACCATAAAATATGGAGGAAGGTCATAATTAAGTTTCAGTATTGGACTCTTCAACAAACGTTAACTTGAACTTCTTACAATTTGCCATACCGTCTGGCGAGGAAAAAGTCGATTCAACTTTTATTCAAGTTGGTTCAACCATCTATAGAGCAAGTTTTACTCGGCCTCCGAGAAATGTTTGCTCCTGAAAGGATCCGAGACCGCGGTCTCCCGCGACGCCAAAATGGCTCCACGTCCATGGAAAAATGTGGAGGGTGTCTTCCGCCGGGTCGGACACTAAAGTCTTTTTCGTCGATTTTTTTGTGACTGCGTTTAAGATCGCGATAAGTTGAAGCAATGCATCGATCCTTCGTTGATCCCAAACAGGCCCCCGAAATTATCACGCAACACTGAATTATACGTGGCGTGCAGCGAACTCACAACGCTCAGCCTTGGTGGTTGAAGCGTGGAGCTGTAAACACATTATGGAAGCAACAGCACTCTATCACGCGACGTCACATGCTTGCGCTTCAAATAGCGAGCACCGTAGACTCAACCTCGTTTCCAGGGTGTGGAGCAGGCTGCAGTACGCGTTGCCATCGACGGTTTTACGCATAGCCGAGAAGTACCACGCAGTGTAGACTTTCGATTGGTCAGACCGCGCAAGGCATACTAATGTGTAGTCCTTCTGAGTATTCGTTGCACTCGGCGCAGGGGCGGCAAGCAAAGCACAGGAAAGAATAGGGACACTTGGTGGCCACGCACCATGGAGAAAAAATATTTTGCCAAGGTCACCCCTTGCTACCGTTTGGTGAACGCTTTGGCAGTACGGCCGAGTAGAACACGTAAACGAAACCCCTACGTTGACCTCGCTGACCTCGCACAGTCTAGACACGCAGAAAGGCCAGCACAGGGGGCGGCCAGGCAGTCAACGTGAAAGCGCACACGACGGCAAATTCCTGCGCAAAACGCAGTCACGAAAAATCGACGAAACGGATCTCCGGTCCCTACGGGAAAATCAGGACGACCCGAAGCGTCCGACCCGGCGGAAGACACCCTCCGCATTTTTCCACGGACGTGGAGCGATTTTGGCGCCGCGGGAGCCCGCGGTCTGGGATCCTTTCATGAGCAAACATCGTCTCGGAGGCCGAGTTAAACTCTCTCTTATATATATAGATGGTGCTTTATGTTCCAGGAGGTTTTATGTACACAAATGTGCCAGTGGTGGATATTTGTGCAGGATTCAGGAAGTTTCCTTGCGAAAAGTTCCTGTTCCTGATTAGTATGGGCCTGATTAACTGGAGCAGCTGTACATTGCATAGCAGATATTTGTCCTAAGTAAAACTTAGAGGTGATCTAGTGCTTACATACATGTACATGCTTTGCTGTCGTGAGTAGGCTACGCAGAGTCATCTATATTATATGTACAGTTCCAGCATAGGGTCCATGTCATGACCTTTTCATTAACCTGAACGGCTTCGGATATATTGGATAGGAATCTTGCCAAAATCAAACTCTCTGAAGGAACCCAAAGCTACTTACTCTTTACTGTAAAGGGGCATTAGTAACTTCAGCTCTACCTTCCTTGACCCTGAAAGTCCTCCAAAATCTTCTGTTTGATTTGTGTAAAGCCGGCCTCAGGTAGACCTCTGATTGGTTTGCGCCGTGACGGAACTGTCGGCATCGAGCAGATAAATAACGCTGATTTAAAAAAACTGAGAATTTGTGTAATTCTCTTACAACAAGCGGCATCTCGACGCAAAAAATCGCAACCATGCTCATGTCATCCACGACGCAAAGATTCATGATGGCATAGACAGTCATGTTACTTCTTTAACAATAAGGGAATAAATATGTGCTTGGCCAGTTCGGCTCGAGCCATTTTCAGTGCGCATTCCCCTGATACGGTCTTAAATGTACTTGTATTCCCATTCATAAATACCTTTGAGTCAAAATGTCAAAAGTCAAAAATTAGGCTATGTATTTCCAACGATTTAGTTCAACATCTTTACTTCATGTTTTTTAAATACCCCTCTAGCTATGGTATGGTATGTGCATCTCGCGAGTAGTAGTACAATGTAAACAATCTCCTTATTTGGAGATTGTTGCGTGCGTGGAATTCGGAGCGCTTGTGTAGTGTGCTGATTGACTACACAATGAAAAAGGATGATCTTGATGCGCGCACGATGTCATAAATTAACACAGGTTGACTGCGATTGATTCCCGCCGTCGAAGTTGAAATGTTCCTACTCTTGCGACTGTGAATTTTCTAGTGCCGACTGATTCTGATAGTCTTCGTGTCGTCACAATTACACTCCGGTCACACAAAAAAATCGGCGACTAATTTGTTTCAGACGGTCGTGGCTCAGGCGTAGTCTGAGTATCACTCGTTATCCATGGAGCCAAGTCTCCTGTATAACGTCTGATATGTCTAAGCATGCAGATATATGCAAGCCGCGCGCCAGCCAATCGGAGTCGACTTTACTAAATCGTGACGTCATTTCATTCCCAAATCAAGACTAATGGTTTGATTGGTCAATTCGAATGCAGTGTTTTGTAATACAACAACCGGGCGCATATCGCGTAACATGATACAGAGCGCGTGACACAGTTTTTTTTTATCCATGTCTATGAACCGCAACGGGTGAGTGACCGAAGACCCGATATAGAAAGTGCCCGCTGATTGGTCAAAATCTAGAGGTCAAGATGCGGTTGTCTTGCATAATTAATCAGCAAATCTGTTAAAAAATTATAGACCGTGGCTTTCACCATGGTCTATGAGGGTGGACCTGAGGTGGCTTACGTAAGAGATCTAGGAGGGCTAAAGTTAATGTACATGTAAAGACTGGTCCATTCTTCTACATGCACTTCACCAAATGATGGTGCAAGTGAAGTTTAGGGTAACAGCGAACAGCACAATAAAACTTATTATTGTCTTCATGAAATTCGCTTTATTTTTGCTTCCACATGAAGTACAAACCAGCCTTAAGAAATAAAAAAGGGAAGAATATATTATCTTGATGCCACTTCCTTCACCATATAAATTCTATGATGCATTGTCACTGCAAATAATTTGAAAAAGAATTTGGGGCTGAGAAACATGTCTGAACACGCCATTCTTTGCAAATTTAATTGTATAACAGGGAACCAATTTTTTCTCAAGCAGGTCACCCACCATAAAGTGGTCGACCCCATTCCTATTGTGTTCTGCTGACTCTTGTTTCTATCAACAATTCAACAAACTGAGTGATTTAAACACCAACAATAAAAGATTTCTCAGTCGCGTTCAGCCAAGAGTGAGCTGCAGACATTTCAAATCTGATCAGAAACTGGCTGACTGAATTCAACCCTAACCGCCCTGAATCCTTCAAAATCCTCTTTGCCAAAGTGGAGGAATTGGGAGGATTGAGGTTACATAGCAAAAGTGCGTTACTGGTTTCGTTGGATGCACTTTGTCAAGGTCTTGGGCCGGACCTTGTGTTGTTTTTGCTCAGCCATGCTTAAATATAGGCCTGGATTATGCTTAAAATCCTGCATACTGCTCCAGGATGTCACTGGCCAGGCCTCAACATACAAATGTATTGACAGTCACTGCCGCAGGATTTTGCAGGATTCAGGCAGTGGTCACTCCTCCACAGACCATATTCAAGAAATAATGGAGGAATTTGCAGGATTGAGGCTATATGCTATTTTTCCTTGTGGCCAATTGGAGGATTTTGCGAGATTGAGGCTACATCCTAGCAAAAAGGCCTAGGGAGTTGGGGTTAGTGTAGTCTTGCACAAAATGTCTTGAGAATAGAACAGCTGCGATTGTTTTTGAAACCCCCCCAAATGTTTTCACTTCCTCAGTTTATGTTTGGTCAGTCCTTCTTGGTAGACATTTGAAGTAGGTTTCCATGGCAATATACTTGGCATAGAACTTTTAATGTATTTTTGTGTTGTGACAGCTGTTATCTAAATATTTGTATGGAAGTTCTGATGTTCCCTTAAAAGCATGGGAGGGTGAAGTGCAAATTGCGTCCAATTTCATTTCCCTGCAAAATGTTGCCACTGGGTTTTTCATGTTGCTAACCACTCACTGTTTCTATTTGCTCTTGAGTGCTTTACCGCTTTCTGTGTAAACTCTCTCACTGTTACATGTATGACTGGATTCTCTAAATATTTTGTCACAATTCAGAGTACTTACATGTATGGAAGCAACAGTACTCAAAACTAACAAAAATTAGGCTTAAAACCTGGACCTAGAGTCTTATTATAGACTGGTTCACACTACACGCAACAGCGAAGCAAACTGCATGTTGTCAATAATCCAAGCTTCATCTTGACGTGTGCCGTTTCCATAACAAATCACCTTGTGCTGAAAATTATTAAAAATAACATAACAAATGTTTTGTACAAATGTACTGTACAAATGTACATGGAGTTGTGCATTTTGTGATGAATTGGTGCCCTTCATTTAGCAATTTTTTAAACTGTTGTGATATTTTTTAACGACTCAGTGTGATTAACCTTGATTAACCTTGCCGCATTTTGTTATTTATTAATTTTCTTAAATACTGTCTGAATAATGTTGTTTTCTATTTTTATACTACTGAAAGGTTTCCCCAGAATAATCATGATCTAAATAATAAATAATTTGCAATTTTTTTTTCAAATTATTTCATTTGTTGCAGAATTTCATTTGTCATCTGTGATTTTGTATCTCTGTGTTGATTTTTTTCCCCTTCAGATTTGTCAACAAGAGTGGACAAGGTGAAAGAGGAGAACCTGAAATTGAAGTCCGAGAATCAAGTCCTTGGTCAGTACATTGAGAATCTCATGTCAGCATCTAGCGTGTTCCAGTCCACATCACCAAAGAGCAAGAAAAAGTGAGCATGCATTTTTCATTTGAAACTAAATATACTGTAGCTGATTGAATTAGAATCCACTTCGACAACGTACAGATTTCTCAGAGAATATTATTGAAGATTTAACAATCAAGAAACTGACCTTCGGTTGGCAGAGTTGTAACGAGTCACTGATTTTTGTGACTCGAGTCGAGTCGAGTCATTTTAAAGAAGTGACTCGAGTCGAGTCGAGTCATTTTAAAAAGTGACTCGAGTCGAGTCGAGTCATTAGGTCAAAAGGTCGAGTCGAGTCGAGTCAAACATTAAGCTCGAGACAATTCGAGTCACGAACATTTGAACACTATATATACCAACATTTATAAAAGGAGGCCATAAGTTTAGCCAGCGTTCGAATCCAAGAGCTTTATAAGAAATCGCCCAAAACCAAAGATGAACCAGCGAATTAGAAAATGTGTTTAAAAATCTGGTTCCTGGATAGTATTTTGTGCGTTCTAGAACCATGAGGTGAGAGTCTGTGACACGTTGTATATTTGTACATGACTGCTATTCGCAAAGTAAAGTGAGCATAAATTTTGCACCGTAAGTCATTGCAAATACTTTTCGCAAAGTTGTGCTTTTATTTTTGGGACTCGAGTCTTATTAGCCTTCGCTCGAGTCGAGTCGAGTCTTCTGATGAGGGACTCGAGTCGAGTCGAGTCATTTGCTCGCAGTGACTTGAGTCGAGTCGAGTCATTTACCCTTAGGGACTCGAGTCGAGTCGAGTCACCAAAAATTGTGACTCGAGTCGGACTCGAGTCGAGTCATTGACTCAAGTCATTACAACTCTGTCGGTTGGTACATTCATAGTTTTAATTGGTCAAAGCATCAGGAAAAGGCAATGTACAGATCAGTCCATTACCATTCGGTGTTCATAATCTTGAATCAAGACGTTGTGGATACGCAATCACCCGTCGTGAGAGGCATTATCAAAACAAATCGCCGTCATTAACAAAACTCCCTCTTGTTTAAACAATCACAGACAGTCCAAATTTCCATCCACTTCCCCTGCTGTACTTTTCACACAGGCTAGTCACCAACAGTCAAATCAGATTTTAAGCAAGCACTTTGACCAGTCAAATATAGTCAACAGACAAATGGTAGGCACAGCTTTCTTATCAATCACCTACAGTCAAAGCATATCTGTATGAAGTTACTTAAATAGTCACAGCCAGTCAATCCTGCTTTATGTAGGCTGGGAGCTCTTAACTGTTAAAAACAGTCCCTGACTGATTTTGACTGAAAGGACAACTTTGCACAGAATACATGTTTGCATAGGAGGGTTAACGATCCGCTAACACAGTAATGTCTTGGGCATTTTGTAAAATCTGCCCCTGAAAAGTGGGGGCAACTGTTACGCATGCGCTACTCCTGTAAGCAAATACTGTCCATTTTCGGTTGCACGTGTACTATGTGCAGATGCACAAACGTCAGGTAGAATTTTTTATGCTGCTGGCTGAAATTTCAGAGTTTGGTTCCGAATAAAAATGCAAGGTTTTGAATGCGCTCTGCATACAGGTACATTAGGCAAAACAGGTGTGTGCATGACACAGCCACTAAAAGATTCCCAAGATGTTGTTGTGATAGGACTTTGTTGGTGATAGTAGTTCTTTGTGATAACGCCCTATCGGGGCGATATTCGATTTACAACAATGAGGTCTTGATCCAAGACTAAGTGCTGAGCCTGTAAGCACAGAATGTGTAAATGTATGTATGTAGTCACGTGGTGAGAACATGTGCACAAGCCAAAACCTGAAGAAAAACACCAACTGGTAACTGCCATCATTAGAAATGTTTCTTTTTGTATGTTAAATCACCGAACACTAAATATATATTCTCAGTCATCGAGTAGCAAAAGATGGAATATCAAATCTAATTCCATGTTTAGATTTATTGGATATTTCATTCATGAGTCACTTTGGTGTTGATATTTTTTATTACAGATCGGGAGGCAAGGGAAAGAAGGCTGACAAGTGAATCCCTGCAGTATGTACTTGTGTGTGTGAGTGTGCTCGCCTGTAAACTACACGCCTGCTCACAGCAGGGTGTCGCAAGGCAAGGCACCGCATCTGAATAAATTAAAAACTTTTCTTGCAGCCGACCTGCAATTCTAAAACAACCCAGCCACAATGAAAGTTCTGCTCTGTGACTCGAAAACCCAAAACCCTGCAGAAGTTTTGTTGGGGTGCGTATTTTTCAAAACCCTCTTGAGACCATGATTGGCTTCAAGGGATTATCACCAACTCATCGCTGATTTACTGGAAACGTGTCGGTACTGTGCAGATATGTGGTGTAAGAAATATGCAAAACGCCTAGCTAATTTGACGTCTATTTAAAGTTTTCAAGTATTGTACATACGCTCTACAAAAAGAAGTTGTGGCAATTCAATGAAGAGAAGACGTTTACTGGTTCGTCATTGTACATGTATCCATTAAGCAGTATGTCTTACAATGTCCAATCATGTTAACAAGACAAACGTGACTCACCAATATACACAATTTATGTCATCACAGCGTTATAACTAAATATATACAAAAAGCACCAAAATATAAGTAAGACGTGATCACCGATAATTGTACTGCATATAGTTAGTCACAATGTGCGTCATATTATCAGAGAGTGAAACTTAACTAAAAATAACCATGGGTCATGTAATGCCAAGAATTGTGAAAGTTCTCTGTAGAATTTGTCAGATTAATACATGTACATTGAATCGTACCCTGCACATGGACCACGATATTCAGACATTTTTTCTTAGTGGTATGACGCAATCAGGGGGGGGGGGGGGTGGTGGTATTCAACAAAGTTGAAATGAGCGGTTCAAGAGTATTGACAAGGTGTTCAATCAGGGGGGGGGGGTGGTGGTATTCAACAAAGTTGAAATGAGCGGTTCAAGAGTATTGACAAGGGCTTGTTTCATGTGGTTGGTAATTTCCTAGATATTATTACAAATAAGGTCACAAGAATTCTTACACCACTTCTGCTTAAAGACTGGCACTTGTACAAAAATAATAAGCGAAATTGCACAAGAACCCCCACAAATTGTGAAGGGTAAGTAAAAGTAAAATTTGACACCCAATGATGAAACCAATTTAAATTGAAAAAAATGTTGGTCTTGTTACATCACCATCAGTTGAATATGAATTTGTTTTGAAGTGCCTTTTTATGCACTATATTTGCCCTATTGTAACCTGTGCGGTGTTCATTGTTGTGTATTTCAAAACTTGTTGCTCGGCGAAATCTGCCACTAGAATTGAAGTAAAATACGTCTTTAGTAAACTTTGAATGTTTACTAATGTCACAGAAGCAGTCTTAGTATTCACGCATCTTCTAAAATCTCTCGGATGTGTTCCCCTTAGAGTACAGTTCCATTGTAAGAAATTCAAAGTTTTCCCTACATTCTTCTGTCTTGAAGCTAGCGTCAAAATGTGTGGTCACTTTTTTTAAGATAAATCTTCCATGTAAACACGATTCTAATGATTGACGGTTGTGATTAAAGTGAATGCACAATTGTAACAGTTATATGCATTGATGTTCAAAAAGTTGGAAACTCGAATCCTAACTTGTGAATGTGCAAAACCTGTTTTGATTAGAAGTAGAGTACCAGACGTGGACGCTGTTAATAGGTATATTGTGCCATTTGCAATTGAAAGGTCGTCACTGATAGTTTAAGAGTTATGGGGAAATTGTTGAATCACTTTCTATTTGCTCACTGCTTGTAGAGAATATGTAATCAAACGCTTATTATAAATTTCATAAAACGAAACCAACATTGAGATTTTTCACAAAGAATCACAAAACCCAAGGCGCACATTGTTCTGATCAAACCATGGTGTGTTTAGTCCACACACAAACATAAAATAATGATGTATGCGTTTCTCAGATGGACAGGAGTGGTAAAGTAGTTTCTTGTGAAAACACTTCAAATTGTAGCGTCCCAATCTGACCCCTGTGTAGTCTACGTATTTCAGCTATTCCTTTGCTACAAACCTTTTTATATTGGCAAGTTTTATTTGCTGATAGCAAACCACCAGTTTACTCTAAATATTTGTATATTTTGTGTGCAATAATTTAATAACTTAAGCAGTATTTTCCTCTGTAAAGTTCAGCAGATGCTTAGGTAGACTATAGACTAGTTGAAGTATTTATTTAACAGGGTTATTGGAAAGTACACGTGTACTTTTCTGGAAGACTCTGGATGTGCACTGTAGGAAAATGAATGGCAGAACTTCACGCGTAACCTGTTTTTCTAAGCTGGATTGCATTACAGCTGCATACACATGTATGCTTCACATGGTGTTTTGTTTCTGGTCTTGTGAATTCACATTCCCATTTTATTTTCCGAGATGACATCCTTTGACTCTGGAAAGCATTGAGATTGTTTTTCTGACCTACAAATTATTCTTTCTACTTCATTTCAGCCGACGGATTATGTCGAGCAGAACACTTTTTTTTTTCATGTTTTTTTGGCCAGTGCGACTTGATGAAATTATAATCTGGAATCAGTGAGGTACGCACATGAAAGGACACATAGTGTAGTTTACCAATCGTCAAATGTCTTCAGGAGAAAACTGAAAATTATCATTCGGCATTGAGGTAACTTGAGGTATCTTTAATTAAAGTTAAATCTATTTGACAATCTTTGAAACAATCAATTAGGACGCCGATCTGATTCAAGCCAAACATGTTCTATTCATGACTGTTTAAGTACTTTCAGATACTTTCTGGGTCAAGTTCTCCATCTAAAAACTAAAACATTTCTCTGTGTTTTGAGAAAACAATCTCAATTTTTTTGATTGGTCCCAAAGTTGCATAGAACCTTTCAAAAATCAAGCTTTCAAAGGTACAGCTTCATGGATCATAAATTATGGAAACAAAAAACAAAACTCACAAATCTTTGTCAATTGAAATGGCTGTTTACAATTGCTCAGAATATTTTTTTCTCAATTTTGTGTACGTTTTTTTTTTTTTTTGGGGGGGGGGTTGTAATGTGATTACTGCTGCTGTTAAATCACTGCCTGAACCAATTGCTGAATATGTGATTTTTGTGTGTTTATGAAAGTCATTTAAATGAGGCTCCTGTAAAACTGCCAAGTGTCTGGTTTTGCAGGGTGATAGTAATCTGTAGCCAAACCAACCTTCAATATTACTGCTATACTGTACATGTACTAAAAAGCATATAATGTGTATGTGTGTGCTTTGACAAGTTGATTGTTCACGAGTTGATGGCCTGGGAGGCGCCAAAACCACATTCCCCTTGAAGTGGGTGAAGTGCACAAAATTGAAAAAGTATCTCATGATGTCACTTGATTATTCACTGAAAATGATCAACTTGACCGATTATAAGATGGAATTTTGCGTCGGGGTGATATCAATCAAATTAGGTTTTGCCCTTCACCGACGTTTAAACACTGTATACTCAGTGTGTTACCTCCCGAGTGAAAGTTGGAAAAAAGCCAACCGATCCCATTAGCTCGGTGGTCGAGTGGTAAGACATCTGCACTAGAAAGCAGGAGGTCGTGGGTTCAAGTCCCACCCGAGTGATTTTTTTTTCCAACTTTCACTCGGGAGGTAACACACTGAGTATACAGTGTTTAAACGTCGGTGAAGGGCAAAACCTAATTTGATCAACTTAACCGAAATAGAGAACCTGTTATATCAGTGAACACTTACATCAGGAACAAGAACTGTTAATGTCAAGCATGGTTGAACTAGCTACCCCGAGTGGTTTATTTTATGTTGTAAATAATTATCACAATTTGGTGTAGGGAAATGCTAATCTCAAAAGACCAAAATGCAACACCTGGTTACAGTCTGTCACATTAAACTGTTTATTTGATAACCTCATAGTTCAATATGTGTATTTAGCGTAAATTTAAGTACATTGTAATAGAAAATCCTGTAAAAAAAAAGAGACTTAAATTCCTGATTTTTAACTATTACTGCTGTATTTATTGATTTCTAATCTTGCCATTATGCAAATAAGGATGCTGACGAAAACAAAATTGTGGCTTTGAAATAAAATGAATGTGTAGCAGACTAGTAGAACAAAAACTCTTGTTTTGACAATTTGTTTGAGCAATTTTTTTACATAGGAATTCACACCGTAATTACCCAAAAGCAAAATCTTCTAACTGAACTTTCTGCTTTTACTGTTTTACAACCAGAAGTTCAACAGTTTACAACCGTGGAACCTGTGATGCAAAAGTGTTTATCTTGCTATCTATTCCTTTAAAGAAAATAGCGGGAAACACAGACTTTTCACATAATTTCAGTTGTAGATACTTTCTATCACACTTCCTGTAATATCAATTTCACATTTAACCTTTCTCACAACCCATCTGCAACAAAAACCTTAAATCTCGATATTAGTGTAAATAATCACGAGTTTGTACATTTTTTACAACCTGTTTCTTTTTTACTCTTTCTCTCACCAAACAAATTACCTTGCACATCTTTAACTGTTGGACCGAAACATAAAGCACGCTAACTTTTTCATTTGTTGGAAAACCATGCAGTCTTTCAGAAGTTATATGTCGAAAATAAATTATGAGTTATGCTTACCTTTTAAAGATAACTGCTTTCTACAAAAAAACAAAATCCAAACTGTACATCTATTTACATTGAACTGTACATTAACATTTGTGTGTATTTGGTGAGGCTAACCCAAATCCAAGATTAGGTGGCTGTTTTTATTTTCTTAGAATGGTTCAAAACCCAAATTAACGTAGCATTGCTTTATCAGCTTGTTATTGAATCTCAAGTTGTGATTGCTGTACTACCAACTGTGATCCAACCTGCTCATATTTCATCTAGAGCTTTTACATACACACTCTGTCAGTAACATTTCAGAGTGTGTATGTGGTCCAATGGTTACGGTGTTCGACTCGTGTGCCGTGGTACATGGGTCGAATCCTGACCGTGGGAACATGGTGCTTGTGCTCTTGAGCAAGGCACTTTACCATTATTGCTTCGTCCTTCGGATGGGACGTAAAGCCGTAGGTCCCGTGTGTTGTGTAATGCACGTTAAAGAACCCAGTAACACTTATCGCTAAGAGAAGGGGTTTGCCCCGGTGTTTCTGGCAGTGGCTGCAATATGCGCCGCAGCACCTTGTAAACCCTTATAAGGTGCTACATAATGGGTCTCATATTTCTCGTAAACTTTATTTACCTTTCTTTAATAATAGACATAATTTCCAGCGCCTTTAGTACCTAATTGTTGGTAGATACGTGCGCTATATAAGACTCCGATATTATTATTATATTATTATTATGTCGCATGTTAACTTCTGTGTGGCTTCTACAATATGTCAATTATCTGGGTAACAAAACGAAGTGATTTTACGTGTCATTCCCATGCATTGCATGTTTTCCACTCAATAAAGAGTGAATCTGCTTGTACATTTACATAACCAAGACTTTACAATTAGTGTACAATTAGCAAAAAAAAACCACAATTTCTTGACTGAATGCTTCCATCTTGACAAAAATCTACCACCACCTGAGGAGAATTTTCCAGGACTTGGGCTTTCAACATTCGTTGAGCGTTCCTCACCATGTCTTCAGAAAACCATGCGGTAAACAGTACAAAGGGACTTTGCTGCGTCTCGTTCTAGTACTGTAGGACTCTGTACTCGTAGAAGAACATGACATTCCTGGTAATGTTCCAGTTGGCTATGAGCGTAATCACATACAGGCACAAGACGATTAAGCAGGGAGGGTACAGAAAAGCTACCGTGCGTTTCAGGAACGGCAGAGCTGTGGACAAAGAAAAGAATGATTTGTCAACAATTGAACATGGAAGAATTGCACTCAGACGTTCACTAATGATTATGTTCATTAATCTTGCAAGTCTTTAGCTGTTGTGTGTTAAACTTGTGTCTAAAAACGGGGGTGAGCCACTTTTGTCAAAAGCTTGGCAACCATCTTTCACAAATTTCTATTTGCTGGGGGGACTCCAGCCCCCTCCGTATCCCACCTGATCCACCCATGAAAAGGTCATCTAAATGTAACTACTGCAAGCCTTGTAGATGTTTTGAGAGATGTACATTTTACTGTTGAGATTTGCCCTCCATCAGCAAGTCCTTGTGGTTTTAAGTCTTTTCATTTCTCAGTTTAGAAACTGTTTAGTTGTAAAAGTGCCAATCAGTGTTTAATATGAAACAGAAACTGTCACAGTTTGTGTCCAGGAACTCACCGCTGTAGCCCAAGAAGGTGACATAGATGTAATACGTGATGGCAATCAGCCAGAGTGTGTTTCCCAGCAGAGTTGACAAGAATCCGTTTCCATCAATCAAAGCTGAAATACGCAACGAAAACACTTGTTAACAAAGAGTTGTGGAAAATGTGCCGACTTAAATTGGATCAAATATCATAGAATTGCAAACTTTTGTGTTTGAACATTTGAGATTGAACCTTTGAGAAAGATTCTACTTGAATCAATGTCAAGATCATCCAAATCTACAAAATGTATATGTTTAAGACCACTTCAGTTTATAAACAATGCTAATTTAATGTAGCAATTACATTTTAGTACCATTTTGTTGAGCATTCACAGACCTGTGTTTCTCTCATACAAACATAAAATATGGTTTACTCTTCTACTGAGGACTCATACCGTGACCTTCCTTTATTTGTACATGTATTGTAAGGTCTGTACACAAAACTACCGAGGACTTGAGTTCATGTCCTCGGGCTTATTGTTATCTCAGGTTACACTTTATTCCAAGTCCTCAGTTACAAAGGATGACCTGAAGATAGGTACAAGAGTTCTGTGCACATCTGTGCACAGATGGTAAATGCTTTAATATGCAACGGTTTGTACACAAAACTACCGAGGACTTGGGTTCATGTCTTCAGGCTTATTGTTATCTCAGGTTACACTTTATTCTAAGTCCTCAGTTACAAAGGATGACCTGAAGATAGGTACAAGAGTTCTGTGCACATCTGTGCACAGATGGTAAATGCTTTAATATGCAAAGGTTTGTACACAAAAACTACAGAGGACTTGGGTTCATGTCCTCAGGCTTATTGTTATCTCAGGTTACACTTGATTCCAAGTCCTCAGTTACAAAGGATGACCTGAAGATAGGTACAAGAGTTCTGTACACATCTGTGCACAAATGGTAAATGCTTTAATATGCAAAGGTATGTACACAAAACTACCGAGGACTTGGGTTCATGTCCTCAGGCTTATTGTTATCTCAGGTTACACTTGATTCCAAGTCCTCAGTTACAAAGGATGACCTGAAGATAGGTACAAGAGTTCTGCGCACATCTGTGCACAGATGGTAAATGCTTTAATATGCAAAGCATGCTTTTTTCCAAGTTTGTATTTGAGTCGACTTACGAATATAAAGAAAGAGTTGCACAACATGTAAGATGATGAGGAGGGGAAAGAACGCATTCAGGTGGACGTCAAATGCAAAGCCCCACTCTACGTCTTGCCTAATGGGTACTGACACCCGCAGGTACCTGTTGGCCACAAACCTGAACGAGAAACAAACAAAAAACAGATGCAACAGGATGTAAACAACATCAAATGTTATCTTCTTTGTTCTAGAATTCTCATTCACATACACTTCTAAAAGGCACAGGTTTGGTTTTGTATGGAGCACCTCTCAAAGCAAGAACTCTTTGTTCTTTGAACCTGTCATCTTTGTATACTGAGATCCATCTGTTGAGACAATCCAGGTACCTCGTCCTTATTTTATAACAAACACTTTGTTGACCCTTTTGAAAACCAAACTTCATTGCAGCGGTTTCTATCCATTTCCGTATCTGTAGGTGTACATTGCAGAAAACAAATTTTGCCATAAACGCAACAGTTTATCACCAACTTGATATTTTCAATTTAGCTGTTTAGTCCTTGAGCAACTCCGCTGCACAGATGTAAAGCTTTAATAGGAGACTCAAAGGGAAAATACAACATTTGCAAACATCGAAGAATAAAACTACCATGTTTTTACGAAATACCTTACTAGGATGTTGGTAAATGACAGTCTTAAGCATCCTGTAAAATTATAGCACCTGGTGTCAAGTCATTTTCAAGAAAATGGTATTTTTGTATACATTTCCAACGGTGGTCGGCCGACCACCGCTGGAAAAACCTAACTATTTTTCAACTACTGCTCCTAATTTACAAATTGTTTTCAGTCCAAATGTTGTTTGCTATTGGTTACATGTTTATGAACGGATGCAGGCCAGCTAGACTGGTTCCCTTACCTTACAATTTTCTGACATTTATAAATTGATCCATTTTATCTTTAGTGGAGTCAGGGAACCAGACTACTTAAACATTTTTGTTTTGCTTGATTTTTCCAGCATTTCCGAACACAAAACTTCAAACATGTCAGTTAAACAATATTTGATCTATTATACTAACCCCTCAAATAGTTCATTTCTGAAAATTACAGCAAAAGCCAATGATGTACATTCCCTTTAAATTCCTGAAAGCATTATCACAGCTTATTTTTTTCCCTTACCATAGAATTGTTGCAATCAGGAGACCAACTCCAATACAGTCCACAAACACCACCCACAGCAGGAACTTCAAAAACTGAAGAAATCCTAACCGTAAAACGATGGCAAATCCCACAGAAGAGGCTAACAAAAGCAATAAAGAAAAAACTAAATTAACAATCCAAAAACAAACAGTGCACCTCTATTTTTATTCTTAATTAGCTTCTATTTTGCAGGCGAGCAAGACTTCTGATGTAGGGTTGAAGCCCCTTCCTATGGATTTTTTCTAGGTGGGCAAGCACATTCCCCCCCCCCCCCCCCGAAAAAAAATCCTTGTACTTTTCTAGCATATTCTCGATTTATCATTTTTCGAGGGTGGGCCATTTGCCAACCCCAACCCCCCCCCCACCATTAAATTAACAGCAATATGACTTTGCGCCTCTTTTCCTTTCTTTCTTTTTCTTTTTTTCTCTCCTTTTTTTTTTTTGCTTCTCAAGGGGGGGGGGGGTGCCCCCCTTGCCCCCCCCTCCCTCACGACGCCCATGCCCCTTACAGTTTAAATCAACCCCCATACTTGTGTTGGATTTTGTACTTGGCTGCAACCTAAGGCCCGTGATCAAACCATATGTACTGTGTCCTTACCGCCTAAGCAAATACTCAGCAGAACAAGGAAGGCGGGGTCATCTCTCGCCCACTGGTCCTTAGTTTCTTTTGTAACAAAACACAAAACATGGTTAAATTAATTCCTGCAAAGAAGAAATAACCGAAGTTCAAGCAGAAACCTGCTTTTAATTAATGAGTTCTACAATTTGCCTGCATGCAATCTAATTGGGTGTAAACTTTTTTGCACTGATGTCAGAATCTTTCAAATAATTTTGTTGTGTATAACACATTACTTACGTTTGCTGTACTGGAAATTCCGGTATCTAGAAAGAAAACAAAGGACATTTCAAATTAAATCTATAGATCTATCTTGATCATTTACTTTTCATGCTGTTTTATTATTGGAAATGAACAAAACTGCTGATTCATGCATTTTGTTCATTTCCAATAATAACACCACTCAGAAGAATGTTCAAAACCTAACCTGTTAAAGTTTCAACTCGGTGGACGTTACACACTTTTTGAGAAAACATTGAAAAACCAAGCACAATCTTTCGATCTCAAACATGATTCCGTTACTCTGTTTGCCCCAACAATCAGTCAATTGACTGATTGTTGGCAATCACCTACATTTCTTGATTTCCTCTGAATGACAGCAAGCCAGATGGAATAATTTCACGGGGTGTTTAGTACTACTACGATGTTTAATCCAAATAATCTTTTTTATAAAAGTTCACCTCTAGGTTACTTTTGGGATAAATGCAAGTGATCCTATGCACAGCCGTTTTCCCACAGTAAAACTTATAAGCGAGATTTGATCTCAATGAGGTTGTGTTGTGCATCTCTCTATAGGACTGATGACATCATACGCATAACCCATATAAACATGTAGTTAATTTGCTTTTATAGTCCTGAGACCATCAAATTCAAAATACAATGTACAGTTAAGCCTGCAATATTTTTAAAAATAAATTCAGGGTAGTTAGGGTTGATCATAAACCCTAACTCCCTTGGCCTTTTTGCTAGGATGTAGCCTCAATCCTGCAAAATCCTTCAACTGGCCTCATGGAAAAATAGCATATGTGATGCGATCAAGCTATTAATGAGTTGTTTGTCGGGAACTTTGATTTGGAGATTCAGGCCAAAATAAGGCCACTTCATCACATCACTTCATCACATCTCTTGGTGTTCCGAGATGGTATCAGCATGCAGTTTTCACGTCAGTAATGCCGAGATTGTGCTCTTTTCAAAACTGTAAAAAAAAAAAATTACCAGGGTCGACAAACGACTCATTTAGCTTGATCGCATCACATACATGTATAGCCTCAATCCTGCAAATTCCTCCGTTATTTCTTGAATATGGTCCATGGAGGGGTGACCACTGCCTCAATCCTGCAAAATCCTCCGGCTATGACTGTCAATAGGCTGATGCAGAGGCAGTGACATCCTGGAGCAGTGCGGAGGATTTCAAGTATAATCAAGGACTAAATTTATGCAAGGCTGAGCATAAACAACACAAGGTCTGGCCCAAGACCTTGACACAGTGCGTACTCCGAAATCAGCAACGCACTTTTGCCATGTAACCTCAATCCTGCAAATTCCTCCAATTTGCAAAAAGGATTTTGGAGGATTCAGGGCGGTTAGGGTTAACTTACACCTTCTGTGGAGCCACCAGTAGGTATAACATTTGCCACATGGCAACTTCAAAATCCATCTGACGAAACATGAGGATCCTACGCATGAATTTGCGCCGTTTGGCCTGCGCCGTGTGTCTGTTCTCAAGCATGGGGTTGGGACTGGTAGGGCGAGACCCATTTGGACTGTTCGGGGGAGAGGATTTGGCAATGATGACTGATGACAACATCTTGACTTCAGGTTGTCCTCATCTGTGAAAGTTAATGTGCAAGTAAAGATTATTTCAGCGGCAACTTTTCTAAACACAGTGATATTGAACTTTTTCTCGTGACTTTTAATTCAATGAATCAATCATCAATGACCAGATGACTGCTACATGATCATACCATTGGAACCCACGACACTATTTCAACTGCAATGTCATTGTGCCTTCAGGACATGATGGCTAAACAATGTTAACCATTCATAACTTTATAATACAGGCCTATGTAACGTCATTAGCCTGTAACTTGTGTAAGTGTAAATAATATTTTAATAATATTCACTATACATGTAGGATTACATGTTAAACAAAATAGGCCTATAGCCTATTAAAATTTGTGACAAAACTCAGTCAGTCATTAAATCTATCAAGTATCATGTCTAAAAAAAGAGCATTATAAAACTGATACGTTACTCGTTACTCGTTAGCCTTCTTTATGATTAATTGTTAATGGTTTATTTTGCTTTTTTAACAATCACAGATATATTCGGGCTTTCTCTCTGTGTTCTGAACAGTCATGACAGTGTTCAATTTAACTTTCAATCGTTTATGATAATATTTTCACGAAATAGATTAAATGAGAAAACTATGCAGTTAAACATTTCGACTTACCAGAAACAGGCCTGCTTGGTTCTAAAATATTTTTGAGTATTCTGCTGGGGATGATGATGTGTATAAATGCTTCGCTATTAAATCATTTTGTCCAAATACCTCTAATGTAATGATACTTTATTGTGTTTACTTTGACATTCCGGGAAGTAGGCCTGCGCTGCGATCGTACATGTATGTAAGGTGAATCATATGTAAACGTTGGAACATTTTCCGTGGCAAATGTAACCTCGATCACAAAATATTTTGCGTATATTTTTATTTGAAAGCTAAAAGGTATAAAATAAAATACCAAATTTAGATTAAATACCTATAGCCATTGTAGGTTTTTAATATTTTCAAGGTGTTCATACAAATATTGCAATTTGCTTTTTAAAAAATTCATTAAAAAAATTATTTAGGAAATTAAAGATGGCAGCGCCCATGTTGCGATCTTCGTGAATGCTGGACCTTATAATTTGCTCGCTTTTTAAAGTTTTCCCCTTGAATAAATCACCATGCCGAAATACTTTGAAGATAAAGAAGAGTCTAAAAGACCATGTTCTGGAGTACGGGAAGATCTCAAGACGTGTCTTCTTGAAAGTGACTGCGTAAGAATTGTGAGTGGTACTGTGTTGTGTTATTGTTATTTCAAGGGCATGATGATGATGATGGGTGGTGCCGCGCCGGTTATGAGGGTGTACGGTGGTGGACGAATCAACATGATCAATGACAATGCCAATGGTACGGCGCATTTTTGGTGGGCGGGGACGGGATTAGTATAGGAGAAGGGGATTAAATAAACACATTATCATGTCGAGTTCGTAACACAGTGACTATCTTTCATTTTTTTAGTAAATCTATTTTAAAAAGTAAATTTTTTTTGGGGGGGGGTGTTCAATTTTAGTTGAACGCCTGCCCCTTTCCCGAAACGTCCTCTAACGTGTTGCTAGGCTAATTAAAATCTGATGGTTTTCATGTAGATTGTCAAAGTTGTTTCAAAAAGTATATATAATAAGTTTATTATATTGATGATGAACTTGAATCAGTACAGTTAATATATCTGTCTGGATATGGACTGATTGTATTTTTTATTTAGAAATGCATGTAATGAGAATGATTGGCTGTATCTTTTTTTTGGCCTCCTGTGCTGTGACAGTTACTATATATTTCATGGTCTTTTGACAACTAATTCAACATGTTAAAGAATCTCTGTTGCAAATCATGCCCCCCCCCCTTGCCCCTCACCCCATCCTAACTCGCCCCCATCCTAACCCACCCCCAATCTGCTACCCACCCACCCCCAAAAAACCACACAAACAAACAAACAATCCAACACCCCAACAAACAAACAAACAATGATCGAGCCACATGGAAAAAAAAATATAACAGGAAGCTCAAGATCATCAACAATTTTGACAGAAGTTTTTCACAACGAAAGCAAGAAACCTCTTTTAATATGATTTTCTTTTTTATTTTTATGAAGGACAAGAAAACCCCCAAGGAATGTTTACAGTCAGGTACAAATGTTAATGACAACTGCCGAGCACTACAGGTTGCCTTCTTTGAATGCAAGAGATCACTTGTGAGTAAACAAAGTTCTGATTTATTCAATTCCTTGCGTGAATCCAGCTGACAGTCATTGTTAGACTCTGTGTTTATCGCATTAGGTCAATACTTTGCCTACATGCTGTTGATATTAAGATACATGTACTTCCGAAGAATCTAATGAGGATAAAATTCAAGGCAATTAGTTTCATCCTTTACCTTATAATCAAATTGAAATTCGCGGGAAACCAAAAAGGTCTCTCAGACCCCACTCCAATAAATAAGTTGTATATCCTGGCCTGGCACTGTAATCTTGAAGGGTTTTTACCTTTTTTTCTCTGTCAACTTTTGTGTCTCTGTGTAACTTTTGTGTCAACAACATAATTAACGATTGGGTTTTGTTGTTTTGAAAGAAGTTCTCTCGAAAAGGGTCATTATGCAGTAAACACTGAACCCAAGCGATGACAGAATCCAATGATAGTATCCATTTAAATCTCTCATGCCCAATATGTCTCTCAATTCAAAATATGAGTTTGCATCCTTCTCACGCCTCACCGCACCCATCCTTATAACATCGCATCATCATTGGAATCCCTCATTCTCCTGACGACAGGCAGAGCATACTGTTCGAAACGTTGAGTCCCTCCGGTTCTTTTCAGAACCACACATACTCACAAAAGAGATTTATTCACATGGTGCTACCGCAAACTTATCTTGTCTTAGTATCTTTCCACCATGCAAACCTTCAAATCTTATCAAAATATGAGAATCAAACTCATGATTGTTGTCATTGTCTTAAACCTGACAGTTGGACAACAGGACAAGATTCCGAGGAAGGAAGGGCTACTGAACCACCATGAATAATACTGAAGATGGAGTTTGGATGTCAACTCCAAGCAGCAAGATCCAAGAACCAGTGTATAGCCTGCTTCCAACTATCAATATCTTGAGGATTTGGACAGATTGGTGCGATAATCCTCATCCCTTAAAGCAAGCCTGTAACTTTGTGGATTTATAACTTTGTGTTTAAGTCTTATAGAGATTCAAAGATGGATGGAGTGAACACAATACAATTTGAATTGCCTGATTTGTCTTGTATTTGATCACTGAATGATGTGTAATTCTGGTTTTGCAGAATCTTTTCATCTGATTGAAGCAGATTTCGAAATCCATATGAAAACATTTTTCCATGGAGAGAAAAAGATTGAGTAATTGCATTCCACTGGTCAGAAAAGAAATATTTTATTTGGGTTTATGGTACAGCAACTTTTGAGGAAAAAAGGTAGTTCTTTTTTTTTTCGTGAGAATGCCAAAAGCTTTGACATTAGACTTACACATTTTTCCTTACACATGTTACCAAGGTAAATATCCAAATACGTGTACTCAATCTTGAAGTGTGTTTATCAAATTATAAGTTATGGCATGACTGGCACTGGTGCCTGATGCATCTAGGGTTGATTTTAGCTTTGAGTTTTTAGGGGCGGAGAAAGATGGGGAAGTGAGACCATGAGAAGATCGGAGAACTGCATTTAAAGAACGTTTTTCTGTCTAGTTGTTTATTGTACAAACATTTCTGTATGAAGATACTGAACAGTTAAAGTTCGCTCGTACCCCCTGCCCTGCAAACAGGACGCTGGGAAGGGCTGATCTCTTTGAGCTCTCATTGGATAGATTTTGCGTGACCTGTGATGTAGCATGCAGCACTGCTGCTGTGTATCACGTGTAACGCATGCTAGCTGCATGCAAAAGTCATGTTAGGTTAACCATAATGCCATCCGTACTTCCTTCACAAGATTCTGTGAAGCGGCATCAGCCCTTCCCAGCGCCCTTCCCGGCGCCCTTCCCGAGCGAACAGTTATCTGTGCTGTGTTCATTGTGATTATGACATATTCAAATTTTCTTTGACATTGAATGAAATTCAGATTTTTTATAGGAGATATGTTTTTAACTGTCCTGTGATAGTCTGAATTTTGGTCAAAATTAACCTGCTTTGGAGAGTGTTATTTGAGACAAATAAATCCATAAGGAGATGTTTAAATTCAGCAATACTGATATATATTGGTAGTTATATGATTTATTTTCATTCCCAATTCACATTCAACCAAGTTAGTTGTGGACAAGAATTTCTTACCGTTCCTTATATATGTACCTTTGATGTGAACAAATAACATTTTTATTTACAAATAAAAAAGTCACACTTGTGTTTGGTTTTGATTTATTTGTCTGTCTTGTCTTTTATTATTTACTGCTGAAGCCATATATAATATTGAGTATCTGTTTGGACTTTCGGGGCTGAAAAGGCGTGGCCAGGAACTTGGCATGCGACCCAAGGTTGAAATTAAAAGTATTTGTTATTTAATGGCGGTCAAGGTTAAGTGATTTTTTGTGTTGCTGTGTTCAGATTTTTAGGCCTCCCCCCCTTTTTTTTTGGGGGGGGGGGGGAGTGGTCGTAATACAATCTTCCAGACACAACCAAAGTAATTAACATAAAATTTTGCAGAATTCTATAAATACGTTATGATGTGATTTAAAGAAGTGGAGAAATTAGATCAAAGGATGTGGGGTAGGTGAGCAGGGGCAATTTGTTTGCAATTAGGGTTGAGCACATATTTTTATTTTTTTCACACCGTCTCCAACTTCATAATTAGTCCATCCTCCCGTGTATGAAATCAGTTTACACCTGGATAAAAATCCGGAGGAATTTATTTTGCAATTTTGTTTCTAAACTATTTTCAGCGCCTTCCCTTAAAAAAATATCCCTCCCCCCCCCACCCGCAAAATAGGGGCGTTGCTTCAATTCTGTTGCTTTAGGTCGATTAGGAAAACTTAAGTTAAATTATAGATCACATATCTGGATCGGTAGGTGGTTGATATTTTGGACACAAATAAGACGTGTATATTTGACTTTTTCATAAGGCTTGGTGAAACCACATGCATTTGCCACAAACTTGAATGAGCGCGCCATAATGGAACGGGCTGTTTAATATATTCAAATCATTTAAAATCCCACGTGTTCCCGGATATACATCCATCATGCTTTGCGCGTTTCGACAAAATGGCAGCTATCGGGAAACCGTATTTTAGGTTTTAATTTTTGACTACGAATTTGTCATTTTATTGAACCTTAAAGACGACATTATTGACTTGAACGTGTGAGGTACAATCTGTAGAGCGCAGGTGAGTAAATTTTAGAGAGTTTTTTGGGAGGAAAGACTTGGAAAACGAATGGCAAATTCGTGGAAACTTTGGTGAACCCAGTGAGTGCACTCGTGCGTGTCCGAGTCGCCAGGTCACGTTGGCAGGTTGGGAACATTTGTAGCAGCATCTTGTACAATTTTGCGAAGTTCGGCATTAGCAGAACATTTTTTTGTAACTCCGAAGTGGCTTATCATGATCAGAGTATCTTTCCTGATATTGTCAGTCCTAAATTGGTGTTCCGTTTTCAACTTGTTTATCGGTGCAACTTTTTATGAGAGAAACTTAAGTTTCAAAGACCTGACGTGTTGTATCATGGAGGAAGGAATTTGGTTGTATATAGCCCCACGGAAAAAAATCCATACTGAGCCACCACTCAGAGCTCCTGCACACAAGACTATGGGCCATGACGGAACATTTTAAAGTATTATCAAAGAATTGTTGCACCTCTCAAACAGTGTTTCTTCATCAGATTTACTACTTTTTGTACTTTTCAGGTCATATTAAGGAATATGAGTGGTGGCCCAGTATGGAATTTTTCCCTGCTCCCAAATTATACACAGTATTTTGCCCCCAATTTAAAGTACGTTCAGAAAGATTAGAGTATCCAAACACCACTTCTTTGGTGTGTATCGAGAGTCAAGTACATTTTCAATTATGCAAACAAAATTGAAAATGTTTCTCAGTCCCAGATTCATGTCTTTTCAACATTTTTGCAATGACTGATCTTCATAAGATGATGGGGGCCTAAACAAGGGGAAAAAATGGTGTCAGGATCTTTCCATTTGGGTTTTTAGGAAGTGGTCCTAAATGTTTATTTATCTTTGCACTTGGAGTGTAAATGTGATGGAGTCTAAGTTGAGTGCTGAAAAACATGCACATTCAGACCAACTTCACCACTCTTAAATATTATCCCCAACTCCCTAGGCATTTTTGCTGGGGGGGGGGGGGTGGTAAGGGGGTATTACCCCCCGCCCCCAATATTTTGTAAATACTGCCTTTTCCATTCAAAATGCCCATTTTTTGCAACTGGCTTACCCCCCAATATTTTGTAAATAGTGCCCTTTTTTTACGAAGTTCCCTTTTTTTCCTGAACAAGTGCCCTTTTCAAAAAAGAAGTGGTGCCCTTTTTTGTGGCATCTGCCGTTTTGGGTGCCTTTTCCAGAATTGTGCACATGTATCTCCCTGAAAAGCACCATATATTGGCCCTTTGTGTGCATAATTGTCGGTTTTGAACAGCGTCCCCATTGACAGATGGCACTATCCCCCCCCCCCCCCCCCCCCCCCGAATTGTTTTATTTTACGGAGGCCAAGTGTCCGGAGAAAAAACCTGTCTACATTTCACAATGGATGTGCAAGTGCCCTTTTTAAAAAATGTTACCCCCCCCAATAAAAATGACCGTGCTACGCCCCTGTACAACCTCCATTTTTACAACACAAAAAGATGGTCGCCATTGTTCAACAAGCCAGAAACTGTATGCGACCCCAATAAATATGTACGGGTTGAGCTTAGGATGCCCTGCTTATATTCACAAGTCATTCATTACACGCACGTTCGCGTGTGCTTTTCACATTTTTTAGACCTATGTGCACTTATGTAAGCATTATATTGTAGTTCTCACACTATGATTGCAAATCGATGAAGTCTTGCAAAAGTCTTCATTTTTCAACCGGCAATATGGACTAAAAATATAAATGGTTCGTGCAGGTGTTTCACATGTAGATAAAGCATACACTATCCTCTACCTACTGAAACTTGCCATTTCTTTCGGCCTTTTTTAACCCTAACCCCCAAAGGGCTGTTCAAGTACCAAATATCACAGAATACTACATGAGCTGTGCACACATGTATGGAAAGAAATTCATACATAGTATTTGAAGTATAGGGGGCGGTTAGGGTTAAAGAATCGAATGTAAACCTAAAAACAATCGGCCCTTGCTTTTGTTGCTATTAAGCAGTGGCGTAGCCATGGGGGGGGGGGGGGCACAGCCCCCCAATGAAACCTTGTCGCCCCCCCCAGTTGCCCCCCCCCCCACTGAGATTTTGAGTGTCTAAAAAAAATTATCATTGATCTACATGACGCCCCCCCCCATGAAATGTTCCAGCCCCCCCCCAGCGCCCCCCCACTGAAAAATTCCTGGCTACGCCACTGCTATTAAGTATGATGTTTATTTGTTGTGCTGTAACAACAACTCAGTTTTGTCAAAAGCAGTTATATTTGATATCAATTAAAGCACACGTGTTCAACTTTTCACTTGCTTTGCCATCTTGGCCGAACAGTGGAATATCCAGGTGCTTGTCGTGCTTTTCTGTAGTCTCGAATGCAGTCTCGTAAAATCTCGTGTACAATTGTAGGCTTTTGGGCCATGCGTGCGTGACCCTCGGACAAGAAACTGAGGTCAAACAGGGCTCTGCCAGTGACACAGCCACTGACTGGATCGGCATCCTGTTACAATTTTAATTCCATTCTATGGCCAAAAGCAATATGAAAATTGAGTGATACATACTATTTTCTACACAAAATGTCAGAAATACTTCAAAGAAAAACATGTACATGTACAATTAATTAGTTCCGGTTAACTAAATCTGACATGTATTATTGTTGTATGCAAATAATGCAAAACTTATTTTTGTTTCCCCTTCTCCCCTTTTTTTCTCTATAATTCAGATTTCTGCTTACCACCCATGAATGCTCAGCCTACCGTCCCATCCATCTTCTGAAGGAATCTTGATCCTGGACAGTCTGCAGTATATACATCTTGAAATGGTAAGTGACTACAGATTTTGTCGGTGCAAACTCTAGAGTTGAAATCGAGTCCTCATGTTTGGTTTGAGTTCGGTTGGGTAATTTTTTATCTGAGCATCCCCCAAATTGGCTTCATAGTGGTCTCTGATCGTAACTGCATTCACTCACTAACAGTTTTCTAGGTTCATGAATATAGCCAGCCCATTCGTCTGATCAGAGAGTTTCAACCCATTTTTTCAACATTACAGCTAGTTCTCAATCTAGTTTTTTGTTTTTTAATTAAGAGGCGGGCATTCAATTCGTCACTGTTTTCACAAAGGGGCGAATTTCATGAAAATCGTCTGTTTTTCAAAATTTGCTTTTTTGGTGAAAATAAACATGTCAATATCTACAACCTGGTGTAGCTTGAGTAACTCCAGCTCTAATGCTTCGATAAGCATTAGAGCTGGAGTTACTCAAGCTAAACCTGGCGAGGCTATACTTTCAAAAAATTAAATAAAATCTTAATTAATCTAATTAACGAATGGGTGAATTTGCCACAAGTGCTGTTTTGCGTTTTCAGGAAGGGGCAAATTTCCGCACTCTATGGTATTAATAAATTTTCAGTAAATAAATCATACATTGTAATACAATGACGCGTTATCACGAAGGGGCGAATTTCAGGCGCGTGCAATGAAACATTTTCACGAAGGGGCGAATTTCAAGGCGCACGCGCAGTGGGGCAGAATCTGCACATAGTAGGGCGAAATCTGCGCGTACTCACTCTAGCGTTTTCACGATCACGAAGGGGCGAATTTGCTAATTGTTTTTTTGGGTTTTTTTTTCACGAACAGCCACTTCTCTTAATTGATTAATTCTGCAAAACTTATCACCTATTTTTCTTAAAGTTTGCTACATTAAGGAAAAGTAAAATCTCTTCCTTCCTCTGATACCTAAATCTTGCATATTTTATGCATCTTTAAGTTTCAAATTGCCAAATGAAAAAAGGACCAACTTTAAACGCGATTATCTCAAATGTTTGTTCAAACAGTGAAATACTAAATTCGCCTCTTTTTGAAAATGGTGACGAATTCCTCAAACTGTATATCCAATCATCATGTACAGCATTCCATGCTGCACCTCGCTCACATTTTTGTTGGCATGACTGTGAGCTGAATGGGAACTTCTGGTGAAATCTGATGACCATTTTTCGGTTTAAAAAAATAAAGATTTTGAAATTCAACAAATTCTCACTCTATAGGCAGTTCAGCTGCAGCTAGCAAATTTTCATTGCATAAACAAAAACCCTTTAAATTGTGCAAATATTTTCCCAATTTTTGATACTGAATATTACATGTAAAGGATGAGTTTTGAATACATGCGTTGTGTCAGTATCTGACACAGATTGTGTAACTCTGAAACACAGCATTACCTATTAAAGGTATAGTCCACCATTGTAATGTGTGCATTTTGTTCGTTTGAAGCAACAAAAGTGCTCAAAATCTAAAGAAGGGTGCTGAACAACTAACCTGATGAAGTTTCACCTCAGCTTCAGCTGTATTATTTCGAGAAAAAACAACATTCTAGGATGTTGATTTCAAATCAAAAGTTGCTGAATCATGTTTTGAATTGGGCTTGAATTCAGCGTCCGAGACACATTCTCACTGAGCCGATTGCAGCGACACGATGTCGCTCACTGATCCGAAAAATAGCAACCTTGCACGCGCTTCGCCGATAAAAAAACCGAACTGCTAGTATAAGACGCACCGTTGGAAAGGCTTTCTTTTGTTGATTTCTTCAAAATGACAACTTGCCAGGAAGAATAATTTCACAGGGAGTTTATACTATCTTTCAACCAAGTATGTTTTTCAACAACTTACGCCAGTTCCTTTTCGGATAACTGCAAATGATGGACTGTAGCTTTAAAAGCCCAAAACTTAAAACCAACCCATTCTAGCCCGATGAAAAAAATTGGGAGACACACATACTCATGACAGGAAAGACACCAAAGAAAAATTCAGTGGAACAGGGGCAATCCTACTTTTGAGGCTTACGCCTATATCGGTAATTTTAAAAACCTTTTATCAGTACTCTGTATCTGTTCGTTGTAGTTTTGGAGGATGCAAGCAATTTTCCTTAAAGGGAATTAGGTAAAAATGAATGGCATTAACATAACTTTTCATCTGGATTAGTTTGTTGCGAAAGAAGTTTTTGTCTAAAGTCAGTGTTTGGTCAGGCAAATTTTGGTTTCGACACCATGTTGAATTGATAATTTTGTGCAGTCAAAAAGGGCAGGTTGTCCTGCAATTTGCTTGCGCCGGGACGGAAATGTCAGCATCAAGCATTAAAGTCATATTCGGGTCTTAAACCGAGAAATCAAGTGACAGCATTGAACATTGTCAATTCCGACTATTGAACCTTTCAGATTTATCATACCTTCTGAGGTCGGACTATTGAATCTTAATAGTTTTCATCATTTCGTACTATCAAATCTTGGTACGAATTAACCTTATTCTAGACTATCGAATATTAGGACAAATGAACCGTCAAATTATCGAACCTTAATTCGAACCTACGAACCTTGGGATAAACGTTTCTCAATTGTGTAAAACCCTCCAAAATTGTGAATTTGTAAAATTTTAGAGCTAGGTTTGGGGTCTGACGAGTTTGAAACAATTCTTTGTGTAAATCATAAACTTTGTAAGTTCAACTGTTATTTCTTTTACCTTACCCCCAGGCTACTGTCCATCATCCAGCTAACACCTTGGACCTCCGGGTGCCCTTTCACTCCAAGGAGACATCATCAAGTTGCGGTAGATGTGTCCATCTAATCTATGATAAACTGGACTGCGCCCTTACCTACAAACCCCACCTTAAAACCAATGCAAAAATACGCACCGGAAATTACATCATCTAAAGTTGGCTGCTACTGTTTGGGGAGCTAATTATGCGGAAACACTCAGAGCCTCTGTCCTGGCAGAATACTGTGTCCATGTGTGGGCAAACTCAACACCACATGACAATGAGACTAAGCTCCGGAGCCATCCCCTCTACCAACAATGAATAGTTAACGGTTCTGTGCAATATCGCACCCCGGCCTTCACATCCGACACCGGGCAGCAACTGGCAACTTCCTGCCTAGGATGGCGACCAAGACACTCCCCACCTCCCAGGATATCAACCATCCTCCCAGATAGCAGCTACCATCAAGGAAACTCTTTTGGACCCTGGAACAACTTATGATAGCTAGTTACCAACTTTGGCAGCAGGAATGGGACAGGAGCAGCGCCCCACGAACAAGGAACTGATCACCGACTCTACTGTTAGGAATGGACCTCCCACGCAACCTCTGGACCTAGTTGCACTGGTTCTGATCTAGCGGTGGACCCTGCAGGGCTACCATCCACAGTTGGATCAGCATTGTGTCCCCTCTCGATCTGCACCTGCGGAGCTGAGGAGATGATGAACATCATCATAGAGAAGTGCCCTCTTCAGCAGTTCCAAGGCGGTGTCTCAGCACTTCATCTCACAGATGACCAGGCAGTGACGTGGCGAATAACACGCGGGGAAACAGCTTTGAGGAGAGAGATGTGTTTATCTTGAAATGGTAAGGCTCGAAATATGTTTTTGTAAATTCCTTCTTTGATGCAGAAAGTTACTTGAGCTGTGACAAGTTTATATAAGTTACAACTGCAAGAAACAGAGATGCCACTTTTCCGGTCTTAGCTGGAATTCCGGGGTTTTTTTAAATCTCAAAAGCTTCACGGCGCGTGGCGTGTTGTGTGCTAAGCACACGAAGCAATTCAGCCTGGAAATCAAGTCTATCATTTCAGTTTTCGGTGGTTTCCGATGGCAGTGATATACATGTATGTGAATACAAAAAACACCGGGTACCAACTTATAATGTTTTTCACGTGCATCCCGCAGTGCAAAGGTCATGTACACCAACAGTGTTGTGAAATCATGCATGTTTCGTGCCGAATATTACGTTGGAAATTTGGGTAGGCAGCTTAAAGCCATAGAAGCAAAAATTTAAAATAAATAGAACTGGGCTTGGCTATAAGAGAAAGATGACAATGAGGACTTTGTGTCGGAGTGGCTTTTTCACAAAAAATAAAGTTCCGGTTTTTTTTTCATGTAGCTGTTCAGTGGTTTTTCAAGCAGACCCATTCCGTTATTTTTTTTAAGCAGACCCTGGAGCATCTCTAAAGAAAGTCAAAAGAGGTTCTTTTTTTCATGATGTACAATGTATGTACATGTACATGTAGTTAAGTACTGTTTCTTCCCAAATTAATAGTTTTGAGGTGTTCTGGCGAAATGACTGAGGCAGAACCGGGCATGGGTTGAAATAAGGATTTGCTGGTCTCAGCTAAGGAAAGAAAATAAAATTCTCCTTATACTGTTGCAGTGTTTCGTGCACTTCAGTTGGACATTCTGTTGACAAGTTACGGCTGATTCAATATTCACATTAAGGGGGAACCAACTTCCCTGTCCCCATTCCATTGAGTTCAATTTTTAAGTATTAGGCCTAACGTTAGGTCTGTTCCATCCAAAGAATCTTTTCGGGACCCGAGTCCAGGGGTTTCAAAATAAGCCAGCCGATTTTGCCCGGCTATTTGAATTTTTTGCGCCAGCTACTTTTTGCCCAATCATGGGGAAAAAAACCCAATTATTTCTCACCACTGGTACATGTATTGCACAGTGAGAGAACCTTTGAACTAAACCGCGATCCAACTGCAAGTGCCACGTACGCAATATCGGTACCAAACGCATGATGCGGATACGAACATACGTACTCATACATAAAAACATATTAAAAAAACAAAGTTCACTCCTAAAAGAGGATGAAGCATCCCTTTACAAAATTAATGGATCCGTCCATAGAACAAAAACTTCAAGTGATATTTTTTTCAAAGAAGGTCGCGATCAAAAAGTTGGAATTTTGATGTTAATTTGTACTTGTTGATGAAAATATGATTTCAGTTTGGAACAGTAAAAAGGACCTGTTTGTTCTAAGGACAAAACTAATCAGCAATTATATTGCCACAAAGAAAGTGTTCAGTTTAGGCATGTCCAGAGAGACGGAACGCGTCGGGAAAATATATACGTGCGGGAAAATTTGATCATAGATCGCCGGGCTCGGCGCGGCTAGGCCAGGGCGCGGCACGGGCTAGCTACATGTAGCTGGCGGTGCACTGTCCAAATGTTCATTTCTCGGCAATGTCATGATCTACAATTATTTGCGGTGTTTTGTCTAAAACAACAAAAATGAGTTTCCTCCTTCAACTTGTGTTGAAGCATGTGGAAATTGCGATGACCATTTTTATCAGAGACCTGTGCGGTATCCACATGCGTTTACGGTGATTATTTACAAAATGTTGCCTCCGTTCTGCCGATGGTTACAAACTTAAAATCTAAACAAGTATATCGCGAATAGGCCCTATTCTTGAAATTGAAAACTGGGCTGATTTAAAACCAAGAACATTTCTAAGAAAAAAATTTTAGGGCCAAAAAACCTGCAAAGTACATGCAAAGAAAAGGGGAGAAACTTGGAGTAGTCTACTGCATGATTTATTTTTCGTAGTCATGACTCCTGCGAAGATGTGTTTAGCTGCCTAATAACTCCTCTGTTTCATTTTAGTTTGTTTTAATTACACTGAGTTCAAACTTCAATTCAATGTTTAGTTATAGTTAAATAAATGTTCAAGCAATTTGTTCTCGCACTTAAACTAGGCTCAACTTTTCGACACAACAGTAAGGAAAATAATACATGTAGGAAACATCAGAAAGCATCTTTGGCCCTTGCAACAATTTTCAAATTATGTCATACTGGTACAGTCCCTTTTTCTAAAAAGTGCCAATGAAAATACCTGGTTCCCAACTTGTGATTACATTTACAAACTTAGAGCAAGATTATATTTAAAATAAATAAAAACAGACTTTCTCTTTTTTAATTAAAAAAACGTCTGCTCAAGGAAATTAATAATAATAATCGGCATTTAAGAACGCTATTATTAGTAAACTAAATCACAGTGCTTACAAATAATGAACAATTAAATTAAATAAATAAATTAAGTTAAATAATAAAAACAGGTAACATAGACAATTAATTAACCCTTACCCTACTTGACCCTCCAATGCATGCCAATTGTGCCTTAAGAAAATCTCCTATGTTTTTTGCATGGCCCTCCAATATCTGCCATGTCATTTCAAGGGTAACTGGACAGGCACTCCAATACATGCCACAGAGAACAATGAGAGTCCTCTGATAACAAAGTGAGTGCCCCCAGCTGGTCAGTATCAGGCACCCTCCAGGGCCTCCAACTCCTGCCAATTGGAGCCTTCACTGTTAAGACTTGTTATCTGCCAAATAACTGCAGCTGGAGGGCATTGGCATAACCAACTGACATGCAGTAAACTACCCTCAGAGAGTAAGGTTAATTGATTATTGGTGGAATAAATTGGTCTTGATCAGCTTCTTGAATTGCTCGAGAGATTTGGCATTTTGAATGGAAAAGGGCAGACTATTCCACTCCTTCGCTGCAGTGACTGTGAAGGTTCTGTCACCAGCTTTGTTGTGGGTACGTGGGAAAGTCAGACGAAAAGGATTAGAACTAGAACGGAGGTTCGGTCTGGGGGGAACATGAGGCAAAATGCAGGACTGCATATATTCTGGTGACTGGTTGTGAAATGATTTGTATACCAAAAGTAATAACTTGTAACGTAATTGGCCAGGAATCGCCTCAGATTGCACCACAGAGCATCTAGAATTCAACATTTACATGTACATGTATACACAAGATAAAACTGTGATTTGAAGTGTCTATGTAAAGGATGATTTTTTGAGTCAAATTTATTTGGTTATGAAAAGAAATTCAACATATTTGTCTTTTAAGTACCCGATAGGATCTTTGAAACCCAAGTCTCAGATGCCAGAAAATGCCTAGATTGCACCAGAGAGCATAGACAATCCGAAAACTTCCAGGGCCCTCCGCGGGCCCTGGACCCCACGCCATTAGGGGCTGGGACTCACTGCCACCTACTTTCATTCAAACTTTCATTCAAACTTTCATTCAAACTTGTACTACTCTTAACGTTCTGTAAAAGTTTATGTAAAACGCTATAAAGAACGATCTATCACACGTAAAAAACCTCTTTTTTTTAATGATCCCGACACACAGTCGTCTGCTGCAGTCGCATGTGGTTTAAAAGTCCCAACTTTTAATCTCCAAAAAGTTCTTCAGAAAACACCTTTTCAACTCATGGAATAAGTAAGATTATTCACGTTTGTGTATTTATTTCAAGTTGTTTGATGCTTGAATGATTTCTATTGCAATTACATGTAGTTATACTTCAAAACCATAGAGCTATATTAAATTACTAGAGCACTAACTCGATGTACAAAGTAATGCCTGATGGGCGCATCCATGTTTCCTATGGAAAACTCGAAATTTTGTACGGCTATTTGCATATCTGCGTTTGTATTCCATACCGGTGCGTCATTGAAGCTGATATGCCCAAAACTGAAACGCACGATCAGCAAATGAGCGTTTCATTATTTGCTCTACGCAAACAGCGCAGATGCTTTTCGCCGTGACCTTTTTTTTAACCATCAGGACGCGCTTAAGTTGTTTGCGTATCTTCTACTTGCGCGTTGCATTTAGAGTACACTTTTAAAATTCAATCCATCTATTTTGATTGTGTTCTACAAACACGCACATAAATTCAAAATGTCTGCGCCCAGAGCGGCTTCAAAGCGTCTCCGCGCGCAAGAATGAAGAGTTAGTGCTCTAGTAATTTAATATAGCTCTATGGTCAAAACATACATTGTAACTTGACCGGACTATTTGGCAGTGGCACCATCAGGCAGTGACTCCTCAATACTGAAATTCTATCTGACCTGTATATCTAATGGGCAACATGCACTTTTTATTTTAATTTGTCTATAGTCTTTGCTGTTAAGTAATAATTTGCATCAGAAAATTTCCTGGCAAACATACCCAAGACCTGATTTTGGTTTTTCTTTTTAGACAAGTATTTTTTTGCTGGGCATTTGTATATTTACATGTAGCATGTTTTGATGTTTGGCACATGTACATGTAGACGGTAAGTTGTGGATTTCAAATGGAATCTGTAATTTTAATTTGAATAAAATAACTTTATGAATTGCTCCATTCTTTTCAGGACTCTTGCAAGAATCTGTGGAGATGTTCACCTTCGTGTTATCATCAGAGGGGACTTTTTTCTAAAAGAGCTAAGAATTCAAGACATGGGTGAGTTCACCATTCATTTACTTCTCAATTGTGACGCGATCAAGCTAAATGAGTCGTTTGTCGACCCTGGTCAATTTCTTTTTTACAGATTTGAAAAGAGTACAATCTTAGCATTACTGCTGTGAAAACCGCATGCTGATACCATCTTTAGTTCAAAAATTATGGAAGTCGGAACACCAAGAGATGTGATGAAGTGATGTGATGAATTGGCCCTATTTTGACCTGAATCTCAAAATGAAAGTTCCCGACGAACGACTCATTTAGCTTGATCGCATCACAATTGTCACTTCATACGTGTATGTACATGTACATGTACATGTAGCCATGAATGTTGGATGCAAATTGCAACCTCATAAAATTTCAAAAGTGCTTGCAAAAGAAAACCGTAGCATAAGTATTTTTGGCAATTTAAAAAACAAGTGTTTTCTGTAAACTTTTTTTTCAAATCCTGGCTACAAGTTCCAGTATTGTACATGTATGATATTAGCTGTCAAATCTGTTGGTTTTGTGACCAGGAAACAATTTCATGGCCTTACTTAACAGTCAACAGAAACCTGCGTTAAAAAAAGCCAAAAAGTATTGTAATCCTTCAGCCAAACTCACAACGTAGACATGGTAACACTTGCGCGCAAATAGAAATTTTTCCCATCATTTACTTGATTTGTCATTATTCAGTTTTCCCTTGTGCGTTCAAAATTGGTTCGGCAGCATTCAATGAATGGATATAGGCTCCATTAGTAGAATATTACATGCTTAGCAGCGCCATCTAATTGGGCCCTGGTCTTTATCATTCTCGGGTCTTGTTTCATGTCATAAATTCACTAGCTTCATTGATCTCCATTTAAGACTGGATAGGACACAGCGTTCTCCATCTTGTGCACGCAGGCCTAGCCATCGGTGAGGGTTTTAAAGTTTGAAATGCGTTCGTCACACACAGACCATGCAGCACGCGCACATCACGCATGCGCGGTCGCAAACCTTAAACCCGCACTGTACTACCCAGCCGTTTGTGTCTGCGTTTTCCGAATCTTCACTGCGCACAAGTATACGCGTGTCCTAGCCAGTCTTACTAATGGAGATCAATGATAGCTTCATGCCAGTTCAATTTTGGCTTCAAGTGTTGAAAATATAGTCAAATATGTTGTCAAAGTACAATGACAACACGAGACGTCGGACTTATCATGCAAATTTTCTTGATCCTAGGAATTCACGTGTGTAGATGAAAGATTCACAATGCGCTGTGCAACAAAGCGTTTGCCATTTGTCAACCTCACAGTCAACTTGACAGTTTATTGCAATTAACCATCCGTCCAATTAACAAAATTTGGAAGCAAGTAAAAGTCAGTTGTTAGGAAGTTACATGTATAGCGCGCATCCAAACTTAGTAAAACATCATCACCTAGTGCAAAATGAACTGTATAGCAAGTAGCTGCAAATAGGTTGCAGCTTTTTGTATGACGTAAAGCACATAAGCAGCACGCACATAAACACCGCAAACATTAGATGCTTACATGTATATTGTGAATCGCTCATTTATTACTGATTTGACCAATGCGATTGACGGTCTTGCATTTAAGTTTTCATTTTGTTACCACGTGGTAACGAAATGAAAAATTAAATGCACCAAGCAAATGTAACAGATTAAAACTGTGATGTTTAACTATTTTGGATTTTTGCATGGGTTGTCCAAGCAGTAAATCATGTCGTTTTTTCCACTGAGACCAACTGTTAAAATCAAAATGACATCAAGACTTTCCATTATTATTATCTATCGGCATTACTTTTATTCTGGCAGTAGCGTGACAAACATATACTTTTTCTGTAATTTTACATAAAGACCTAAATGAATTTTCATTTTAACTATGCCAACTATCAAAGTATAAATAGCATTGTAATGTCCTTGCAATTATTGCTAGAAATCCAATAGTAGGGCACTCAGTTATGTTTAGCGGAAATGTCTTGAACAAGGCCCTGACTTGATAACGCAGTTAAAAATATTGCTCTCTTAAAAATGCCGTTAAAAATATTGCTAGAAACCCAACTTAATTTAGGTCAGTCAGTTATGTTTGGCGGTAAAGTTTTGTACGAGGCTACATGCAGTTAAAAATATTGCTAGAAACCTAGCTTGTTTTAGGATAGTCAGTTACAATGCCTGTTTGGCGGTGAAGTTTTGTACGAGGATACATGCAGTTAAAAATATTGCTAGAAACCCAACTTATTTTAGGTAAGTCAGTTGTGATTCACGGTAAAGTTTCGCACGAGGCTACATGTAGCTCTTTATAAATCGCAGTTGAATATAACTTACATTTGATAACTATGTACATGTAGGAGGTAGAACAACGATTAAATAGTACTAATAATCCTTCAGGACTTTAATTTTATATTTACAAAAATGCTGCATTGCACTGCTGAAAAAAAGAACAGTTAATTTCTCTTAATTTTTTTAACATGTCTCTACCGACTTCTTTGTGAATGTTACTGTCCATGATAAAACTTTCTCACAATTTGAATTGGAACTAACTTGCCGTTCACGGATATCTGATTAGACCAGTGATTTTACTTGACAAAAATGTAGCATAAAACAAGAAACATAAGCAGGAGAGCGGCAGCAGTCAGTGCTATCAGCTGCCCTTTGGTCCAGCTTGGCTTCTTCTGAATACTTGTAGGTCGTTTAGGGTAACTGACAGGCTTGGCGTAGTAAGGGTCGATAGGTTTACGCGGCTCCTCCTTGGCGTCATCCTTAGCAGCGCGGGAGGCTTTGAGAGCTTTCGCTGCAGCCCACTGCCATCGCTGCTTGTTGACCTGTGTGGGTTACAGATTTTAAAACAAAATCACTTACAAATGATTTTAAAGAATTGAAGACATTTGGTTGTAAGCAGATGTACACGTTGATGTACAAGAAATTCCCAGTTTTATCAAAACATTCTGAACGTCTTGAATTTTGGATACTTACTGAAATGTTCTTCCGTTTCTCTCTGGTTAAGAACAGACTAGTAGTCGCCTGCAATGGAATAGAAAAGTAAACATTAAATAAAATTGACGTCCTTAAAAATAATGATGATTGATGGAAGTTTTGATAAATACAGTCGAACTCTGATTAGAAGAACACTGTTAACTAGATTTACGTTTGTGGACACAGGGCTGTTTCGGTATTTCTTTGTGACGTGTAACATGTAAAGTTTTAAGTGTAAGTTTCATCAAGGGAGGAAGTGTAGCTCTGTTTATAGTAAATGGTGGCATATACTTCTGTACATGTATGTGATTATATTCTCATAGGGCTTTGAATCATGATGTCACATTATGTAATGACGTCATGATGACGTCACCAATAATACAACATCCTGCTTATAACAAGCATAATTTTAGGTCCCAAGTCTTTGTCTTTCTTTGTTTTTCATTACTGATAATACAAGGTACCTGTTATAACAAGGTAATTTGTGAAGTCCAAAGGACTATAAAGGTGTTCGACTGTAGTGACATTTTATCTAGGAAATTATAAACATAAATTAAACAGGCAGGAAAACAAACATTGTAGCATCAGAAAGATTATCACTGTGGAAAGTCTTGATGTTATAACGGTTTTGCCAAAGCAATTGATGAGACGTATACTTATGTACATGTAAATCGTTTACCTTAGCAGCCAGTGCGTCAAGATGCACTATCTGGTCCGGAGTTGGCAACAGACCCTTGGCTTGATAGATGAAAGAGATTGCCTGCAAAACAACCGATGAAAATGTCTCGTAAACAATCCATTGAAAAAACGCATCTTTTACACATTGCTATTAACCTTTTTTTTTTCGGTACAGCATCTTTGTAATCTGTTTGCACTCTGCATTATTTTTTTGGGTCCTTCAGACTTTTGTAACATTGAAGATTGCAACAATTAGATATAAAACAAACTATATCTTGGACAACCCATGAACAATCTGAAAAAGTTTATTTTTGAATGGCAGCCAACTGTACTAAAAATTAAACCCCGAAATTGTGATCTACTTAGTCCGATGCTGTTTGTATTCCTTACAGATGTCATTATTTAACAACTGCTCTACTGTTGAATTAAAATTAAACTGGCATAGAACTTGTGAATTTGTGACATTGTTACCACATCATTTTTAACATGAAATATTGAGAATAAATCTGTCCCCTTTTCTGCCTTTCTTAATAATTTTCCCCCCTTAATTTTGTTTCTTTCAGAAAACTTCATTGAACAGCGACTTTGCAGCAGATCAACCAGGTTGGTAGGGTAAGTGGGGGAGGGGGGGGGTTAGGGGCAGGGAGTTAGGCCGGGGGAGGGGGGTTAGGTGGTAGGTTAGATGGGGGGGCGCTAGTGTAGGGTGGGTAGGTTAGACTAGGGTGGGGAGGGTTAGACTAGGGTGGGGAGGGTTAGCGTAGGGCGGGGAAGGTTAGGGTGGGTCGGGGAGGGTTAGCGTAGAGTGGGGAGGGTTAGTGTAGGGCGGGGAGGGTTAGCGTAGGGCAGGGAGGGTTAGCGTAGGGCGGGGAAGGTTAGGGTGGGTCGGGGAGGATTAGCGTAGGGTGGGGAGGGTTAGCATAGGGCGGGGAGGGTTAGCGTAGGGCGGGGAGGATTAGCGTGGGGGAGGGTGGGTCGGAGAGGGTTAGCGTTTGGTCGAGGTCCGGAAGGTTTGCGTAGGGTGGGGTAGGTTACAAAATATCAAAAAAAATTCAAGTTTTTATTACCAAAAAATTTGTTGATTTTTTCTTCCCGAAAATTTTGGTAAAAAAAAAAAACACCCCCCGGGTCCCTCCCCTCCGGGGGGGCCCTCCCTTCCCGGGGGCCCTCCCTTCCCGGGGGGTCCCTCCCTTTCCCCAGGGGGCCCTCCCTTCCCCAGGGTCCCTCCCCTCCCTTCCCGGGGGGGGGGGGGGGGTCCCTCCCTTTCCCTGGGGGGGCCCTCCCTTTCCCCGGGGGCCCTCCCTTCCCCGGGGGCCCTCTGGGGGGGGGGGGGGCCTCCCTTCCCCGGGGTCCCTCCCTTCTGGGGGGGGCCCTTCCTTCCCGGGGGCCCTCCCATCCCCAGGGGACCCACCCACCCTTCCCCGGGGACTACCCCGCTAACTAACTCTCTATGCTGGGCCGTATGTACCACATATACATGTTGAACCCATCATAGAGAGGTAGTCAAGTGTGTCGCCTTGAACCAACCTGCATGGTGTTCCCCAGGGCAACGGCCGACTCGGCAGCATGGATCAGGTACTCCACAGTCTTGGTCTGGTTCCCTGCCTTACGCCAGTGAGTCACAAGCTGAGGGTAGATCAACTGCAAGGCCACCTCTCCAGAACTTGCCGGTTTCCTGCGAGGGAAGTGGAAGGAAAACTTTTCAAAGTCAAAATGTTAATTGCAATTTGTAATTGTGATGAAGTGTACTGTACATTCAATAAAATAAATTATTTAAGTTGAGAACTAAGTTTTGTGAATGCTTTATTTCTTTGCCTGTGTTTTGTACAAGTTAAAAATAGAACAAAGTTTAGCTTTTAGCTTGCCCAAATTTAAGCATGTTTGACAAAACATACTGCTTTCAGTTGAATTTCACAAAAGAAACAACACTCGCGTCAGAAAAACTGCGAGGAAAAAAACTATTTGATGGTTGGTTCAACTCACCTCTGCTGAACCATTCGACTCTTCTTTTTGATCAGGCTGAACATCTTTTCTGAAATTAAAGAAATGAAATACACGCTGTAAATAAAATTGAGATCATGCAAGGAAAATAACATAACTTTGCACCTTTCTTATAGCATTGATTTGACGAAAACCATCGGAAAAATATGTCGCAACATGACGCCACTTCCGTGATTGTGTACAGAGTCAATGGACAGTCAAAAAAAATGTTCCTAACAAAATTGGAAATGTTTCTCAGTCCTAGATTCATGTCTTATCATTTTCGCAATGAATAACCTTCATTCAGATGATATGCAGTAAACTCCGACTAAGTCGGCACTCTCAGGACCCTAGAATTTGTGACGACTTACGCGATTGCCGACATCTGCTGTAAGTCGTCATGTTGCTGAATGCCCTTTTGCACACATGATTCATTGCAATAATTGGCTTCGATTTACCCTGGGTTATCTGCATAATGCTTGAGTTGAATCCAACAAATTAATCCTCAAATTGTATCATCACGTTTGGGGTATTGATAATGGAGACCATGAGTATACATGTACACATGTACGTGCACAGTAATGAATTAAATGCGTGCGTGGTCCGGCACACACGTATTGACAGCAGCAGTAGTCATTCAATATTAAGACGATCCCCAAAATGGACAGAGCGCATGCGTACGGCCTACAGGGGGGTACTGGTATTGATATGCTTGTGATATGCGATGTATGCAGTAGGACACCCTTTTGCGACACCGATACATGCAGCGAACACGGCCGTGCCACTTTTCACTTGACACTTCTTGCCAACCGCAGTACAGAGAGTAACACGACGATTTGAGCGAAATGGCGACTTATAAAAGCCGACTTAGAAATAAAAAAGTCAATGGAAATGCGTTACGGACAATCGGGACTTAAGTCAGACGGCCGACTTGAGCGACTTGACGAGTTGTATGAAGAAAAGAGTGGCGTCAGGTTGCAACATTTTGTTCAAACCATCTTTATAACCTAAAAGATTATGCGGGCATTTTCAAAATTTACTGTCCAAGTTTTCAGAAAACAGGATCTTCAAAATTACTACAGTGTACATGTACTAGAAATTCAGAAGTTAATTTTTTTCCAAAACAAACACGTTAAGTTCATACAGTCATAAAAATCAAGTCAAACTTCAAGTTGAAAATAAATTTGGTAAAACTATTTGAATCTGTTTTAGAACAAGTATCAGGGATGGCACATCTTTAATGCTACATGTACATAAAGTTAATAAGTGAAGCGCTATGCGAAAACTGTTTACGTACAAAAACAACATCAGAAAACGGGCATTTTCAAAGCAGTAATAGATGCGTTCAAAGTGTAATACATGCTGGAAAAACCAGGCTTTTTTTGATGGCAGCTTTTTTGCTGTTTTACTCAAAGGCCTGATTATATAACATTGCAGTATGTCTTGACAATAAGAATTCCTAACTATTGTCAGCAGGCAGCTAAGAAAGTTCATTAGGTGTGCAGGTCAATAGTGAAAAGGTTACTGAGCATGCCAGATGCTGTGGGCAAACCCCCAAAGTGGGAAAGACAGCTTTTCGAAGCTGTAATAGTGGTGAAGCATCGATAAGCATATCAGAACAGCTTTTTGCTGGGTGGGTGGGAATGGCAACTGATGCAGGTAGGGTAATTTGAAGACGTTTTTTGGAAAAAACTGAAAAAAACATAATTTTTGGTTTACAATATTAGCAACAGAAAATGTGGGGTAAAATTAAGGTAAAAAAAAGTTTTAAAAAAATTCCTACAGTCACAAAATTTGCATTTTTTTCTTTAAGCAACACAAAAAAATTGGGACATTTGGACTCGAAGGATTTCAAAGTTTTTAGGTTTTAGAGCATTGAAATACAGGATTTTTTTTCACATCTAGAAATAAGCTCCTTATTTGAATAAACCAAGCGTTTTCATTTTTTTTAAATTGACCCACATTTAAAGGTTTTACTTGTTTGGAAGTTTTGGAAATACATGTACAACTTTGGGAAACAGAAATTCTACTTTATATATTTTCTGCAGCCGATTTCACAAATTTTACGCAATGGCATAACTCAACTACATTTCATGCTGCGCTACATTTAAGTTAATGACAATTTCACAAAAGTTTCATAGTGTGTTAGTCTGCAACTTGTGCAACAAATTATGGTGTAATTTGCGCAATCTTTGTGTGGCATAGCACCTGGAAATGAACTATTTTAGCAGCAAATCCTAATTGTCATGGCGCCTATTATTGCACAACTTTTCAATTTTGATACAAGACACGGCTTTGTCTCAAGTAAATTAATTGCTATTTTACTTTCGACAGAATTTTTAGAATAGCTGCACGATTCCGAACAACGTGGGACAAAATTGTTTTCAAAATAACAGGCAGAAGTGATTCAACAACTGTTTCGTGAACGAACAAAACCATACACAAACAGCTGTCATAAATGCTGTTATTTTCCTTGTCTAAGATGTTAAGATTATTGAAATGTTGCGCAGCTATGCCAAGTTCGTGAAATCGATCATAGTCTATTGCCCAGCTGCACACTAAATTTGTTGCCTAAGTCCTACGCATTGTGTAAGTTACGCACTGTTTCGTGAAATCGGCTGCATAGTACACTGTATCCAAAACCTACAAACCTACATGAAAGTCAAGTTTGGAATGATATGACAGATAAAGAGCAAATAATTAAAATTATGGGAAACCGTTTTCATTTTCCCTTATAAAAAGAATCAGGTTTTGTAGGGGGAAAAATTATGAATTGTTCAAAAAAATGAATTTATGAATTTTAAAAAATACATGCATGTGTGACTCAATTTTAGGTGCACACAAATGTTTTTACAAGAAGACAAAGTCCATGATAATTGTTACACTCTACTTTGTTTCTAATTTTAAAAGAAGGTTATGTTTTGTTGTTCTTGGTAACTTTTAGACTTCTTCGGTAACTGCTCTCCGATTTACCTTTTTGGTATAACGTCAATTTTTTTATATATATTTCTGCCTCCGGTTACCCGACCTACCCTAATTTTATGACGCGACCTTAAAGTTTTTATCGACAATATTAAAAAAAAAAGGGTCCTGTTCTATTAACGCTTGGAATATTTTTGCCATCCATATTTTTTGTTTGCCTATTTACAACCACTATTTCCGGAAGAAAACCTCTGTTGTTTCCCCTTGATGCCATCAGCATAGGCTTCATGGTGGAGGAAGCACATGCGTCATATGCATGCAACAACGTTAGACTATTTCCCATCACACTAAAATGGCCAACATAGCGTAGCAGGTTGAATTGCACACCGTAAAAATGCCAAACAAACATCTGCAAGTCGATTCAAAGAACATCATATCTTTTTTTTTTCTGGTGCATTTATTTTCTGTATTAATGTTTTTGGTTCGAGGTTGTACCATTGGCAGCAAGTGGTTCATTGCCCGCTACACAATCCAGTTTAGTCACGCATTTTTATCATTCCACATTGTTAAATGTTTACTCGAGAGGGAAAATCCAAAGTTTGATTTATTGGGTTTTTAAGTGCTCCAAAATTCTGTCAATATCATTCCAAACACGTACATGTAGCTTTTCGGATACAAAGTGCTGCTGATAGGATTACAAAATCAATCAAAATAAGGCCAAGAAAAAAAAAGTTTCCTATTAGACTAAAAGGTGAGTGGGTGGGTAATCGTTTTTATTTCTCCTTCTCAAAATTTTTATAGAAATTGTGTAGGACGACGGTGAAATAATTTCTTTTTTTTTTCTTTTTCGTGCGTTTGTAACATTTCACAAGACCACAATGTTGACCAAAGACACAGGTCGATGTCCACAAAAATATAAGATTTAGATTCTGCATGATTTTCTAGGTTGGGTTGGGTATGATAGGAAACATGTTTTCTCTCGGCATAATCCAGAAAATAAGCCAGTTCAGTATTCCAGTTGCACATGATGATAATTGTTTGAATTTGGGAATATAAAGCAAATCAATGTACAGAAGTCCATGGCAAATGGTAGCCAAATTTACAAGCAGCACTTTTTCCCACGCATCTAAACGGAAGCTTGAAACGATTTTGTACTTCCCTGACAATTTTTCTGATTACCTAAATAATTTTGCATTGACATATGGCAGATAGCATGTGCAAGTGAAGTACAGAAGTGGCTTACTGTAAAGGAATATAAAATTGTCTTACTTTTTTTCTTGCTGAATCCGAGGTAACGTTGCTCCAAGTAGATGGCATATCTCTCATGCAGCTTGCGCCGTTGTTTTTCCACAAGGAGTCCATAGGCTGTTTCTTGAAGTGTGGCCGACTGGAATCGCAACAGCCCATTCTCATAGATGAAGACTCCTGCTGAGATGAGGCCTCCTATGCTCTCAAGGACCTGGTGGAGAAATATCAAATCATCGGTTAGATGTCAGATCAGTAACTTGATTGAACTGAATGAAATATGCCTAATACAAGAACAGGTCCAAAATGTTCAAGGTACATCCTTGGGAACACTTGCTTTTTTTGTGCATTTGTTTTTTTGTTTCAAGCAACAAAATTGCTCAAATTCTGAAGGAGGGGGAAAAAACTAACTTGTTGAATTTTCAGCTCAGTGGATACGTTAAAAAACAAAACCAGCTAAGGCAAAAAAAAAAATAGTCGGTCTCTGGTCAGCCCGAAGTTCCGGAATTGATGCGGCGATGCGGTTTTTTTGGTGGTTTTTTTTTTTCAAGCTTGTATTGTACAGACAAGGTGGGTACCGGTACTATTTTGCTTTTTTGTGTCCTCATTAAACATTGGTGTCCTCCATAATTTGCCTTGGTGCCCTTTATCATTTGCCTTGGTGCAATTTCCCCATTCCTTGGTGCTCCTTGGTACAAAAATTTGAGGAGGCGCAGCAATAGAGGGCGCTGTTGTAGCTTCCGTGTTAATTTGAAGAAAAAAAAAAGGTTTACGCGCATGATTAAAATCGACGCGCGCGCTGACCAGAGACTGAGTATTGGACAATTTTTTGGTCTCGTAACTGGACTCTGTTGCTAACACACACAAAAAAACATGCCCGCAGGCACATTTTCTCAAACCACATTCAATAACATTTGGGTTTTTTCCCCCGAATGATGCTATTTCAGGCGGAATAATTTCACAGGGTATTTGGTTCTAGTCCTATCTTCACTTTGAGCAAGGATTTTCTCGTTACATTTTCGGGAAATCGCAAATGTTCCTACGTGCCTTTGTGCTTTTAAACCCAGTTACAAAATGCCTGTGTTCCCCACTACATGAAATATCAAGTTGAGAAGCCCCACTACTTTCTTTACACAGCAATGTGATATCAATTTGATTCACAAGCCTAAATTGTCAACCTGTTATATGGGTTTTAATGAAATGATTGTTGGGACTTTAGTATCAAAGTGATGAGGAGTTATATCTGCAATCTGCCATGCATTGCACTTCCACAAACAATGTTTAAATTTGTCACGTGCAAAAGAGAGACGGACCAAACATCGGTGAGAGTTAGCAGGCTTATGATTTTGCAAAATGATTTGCAATCAGTAAATGTCACACTCCATTCCGAGTCAAATCTAAACTTAAGAAGGTCGCACTGAAAGCAAGATTGTTTGGCAGGATGTTAACTGATACACATAAGTTGAGAAACGGCAACAGGACAAATGCTTGCATTGTGAGTCACTTGTACTAAAGTTGTTCTCCCTGTGCTCGACAGGGTGAGTCAAGAAAAACAAAAATCAAATGTTGAGACTATTGTTTTATTGAAGTTCTGCATGTAGCACTTTCAAAATCTAGGACATGCAAGCGCAATTTATAAGCTTTCTTTTAGTACAAGAATCATTCAAATCACTTAAGTACTTTTCAAGTTACGGAATTTTAAACACAACCACCGTTTTAAAGTTCTGTCCACGGATCACAAAAAAAGGTGTGCATTCTTTCAGCAAAACGAAAACAATTCACACACATCCCTGTGTGATTTGTTTTCCGTGGACAGAACCTTACACAGTGGTTGTGTTTAAAATTCCGTGACTTGAAAAGTACATGAGTGATTTGAATGATTCTTGTACTAAAAGAAAGCTTATGACTTGGGCTTTCATATCCTAGATTTTGGAAGTGTTACATGCACAACTTCACTAAAACAATATTCCCAACATTTGGGTTTCGTTTTTTTTACTCACCCTGTATGACAAATTCAGTTTTTATTCATGAAATTTGTTCAATAACAAATTTTTTGGCTATCTACAACCTTCAGAAGCAAAGCTTTCATCTTGGCTTGCTACAAGTGCTGCCAAGTACTGATCAAAGGATAAACGACTTGTCTTAGCTTGTGTACAAAATGTACGGAATGGATTGTCTACATGCGTGATATGCCCCGTCTGCGTATAGAACAATGCATAGAACATGTAGAACAATGCGCACGCGCCATGATTGCTGACAGCTGGCATTCTGACGGATATTTGACAATATACTGCAGTCACGTGCCGAGTTTCGTGCACGTGCATGCCCAAGTGCCGTATCACGCATCTAACCAGAAATCTGAAGCAATTTGAAGCAAGAAACAGTACTGCCCCTATAGAGTGTGATGAGTTAGGCGAAGGAACTAACGAACATCGGATAAAAGTCAAGAACTGAGTGCTTACCTTGTGTGCTGGAGTAAGAGGCATGAGATGGCTGAGCACTGCATTATTGAAGGAGGCCCCAATGATGGATGCTATCTTGACAGCTGTACCCTCGGCAGCAGGGAGACGATCAATGAAGGCAATCATACACCCTGTGGACAGCAAGATGATGATAACAGGTCATAATTTAAAACACTTGCTCTGAACTGCAAACAAGGCCGAATTAAAACTGGCAAAGAACCTTCCAATTTGGTGGCACTGCTAAGCACATTTTAACACAGCCTCCATTCGTTTCAAGGGCACCAAAAGCAGCATAACAAACAGTACGCTAACCTCAATTGTACAATTTGCTTTATAAATATAGTGCTGCAACAATATCAATCTCCGTATTAAGCAAGCAAGGCTTTCCATGTCGACATCACCCAATTTTTTTTCTGCATTAATTAGCACACCTTTAGGCAATAAATTAATTATCAAGCAGTGCTATGAAATCGGCCACAAGTCACAAGTATGACAAGAGTTGCTCGAAATGGCGGCAAACCATTCTTTTTAACAAATATTTTGTTGATCAAATTAGGTTTTGCCCTTCACTGATGTATAAACACTGTATACTCAGTGTGTTACCTCCCGAGTGAAAGTTGGAAAAAATCACTCGGGTGGGACTCGAACCCACGACCTCCTGCTTTCTAGTGCAGATGTCTTACCACTCGACCACCGAGCTTGCAGGATCGGTTGGCTGGTTCGAATCTCATACAAAAAAATCCATCTAATGAATAGTTAATGCGGTACCCGCTGCTATGTACATCAGATTCGAACCAGCCAACCGATCCCGTTAGCTCGGTGGTCGAGCGGCAAGACATCTGCACTAGAAGGCAGGAGGTTGTTGGTTCGAGTCCCACCCGACTGAGTTTTTTCCAACTTTCACTCGGGTGTTTATACGTCAATGAAGGGCAAAACCTAATTTGATTTACAGCACCCCGACGCAAAATTCCATCTTATGAAATATTTTGTTGTGCAATTAATGTGCTTTAGCAGTTTCACAAAATCAACTGCATTATTAAAAAAACAGCCAATTGTTCACAATCATTTAACATTTTCTTATAATGTGAAGTTTTAGCTGACATCACTCATAAGGAGCTTAGGGACTTCACGCAGAAGTACCCCCTCAACAAAGAAAATGAGAGACGGAGATGAAGGACAATTGAGCGCTACATGTATGTACTCTGTGCACGAACAGTAAATGGTGTTTTTAGATGACTTTCGCGCGCCCAATGGACGGGACACACCACGTGTACGTACTTGGCGCGAACTAAGCTCAAACAATTGTATTCTAAATGTGCACAAATCGTCTTTGCTTTCGTGTCTGCAGCCGATTTCACACGTTTGACACATTTCACAAAAGTTGCACAGAGTGTAAGTCCGCGACTTACGCAACAAATTATTGCGTAATATACAGTCATTTTAGGTGGCATAGGGACTGACAATGGACTATTTTACTGACCAATCATGATTGTTGTGGAGCTTGTTATTGTACAAATTATCAAGGTTGAGACAGCAAACTCGCAGCTTTTCGAAGTAAATAAAAATTGCCATTTTTCCGTGACATAACTTTTAGAATTGCCGCATACTTCAAAAGAAAGTCCGACAAACTTATTTTGCTAAACGGCTGGTGGAGGTATTCAACGACTCTTTCGTGGCTGAACGGAAAACAAAAGACATCGCAATATTATCCTCATCCAACATGTTTGAATTATCTAAAACCTTGCGTAGCCACACCAGGTTTCATGACCTTCCTCGTAAATTTAATGCGCAGCTATGAAGCAAATTTGGTGCGTAAGTGATACGCATGGCGTAAACTACGCACTGTTTTGTGAAATCGGCTGGAGGAATGTCCCTCCCAGTTGTTCCCCTAACTCTCGATCCCTGAATCTTCAGAGAGGGTACTTGAGAGTCCATGTCTTTCTTCCACAACTACACAAGAGGTTTGTGCATGTTCAGGACAAAATTTGGTCGAGCGTTCTCTACAGGACCAAGTGAGTCTGCCCACCGTGTGCCACGTACTGGCTGGGCTCCTGCAGAGTCCATACAGTTTGTACATGCTCACTCCAAACCCGTATGCATTCACTGCCGACTATTCATGAGGAAAGTTTTTCAGATGTAGTTTTTGGACTTACCACTGAGCGACGCAGGTATCTCTAGATCAATCAGTCTGACTCCCTCGGCCACATTGCAGTGAGGTTGCTTGCCCTTGGTGTTGATCTCCAGCAACTGATGATGCAGTAGATTGCTGACACACTGCTTGACCCAGGATGGGTTGATTTTGCCTGCCAGACGAGAGCCCAACAAACTGAAAGAGAAATACAGAGAATTCACCCGTTAACAAACTTGCCAATGAACTTAGTTTAAATTAATCCCCCATCTTGACAAATAATACTTGTACTGTCAAAAAATCAATCCATTTGATAGCACAATTTTGAGCGACTAAAAGTCAGAATTGATTTGTGATTACTTCATGAGCAAGGTGCATTTTTTGACTTTTTTTCTTAAAGCCAAAGTCCATCATTTGCAGCTATCCAAAAAGTAACTGGCCTAATTACATGTATTGTTGAAAAACATACTTGGTTGAAAGATAGTAAGGGGACTAAACTCCCTGTGAAATTATTCTTTCTGGCAAGCTGTCATTTTGAAGTAATCAACAAAAGAATGCCTTTCCAACAGCGCTTAAGAAGCCCCATAGGAAATTTAAATTAGTAGTTTGTCTTGTTATTCGGCGAAGCGTGTGCAAGCATTGGCACGACGCACACGCGCGCTCGGTTGCTAAAATTCGCCGGATCAGTGCACGACATCGCGTAGCTGCAATCGGCTCAGTCAGAACGTGTATCGGACGCTGAATTCAGGCCCAATTCAAAACATGATTCAGCAACTTTTGATTTGGAATCGAGATCCTAGAATGCTGTTTTTCTCGGAATATACAGCTGAAGCTTAGCTGAAACTTCATCAGGTTAGTTGTTCGGTACCCTTCTTTAGATTTTGAGCACTTTTGGTGCTTCAAACGAACAAAATGCACAAATTACAAATGATGGACTATACCTTTAAACATAATGAACACCATTTGCAAACATTTGTAAATGATAGGTCTAAGCATCCTGTGAAATCACTGCGCCTAGTTAGCTGTCATTTTCCAGAAAAGAGGAATTACCATCATTTTTTCGCGATGGTGAAAACCAAACGGTTGAGAGAGAAAAAAAAAAGGGGTTTTTTTTCTCAAATACTGCCACAAACTGACCTAAATTTAGTTTAGTTTGCAATAGTTTACGTTTCTGTGAATGAGAAATATTTTTCCCGGAATGACAAGGAACCAGGTATCCTACTGAAGTAGAACACGGTACCCACGTACCCGTAATAAAAAACAAGCCCAAAATTCAAATCCCGATATTTGTCCAAAGAGCTTTATAGCTTTACGGTGTAAACTTCAACTTTCGCAAGCGTAATCTGTCGCACGTTAAAATGCACGCAAACATGAAATCTGTATTGGTTTCCATGTAGCCTGGTTTTCATTTTGAAAATCTAAGAAGTTACTAAGTAATTTGTAAAGTTGGTTTATGGGTACCCGATCCCATAATCTGGATCCGGTTCCTGACACCAACAGTCAGGTTGCGCACCGTAATTGACAACGTAACAACAAACATTTGGAAGGGAGGGCTTTTAACAGAAACTTTACTTTTTGAGAATAAAGATACATCACCACAATTTTCATAAAATTTATAACTATTGAGCTGAAATTTTGACAGTTTGTTTTTTAGCAAACTACTTCAGATTTATTATATTGTTGTTCCTTGAATCGGTTAAAATACAGTTTTTGCAAATGGTGTTCAAAGTACTCAATGACCTAGCTTCAATACCATAAAACATAAATCAAATGGCTTTCTGTGCTCGTTTTGTGTTGGTAAGGTACACAAAACTTTGCTGCGCTTTTGAAACAATTTCGAACAGTAACTCAAATTCAAACTGGCATTCCAGAGTTATTCCAAGGTATTGAATGAAGTTTTGATGTTTCAAGCACTAAAAAGTATACATTGGAAGAACCCTGGCACGTTTTGATTTCAGACACAAATCCAGCCATGAGCCAAACCAAATGCAAACTCTGCAAATCTATTACAAGTTTATCTGTACGAGACCAGAAGATAAAATTAAACTGTTGAACAGAAAGTCAGTTTTGCCTCACCATCTACACTTTCAGTACGAACTTTGTTCGAAAAAACATAGTCACTGATTGGTAAATATCTGCTCAATTGTAATTTCACCTTTGTGAAATGAAAACGTATTTGGGTTAAAGATATAGTCCATCATTTGTAATTTGTGCATTTTGTTTGTTTGAAGCAAAAGAAGTGTTCAAAATCTAATGAAGGATACTGAAAAACTAACCTGATGAAGTTTCAGCTCAGCTTCAGCTATATATTCCGAGAAAAATAGCATTCTAGGATCTGAATTTCAAATCAAAAGTTGCTGAATCATGTTTTGAATTGTTTTGAATTGCAGCTATACGCAATGTCCCGCACTGATCCGACGAATTATAGCAACCGCGCGCGCGTGTGCGTCGTGCCAATGCTTGCGTGCGCTTCACCGAATAACAAAACGAACTACTAATTTAAATTTTCCTACGGTGCGTCTTAAGACGCACCGTTGGAAAGACCTTCTTTCGTTGATTACTTCAAAATGACAGCTTGCCAGAAAGAATAATTTCACAGGGAGTTTAGTCCACTTACTATCTTTCAACCAAGTATGTTTTTCAACAATAATTACGCCAGTTACTTATCGGATGGCTGCAAATGATGGACTATAGCTTTAACTAGAATCACCACTGATTTTTCTGTGAAATGGCTTGAGTCTTGATCGCCAGTCTGAACCATGGGTGTTAAAGTTGCCAAATAAACACAAGATGTAAGTGAACTTACTTGGTGAGTTCCCTGGGCACGCTAGCCACTTCCAGCAGCTGGCACAGCAACGGTTCCATATTGATAGACTCCAGCCCGTCAAGCTTGACGTGGATACACAGTGGACTGTTCAAGATCTTCTCCCTCCCCTCCACGGCCTCAGACTCCGCCCCCTTCCTGAGCTCTCCCATGCCTAGAACGAACAGGCAAGAGTAGCCGGCGAAGAAGCGTAAGTAAGCCCAGGAGTCCTTGTCGATGTATTGGGCGTCATCGATGGCTATCAGAGTGGCCGTGTTGGTGTCTAGTTGGGTGTCTCGGACGATACGACCCAGGAGGCGTTGGAGGGATTTGGTACGCCCCGCTGGGGAGAGGCTGGCTACGGACTCGTGGGCAGAAAGCTGGGGACAAAATAGTACAAAAGACATGAAATAGGTTGGAAAATTGGAATGCAATTCATTGGGTAAAATTAAAGGACTTTTTCAGACTGGAGTTCCAGAGTTGTAACATGTTAAGAACTAATCAAGTCGACAAAAATGAGCCGTCATTGGCAGTGCAAATCATGCTTTATTTTACGTTGCTCACTGTAAATCATGGGGGAAAAGGCAAGCACGGCTAGCACATTTTATCTGTTTAGCAGCGCCGCAATGAATTTGGTCCCTGACTGTAAATTTCTCAAGATGTTTTACATTTTGTACTTGGAATTGTGTGTACAGACAAAAATTGAGTTTGTTAAAATTTGCTGGGGACATTATTTGTCTTGAACCTACCTGTATTCCCAGCAGGTTGTTGAGCAGACTCAGGCTATTATACATCTCGGTTCCTCCATAACGTTCCTCCAGTATCTGTTCCCTCTCCTGTGGGCTGGGGATATCGGCTAGCTCTAGTAGCTCAGTGATGAGATAGCAGGCTGTGGTGTAGGGGTTACTGGTGCTGCTGACGGTGGGTCTGCTACACGCAATCCTGTGGGTGTTGAGGACGGTAATACACATTCGATTTGGTCAATGTTCAGCGTAACTTTCGTGTGATGTTTAAGCATTACTAAGGCCAACACTTGACACAGGCCGCCAGTATGTGTGATCTGCATGTAACAGAGCCCAACGGTATACCAAACACAGCGAACAATCAATTGTTTGCAATAAACACTAGAACTTCGCTAGAATGAACACTTCTCTAGAAAGAATGATTTGGTATAGTCATTTGTTTTAGTGATTTTGGCCGCCAATGCTTAGTACAGTACAGTGTAGCTGTAATGATATCAGCTTTTGTCATAGAGCTATACTAAATTACTAGAGCGCTAACTCGATGAACAAAGTAATGCCTGATTGGCGCATCCATGTTTGTGCACAAACCTATGGAAAACTCGAAATTTTGTACGGCTTTTGTACAGCTATTTGCATATTTGTGTTTGTATTCCATACCGGTGCGTCATCTAATCCGATACGCCCAAAACCGAAACGCACTATCAGCAAATGAGCATGTCATTTTGCTCTATGGAAACAGTGCAACGTGTACGCGTCCCTCCGCTGCAGATGCTTTTCGCCGTGACGTTTTTTGAACTGTCATGACGTGTTAAGTTGTTTGCGTATCTGCTACTTGCGCATTGCATTTAGACTCAAAGTACACTTTCAAAATTCAATCCATCTATTTTGATTGTGTTCTACAAACATGCACATAAATTCAAAATGTCTGCGCCCAGAGCGGCTTCAAAGTGTCTCCGCGCGCGAGAATGAGGAGTTAGCGCTCTAGTAATTTAATATAGCTCTATGGTTTTTGTACTGCTCTATTTTAGAACTGATGGTTTGAGATGTTGACAGTTTATCTCAAGTTTAGACAGTTAAGCTCAAATTTCCTATAAACATCTCACAGTCTACAGGGCAAGAAGCTCAACATTGGACCAAATCTAGTTATACATACACAACAAGTGGGAAAAACACAAAAATAGTTATGCAGTCTGATTTGGGTTATCAGAAACTACAAACACTGATAAAGATATTTGACTTGATCAAATGTCAATTCAAATGAAGCGTTTGAAGTTATATAGTGATCATGAATGAGTTTTATGAAATTGACTAAGGAAGTGGAATGTTGGGCTCAAGAAAAGAGACAGAAACTAACCTCATATCATTCTTGATAGCGGCATCAATGACAGCTCTCAGGAAGCGTGTCTTTCCTACACCAGGCTCACCCTCAACCACCAGGAATAACGGATGTCTGTAATCGCTGGATGAACTACACACCTTCTCTAAGGTATTCAGGGCATCTAGAAACTCAGGCGTATAGCCTGCAGTAGGGAGACAAAAATACAAATGTTAATACAATATCTACTGGTTAAAATCAAACTATAATCCTAACAACTAATTCTCAGGCACCTTTGCAAAAAATCGTTCTGTATCCTCTAAATCCCACATAAAGCTATCATTCTATGTTTTATAAAAATTGGCACATCAAGACAATGTTCAGTTAAAGTGGGTGGGTTTATCCTTACTATAATTCCAGGAATCTCTGTGTGTCTGTCTGTCTGTCTGTCTGTATTTCGATTATCTCCAGAACTGGGCGCCGTATGAGTTTGAAAATCGGCGGCTGTATTGCTCGGGACAACAGAATGTGCAGTGCCAAGTTTGAAGTGGTTTTGAAGAGGGGTTCTGAGGCAAACGTGGCAGTATATAGCTTAGAACATAACACCACGCACTGCCGTTCTTTTCAATTGTTTACGTCAGGTAAAGTTAAAGCGCGCGTGCTCAATATGACGCAACACAACACGTGCGTATGGGGCCACTGAGTTGTGTGATGTCAAAATTAACACTACACGCGTGTGCAAAGAGCTAGCTGACCTTCACTGGGGGCTATTCCATAACGGCCAAGCAATTTGACCTTCCCGAACATGCACATTTTAGACAGGCACTGCACTAGTAGTTCTAAATCAATAACTTCCGTAAAATCCGATTCGCTGCATGTCCGACCACATGATGTTAAGAATGTTAAAGGTGGTGGTACCTTAGTTTGGTCTGTAAATAGTTTTCTACTCATTAGGTGCCACATATTAGTGATGTATCAAATTCACTTTTCCAACAACAGCTCATTACAGTAAACTACAAAACCTCCTTTGGAGAAGTAACTTTGGAGAAGTACATGTAAGTGTAATCAAAAGGTTCAATAAGAGATAGTCTTTTCAACTTCAAGAGAAGTATGAAATTCTTACCTAGTAGTGCATGCTTGGCCTCTGGAATAGAGTGATCTTTCCCACTGAAAAAGAAAAAAAAATCGGGTAAAATATTTTCAAACAACTTATGAAATACCATAGTTTTGACTTTTATCAGAACGTATTCTTGTGTATGCTTCATTTGTACTGAACGAGAACAGGTGGTATTATTATAGTCAAGTCCATCACATGTAAATCACATGTAAATCACAATCCAGTCACAATCCAGTCACAAGTAACAGGGGAGGAATGATGACGAACGACTGACTTGTGATGGACTTGTGATGGACTTGATACTTATAGGCCAGAATCGATGTACAGTAAACTCCGGCTAAGACGGCACTCTCGGGACCAGAGAATTTGTGACGACTTACGCGAATGTCGGCTTCTGCTGCAAGTCGTCATTTTGCCGACTTACACAAATACACAAATTGAATCACGGAGTGAAAAAAATAGATTGAATTAATGGCCTATGCGCATCTGTATCTGGATCATGCAAACAAGATTCATGGCTAAAATTCAAAGGCTTTGATTTACCCTGGTTTATTTCTACATCCATGGTTGATTCCAGCAAATATATCCTCAATGTTTATCATCACAAACAGGCTGTGGTATTGATCACAGAAAGTCATGCATGTACATGTACGTACGTACGAAGCAAGGACGGCGCGGCCGGCTAGCGTTAACAGTGGTACGATATACAGATCGCTTGCATACTGTACGTCCATGTACATGTGGTGTACATTGTGCACGTACATGTACGTACGTGTACAGTCACGAATTAAATGTGTGCATGGTACTGGTACAATAAGGGGACCCCCAAACTGAACAGAGCGCATGCGTGCAGTCGAGAGGGGGTACTGGTATTGATGTGCTATCGGGAAAACCCCTTTTTGATCGCGCACGTGTAAGCGAACGATGCACACAATGTACACTGCTGACCGATGCATCAATCACGGGCCGTGCCATTGATAAATAGATGTCAGTTAGCAGTGTGTGGGACTTTTCACCCGACACTTCTTGCAAACCGCAGAGCACGATGCCGACTTACACAGAGGATTTTTTGTGGTTTTGAGGAAATGGGACTGAAAGTTACACGTTGACATAAGCGAAATGGCGACTTACAAAGGCCGTCTTAGAAATGAAAATGTCAATGGAAATGCATTAGAGACAATCGGGACTTTCGTCAAACGGCCGATTTAAGCGATATGACGGTTTACACGATGTCGGTTTAGCCGGAGTTTACTGTATTCTTAGGGCTGGGCTTGGGGTGGGGTTGGAGGGTGGAGATGGAGTTGGGGTGGGGTTGGAGTATGTTTGGGTAGCAGAGGGGCCCGCGGTAATGTACAATATGATACTTACACGGCAGAGTCGATGTATTCTGAGATGGGACCTGGATTGTCCATTCCCTTGAGTTTGATCTCATGGGTGATGGAGTTTGGGTTGGAGGGTGGGGATGGGGTCGGGATGGGGTCAGGCTGGGGGTGGGGGCATGTTGGGGATGGGGAGGGGGGGGGGTAACATACAATTTGATACTTACACGGCAGAGTCGATGTATTCTGAGATGGGTCCTGGATTGTCCATTCCCTTGAGTTTGATCTCAGGCAGGTCGTGGAAGTGAGCAGCCTCCAGGTATGATCGAGTACGCGTCTCCTCATCGCATGATAGCTTGCCTGGGTAGTTCATCATCAGACGCGCTGCCATGTTCACCTTGGGCCCGATAACTGCAAGCAGGCACAGAATTCAATCATATTTTATCCCTGGCTTTTTTGAGTAGTGTGAATTTTTAGCCATAGCATAGCACGTGAAGTGGAAAAGCTGAAAAAAAAACTGATGGACTATCATTAGCTTGGCAGGAGAATACTTTCCTTGGAGTGTAATTAAAGCTGCTCAAAATATCCATTCAAACAAGAGGGCATTTTCCAAGGTAAATAGTGAACTGTCTGGTAGAGCAATGGTTCCAACAAAAACCAAGTTGAAATTACAAAAGCTGAATTGAAAATTCAATGACTTTGTGCATAGACTGTTGAAGGTCATTATGAGACTAACCCATGATAAGCTAAGTGAGATGAAAGTATGAAATCACACTTCCATGGAATAAAGGAAATAACTTTTATGTCTTAGAAGCTAGGGCCCTCACCTGTGTATTCATGTCGCTCTGGATGACCGACGACCCCGCAGAAAACTTTGCCTGTTGTTACACCCACAGACACTTGCCTGAAGAAAAATAGAAGGCCGTCCGAAAATATTCAAATATTACAATTATGATTTTTATTCTACACAAGGGTTGGCCCGTAATAAACGCATGCGATCTCCATTCAAGAACATGTGCATGAATTTGTATAATTTGTTTTAACTCCCCAAAAAAGCATTGTGAAGAAAATTTAAACACTTCTGAATTATTCAATGTATCCATTTTTACGGATCTGTTAAAATTCCAAAGTGAAAAGCATAAACATCATTGCACTGTACTGCATAACAGCTTTACAATAATATTTACAAAGAAACTACATTTTCTCCATGGAACAAACAGTTCCTTTGAATTTGTGGCAAGACTGCTCTTCTCAGGAAAAGGTAAAGCTGAATATTAGCGAAATTTAGGGCAAGTTCGTGCAAGAACTATGAAATGGTTAACCGTAGTTCGACTAAAGTTAGCCCGAACATCTAGCTGACGATGGTTGACTATGTTAGTCGACTATTTGGAACCAGCCTACTGCGGCTGGTCGTGCGACGAATTACAGCTGGTTATCAATAGCAATTTTCATAGCATAGTGCAAAGGGGACCAACTATCAACAAAAATGGCGGAAAACGAATCTGTGAGTGCTAAATTTCATTTTCATTGCACAGTTTTCCATGTTGGTTTACGATTATGTCACTGCTGTCACCATTGTACAATAATATTGGCGTTTATGTAAGATGTCCTAAACTATACACAATCACTATTATTGTGTAAGTAAAGAGAAACCACAAGAGTTGAATAATTGTGCCACCGCCATTTTTTGACAGTCGTTGACATGACAATAGTTCGACTAGAGTCATTCGTACTTCAACTTCAGTGCGCATGTGCTAGGTACGTCACAAACCAACCACTAGTTAACCACTGGTCCTTGCTCGAACTTGCATTAAGATACTTCCGGTGCTACTCACCTGACTTCTATCATGTCGTTGACCGTCGTCGTGATCTGACTGGAACACTGCAAGGCATGGCCCACTTCATCCTCATGCTTGAAGCCAGGCAAACCAAACAGCACCAAGAAACTGGTACCCTGCATAAAGATGACATCAATTTGTACAGTTGTGAAAAAGGGAGTCCTCGGGACTAAATAATTGAAACCACGATAAACGTGCACATCAGGCATGCAACTGGGAATTTAGAAAATTGAGGAAACTCCAAACCACGCAAGAGATTATACAGTATTTTTCATATTTGTAATGGCATTCATGAGAAGTAAAAAACGAGGAAATCCGTGGATCCGAGGAAAAGTTGCATGCCTGACGTGCAGTGATGTAGGGGAGGTAGTTGTGAAGGATCATGGGCACATCACAAGTCCAGTCACAAGTAAATTACAAACCAATTCATGAGCCTGGTCACTATAGTAATAGAATGCCTTTATGAAAGCCATTTGATTAGATTGTGAGCTGACTTTTCGCTCGTACCCCCCGCCCTGCAAACAGGGCGCTGGGAAGGGCAGATGAGCTTCACAGAATCTTTTGTAGGAAGTTGGGATGGCATTCTGGGTAATTTATCATGACCTATGTATAAAGCATCTGGCTAAAGCTGTAGACCGCCGTCTTCCTAATGGAGATCAATGTAGACCGCGGTTAGCCAATGCGGGCAAATACTATCCGAAAAGTTTGCCACAGAAATACATGCACACCATGCCGGATGTGATTTCTTTTTCATTGCGGACCATGTGGACAAATTTTGAGCATCGAATGATATGCATTTCGACCCTTCGTGAATTCGAAACTGAGCCTGAGCAACTGACGGGAGTTGAATATTTGCAAAACAGATAAGTTTAACAAATTTCTCTACATTATTATGCTTTTCAACCAAAAAAGGGCGTCGCATTATATGAATGGGAATAAAGAGCGATGAATGACTCAGTCTTAACGGCCGTTTCAAACCTTGCACTAGTTGCATGGTCGTCGTCGTGATGATTTGCAGGTCACAGGTCACGGAAAATCTATCCAATCAGAGCGTTAATTCGTCTGCCCTTCCCAGGGTCCTGTTTGCAGGGCGGGGGGTACGAGCGAAAGCTGACTTGGGACTGTGGATGACTTTTGATTGACTTGTGATCAATCACATGTACCTTGACTACAACATTGCCAATATGTAAATGAAATAATAGTGCTTAAAGAGAAAAATGGCCGACTGCTACTCTAAATGGTGGTACTTACATGTATTTAGCTAACTAACTGCTTATTGTGACCTATCCAACGCATTTTTCTGATTTTAATGTTGTAGGCAAAATTTGCTGGCATATTTGATACAGCCATGTCCAAAAAGCAGAATGTTATCTTTACCAATTACCTTGTCAAACTCAAAAATCTTGTTGATGACTCCTAGAAAATGAGAAACAAGAAAAGAACCCTTTTCAGTCCGGGACAATTTTTTTTCAGACATTAAGAAAGCATGAATCTGAAAATACTTGTTCCCTCAAGCAAGGCATTTTGTAATTATCGGTAATAATCCACAAAAAAACTTGTATCTCCTTCAATTAAAACAATTTGTCGTGTCCGTGCAACAATGTCGTATCTCCTAAAATGGGCTGTGCATGAAATGAGAGTTTCAGAATGTCAAAAGGTCGTATCTCACTTAAATAACCCGGACGTCAATGGACGTCGAGATACGACCTTGTTGCACGAAGCATATTCACGCGAGATACGACTTTGTTGCAGAATGGAGTTACGACCTTGTAGCACTGACACGACGAATTCAATTCAATTCCTAAATTTAAAAAATGGGAATATTTTCTTCTTGTTCATGGTCGATAAAAATGTTTTCAAATTATGCCACTCTGCTTTTGCAAAACAGTTTGTCTGAAATAAAAACTTGGTGACAAACTTTAAAATAACCCGGATGTACACACAAAGTCAATGAATGTCTAGATACAACCTTGTTGCTCGAAGCGTATTCGCACGAGATTTGACTTTGTTGCAGAATGGAGTTACGACCTTGTAGCACTGACGCGACAAATTCAATTCAATTCTCCCAATTAAAAAAGGGAATATTTTTCTTGTTCATGGTCGATGAAAATATTTTCAAATTATGCCACTCTGCCTTTGCAAAACAGTATGACTGAATTTAAAACTTGGTGACAAAACATTTATAAAAGGTACAAATTTTATGTCTTACCTTGAAACTGGACAACTGAGGTGGAGATCTTGTCATAAACACCTTGCAGCGAGCGGCCGTGGTCGTGACCATGGTCCAGAGACAGGTTGATGAAGACCACAGTGACATCTCGCATCTCACACAGGTATTCCATTGGCTGGTTCTCATCCACCTAACATGAATATGCAACAGGAGATTATGTAAGGAGGATGATGATTGGTTCATTTGGTGGGTATTTCTGGAAGAGGGATGCTGATTGGAGGAATTGTGAAGATGCAAATTTAATGCCATGAAACAGTGTAACTTATATATTTGATTTTGGTAGAAATGAGTACTAAGTAAAATTGCACAGCAAGGGTATTTGCAGTTTTTAAAAATTTAAACATGCTGATTTTTTGGGGGTCATGAAATACATGTTGTTAAAATGTGGAATTTTTTATGGTTTCTGTTTGCAAATTAAAAGAAATTTAGAATGAAAAAAAACAAAAACGTACCTTGTGTAACACTGGTGCAGCAATGAAGGGACGCAAATCATGTTTGTGAACTGAAAATGAAAACAAACATCCAAAGTAAATAAAGATTGTGAAAAATGTCTTCAATATCTTCAACAGGACAAAAATAGCTAGCAATCTTCTCATCTAACAAACACATTGGCAACTCTTCGATTGTGGGAAAAAAAGACTCACCATTTTTCAAGTTCAGCTGTCGCAGTGATGGAAATCCACCCAGTGCCTATAAAATAGAAAGAAAATATGAGGTCAAAGATTTGAATTGAACATAAAAATATGCCAGGTTAATTGAAACCAATAGTAAGTGTTTCCTAAATAGTCAAATCTCTCATGACATACCTTGGGTTTCTGTTGTTCTTGAGGCGGGGATTCTGCGGAAAAATAATACAGAAGAGCTGGAATAGTTTTTGACTTTCGACTTCGATCACAAAAACTGAAATATTAACTGTAAGATAACATGAGTCTGAAGTTGTCTGTTGGGCAAGGTCATGTCTAAAGCCAGTGATGCAGTCAAGACCTGCAACTCCGAGACCAAGACCAAGACTGAAAGCTTTCTTTCTGAGACAGGGACCAAGACCGATCACTGTGCTTCTCTGTCAATCTTTTCTTTCTTCCTTCCAGAAAGTGCAAACTTTTGTATTGAGATAGAATGAACAATGAATGCAACCTGACAGGGCTGATACAGAAGTGATGTCAAAACCATAGCCTACAGACCCATTTCATTAATGCTGGCACCTAGCGAGCACTGCATCTTCAATTTTTAGTAATCAAGAAGTCAAGACTCAGACCTGGTCGACGAGACCTCCGCTCACTGTCTAGAATACAAAGTTAACTTGGGAGACTATGGCGAAACAATGTTTGAACACTCACCTTTCGTCAATTCGGACTCAGCCCATGTCTTCCTTATGTTGAGAACCTAAAATGATTTACGAAAAAAAGGGAATTGTAACATGCAATAGCACATGCAAAGTACTTCTCATGCTCATATTATAGACTCTGTGCATAAACTGTACATGTAGATGACGCTTTGTGAGCACTCATGCGAGTTCCCTGGCTGGGGCACATTACTTGCATGAAATGATTTGTAAGTGTAGAGTGCAAAGCACTGATGATAAATGCATGTACACAAACGTGTCTCATCTTCGCATTTGTATCAGGTGAAGCAAGTGAAGGGGTGCTTTGTGCACGGAGCTCATAGGGAATTTAGTTATTGTTTCAACATCACAGTTGCTTGATAATACTTAAAGTGAAGATACAACGTTTGCGAACATCACAAAACGAAATGATCAAATTATCACAAAATACCTTACTGGATTGTTTGGGAATGACAGTCGAAAGCATCCTGTTAAATTGTGGCTCCTGGTGTGCTGACATTCTCAAGAAAAACTGTATTATTCCAACGCTGGTCGGCCGACCAGCGTTGGAGAAAACTGGCTTTTTTCAAAACCTGTTCCTATTTTTTTTCATTTTTAGTAATTCTGACTTTTCTTTGCAATTGATTACATACCTGTGAAGGGATACATGCCGGCTAGACTGATTCTCTGAACTTACAATTCCCAAAAGGGTATTAATTGCTCTGTTTCATCTTAAGAAGGGGTCACGGAACCAGACTACAAGAACATGATTGGTTTTTAATGTTTTTCCAGCATTTACAAGCCCAAAACGTGAATAAGTCAGTTTAACAATATTTTCTATAACATACAGACATACTAATCCTCCAAATCCATTTATTTCTGAAAATTGCAGCAAAAGCAAATGTTGTACATTCCCTTTAAATGTTGATTTAAATAACCAAAAACACAGATGGAGAAAGGAAAATTGACCGCCATACCTTGATATGGCCCTCCTCAAGCTTTTCCACATTGATTCCCTTGCGTTCAGGGCACAGCGCCCAGGCAGACGGGGCTAGGATAATGGTGCCTTTCTCACAGTACCTCTCGGCTTCGTTGACGTCGCGCACGGCCTGGCCGCTGGAGGAGAAGAGACGAAAGGACTTGGAGCCGACATAGGTCAGGAACACCTCTCCTGCAGAGAGACCTGGGATGAGAAAAACAGAAGGATTGATTGGTGGAGTGAGATGGTCTAGCGGTTAAGAACACTGGACTCATGCTCTGGTGTTTCAGAGGCAACAGTGGCGTGGGTTCAAGCCCAGGCCCAGACACTGGTGGCCTTGAGCAAGGCAAATAACCATTATTGCTTCGTCCTTCGGATGGGACGTAAAGCTGTAGGTCCCGTGTGTTGTATAAATGCATGCAAAAGAACCCAGCAAACACTTATCGCCCAAGAGAAGGGGTTCGCCCCGGTGTTTCTGGGAGTTATCCTCATACATACACCATGAGGCTGTACGCGATAACCACACCAGGCGTTTGTACAGAAGCTAACAGATACATCACAACTGGCTTTGCAGTAAGGTCCTTGGGCTGTGGGTCAGTGCACAACTATGCCAGCAGCAGAAAAAAAGTAGATCAGTACTGTATGAGAATTTTAGTGTGATGCTTGCTGTGTGCTCATGCTAACATGAAGCACTATAAAGCAAACAGACAATAGTTTTGTACACATTTCGTTGAAAAATGAGTACCTGTAGTTCTGCAAGCAACCACAAACACAGAATTAACCATACATCTACAAAGAGCACAAGAAATGATTAAAATGCTTTAAAAAAAAATGGGCTGCGACAATTATTTGGCTACCCAATGGATTGACCGATTATTCATGAATTCATGAAAAACACTTTGTCTAAATGAAGGCCTCCTTCAAGGAAGCTGAAAAGCAGTCATCAACATTTTCAAGGGAAAAAAAATCAATCAAAACCATTAACCGCAAAGGAATTGAAGCTATTCGTTCAATCAAAAACATTACCGCAAAGGAATTGAAGCTATTCAATCAATCAAAACCATTACCGCAAAGGAATTGAAGCTATTCGATCAATCAAAAACATTACCGCAAAGGAATTGAAGCTATTCGATCAATCAAAAACATTATCGCAAAGGAATTGAAACTATTCGATCAATCAAAAACATTACCGCAAAGGAATTGAAGCTATTCGATCAATCAAAAACATTACCGCAAAGGAATTGAAGCTACTCGATCAATCAAAAACATTATACCGCAAAGGAATTGAAGCTATTCAATCAATCAAAAACATAACCGCAAAGGAATTGAAGCTACTCGATCAATCAAAAACATTATACCGCGAAGGAATTGAAGCTATTCGATCAATCAAAAACATTACCGCAAAGGAATTGAAGCTACTCGATCAATCAAAAACATTATACCGCAAAGGAATTGAAGCTATTCGATCAATCAAAAACATTACCGCAAAGGAATTGAAGCTACTCGATCAATCAAAAACATTATACCGCAAAGGAATTGAAGCTATTCGATCAATTAAAAACATTACCGCAAAGGAATTGAAGCTACTCGATCAATCAAAAACATTACCGCAAAGGAATTGAAGCTACTCGATCAATCAAAAACATTATACCGCAAAGGAATTGAAGCTATTCGATCAATCAAAAACATTACAGCAAAGGAATTGAAGCTATTCGATCAATCAAAAACATTATACCGCAAAGGAATTGAAGCTATTCGATCAATCAAAAACATTACCGCAAAGGAATTGAAGCTATTCGATCAATCAAAAACATTACCACAAAGGAATTAAAGCTACTCGATCAATCAAAAACATTATACCGCAAAGGAATTGAAGCTATTCAATCAATCAAAAACATTACAGCAAAGGAATTGAAGCTACTTGATCAATCAAAAACATTATACCGCAAAGGAATTGAAGATATTCGATCAATCAAAAACATTACCGCAAAGGAATTGAAGCTATTCGATCAATCAAAAACATTACCGCAAAGGAATTGAAGCTATTCGATCAATCAAAAACATTACCGCAAAGGAATTGTTAATCAATCTGAAGAAAAAAAAACTATTATATACATTTACATGTTGCCGTAAGAAAATTGTATTGCTGTGGATCTTCTTACCGATTTTGACTCCCAGCTTGACCCCTACTTCAGTATCCCAGTTGTTGCATGTCTTCATGATCCTCCTAGAGCAGATAATGGCTTTGACTATGGCCGTCACGCTGGCTTCAACTGATGGTGCATTCCACCGGATAAGCATTGCATCACCTAAAACATCCACACGAAAAAATACCAAAATACCGTTAAGTAATTTTTTAAAAAAAAAAAGTTTTATTTTTGCAATAAGCCTCTGTACTGATGATGTCAAACTTTGTTTACTTGTGTGTTTTTCTATGGGGCTAAGAAACCTACGTCCCTACCAGGCTCCCCATCATGCCCATAGAAAAGCACGTGTAAATAATGCGTGATGTCATCAGTACAGAGGCTTATTGGGCGCAAATTTTACAAAACGATGCATATTTCAAAAAGGTGTTCGAAATCTCATCAAAGTCACAGTACAAGCCGCAACTGTGCAAAATGGTAGTCGCCAAATTAACGGTTCTCCAATCTGAAATTTGGTTTAACAACTGACCATTCAGTCATAAAATTGCTTTCTTTTTTAGAGTTATTACCAAAAGCCAGAGTTGTAGGCAAGTCCATTGCCAATAAGTCTTCACAAGTTCATCGAATGTAAAACACAAGCCATCCAGTCCCAAGTCACAAGCTATTCAAATGAAACTGTGACAACGACATTCATTTGTTATTGTTTTATAATCACTGTTACTTTGACTGGACTCGTGAACTGACTTGTGATTAACATGTGATCAGACATGTGATCAGACATGTGATCAGACATGTGATCAGACATGTGATCAGACATGTGATCAGACATGTGATGGGCCTATGATGGACTCGACTACAACACTGTTATGAACAATAAGCCTTCAATAATTTTACAAATTGTCACCATCAAATCTTACACTTTTCTTCATAGTTGGGAAAAATGTTTACAGGGCTGCCAACTTTGAGTAAGAGCTGAGAGTGAGAATTTGGTGGAAGTTTTGTCGTGATTCAACAACTTTCGAAGCCATGGCGTGGGGTTCAGGGCCCACTTAAGGGACCTGCAACATTTTGACCTTTAGAAACTCTCTGGTGCATGCATTTTAGAGCAAATCTGGGGGTCTTTAAGACAGATTTTTCCTTAAAATTCAGAGGAGATTTATACTATTTTTTTGTAATAAAAAAAAAAAAAACAATGAACATTTCACAAACATTACACCTTCCTGAACTGGAAAAGTATGGATTACAAGTATGTTTCAAATTAAGAAAGTGAGGCGAAGAAAAAATTACTTCTGCTTCGGATTACATGCCTTCCATGTATGCAGAAACACGCTACGCTGTTTCGCAACAAGTTTGAGCTGAACAACCCGCTCATTATAAATATATTGAAACGGAATATACATACATTTGTACATAGAAAATAGAGATCACACATACATACATGTAGCGATCACGTTCTGGTTATTAATTTGCAGAAATTCTCTTTCTCCGTCGATGTTTGTTTGGTATTTTTACGATCCAAAGTCGGCCGGTTGCACTTTGCGCCAACGGCATTGGTTCGAAGCTCTCGCTTATTAGGACCCCGAATTTTTTTTAGATTCTATTCGCTCTGTCACGCGGTCGGAGGCATTTCCTGACCGGTTTAGCCAGTGTTTTTCTTAAAAAAAGATCTTCATTTAAACATCATTTTTGATATTTTTTTTTTTAGCTTGAGAAATTGCGTGCGCGAGTGAGAACAACCTTAAATGCGTGAGTCTCATGCTCAATGCGTGAGAGTTGGCAGGCCTGTGTTTACCTGCAAATTCGATGACATCTCCCCCTGCCTTGAGCACCAAGTCTTCAATGTGGCCCAGGTAGTCATTGAGAGTCTTGGTCAGTTCGTCAACGCCGTGGTTCTGCAGTGAGAATTGCTCACACATGGCTGTGAAACCTGCAACCAAATGATATCAATGCTTTATCCCTTGCAAAGGAAAAATAGATATAACAGCATAATTTCTACAAAGCGGTTAGGTACACATATGTATAGGCATGCACCTTGTAACAATCCATAAGAAAAGATACCAACATGTACAAGTTAAAGGGACACTAGGTCCTGGAACAGCCCAATTGGGCTACAAAACGCGCTTTGAACGAGATTATGTTATTCGGAAAGAACATTTAAACCTAGGATATAAACATCCACACAACTATCCTTTCAAAACTGGGCGTTTATGTGTTATTCCTGTATTATGCGTGCGAGAACGAATTTCGGGGTCCACTTTTGCGACCCCATAAATTTGAGCTGTTTGGATGCTAGTTGTGATTTCATTCGTATTAAGTGTTCGCCTTTTGCGAACGTTGAAGAAACATTTTTAGCATTGGTGATTAGTCACCGCTGTTCCCGAGACACACAACGTGTATATCGTACACTGCATGAGAACAACACGAAAAACGTATTCGTAATCCGTCGTGTCCGATGTAAACAACCAAGGATTTTTCCTCTTTTTGTCGGGAACGGTAAGACTTTAGGTTGGTTCCCTTTCAACCATATGTTTGAAATAGGATAAGTAAACAATCCAAAACATGAAATTTTCGGGGATTTCAGGACCTAGTGCCCCTTTAACGTTTGGCAAAACCCCTGAAAAAAGCATCCCCATTTGTTTTTGTACAATCTTCCAATGACAGCGTATGCAATTGCAATCAAAACCCAACAGAAGGAAGACAAGTAGCTGAAAATCACATTTCCTGAATACATTTCACTACAACCATCAACTTCTGGCATTGCGGATGTAACTGCCAATTAAATTCTTAGAAAACTTCAGGCAATTTTACCAGAGATATCCAGAAACATGAGGACTCCGTTGAGTTTCTGGACAGCAGGGAGCTGCTTGAGTCCCCTGGCTGCTTCAATGACAACATCAGGAAGATGAGCCACCAACTCTTTGCTAGCCTCATCTACACAAAATGTTCAGAGTCAAAAAACATAAATAGATTAGTAACAATAATGAAGTCATAGACATTGTACACCACTGCAGAGTACAAACTCTGCAAATTTTGCCTGAAAGTTAAAGGATAACTAGACATCTACGTCAGCAACAATTTGTTATTGCAACAGTTATTCCATAGAGAAAATAAAGTTTTAAAAACAGTCTAGATTTCAAACTCAGGAAACAATATTTTTCAGAAAATTAATATTGTACATACATGTACATGCATTGATGTATGGCTCACAATACAGCAGAAGTCCGGCATTTAAGCCAGATTTATGGGACTAGCGTATAGTTATCTTGTAAAAATCCTTTAACAATCTTTCTCCAAATTGCCTGGCAATTTATTTTTTAGTTCAGTACAGTAGCTTTCATTGTGAATATTATCAAGAGCAAAGCAGCCTAACATTTCAAATTCAGGCAACACAACTTTTCAGAAAATTTACCATGTGTCTCCCTGCTTGCCATCTGGCTCACAATATGGAGGATGTCCAGTATTTAAGTTTTGAGACACATTTAAATGTCTGGGTTAATTGAGGCTTAATAGATGAAAGTGTTTTGCCATGTATCCAAAAAAAAAAAAAAAACACCTGACTCAACACTTGCAGAATTATCATAAAAGCAGTTTGTCCTGTTAATACAACAAAGATTCTCTCCCACGCCCCCCCCCCCAAAAAAAATGTTTAAATACGATAAAGTATGCAGAGTGGCTATCGTTAATATTCTCAACATCACAATCTTTGGCTCTTGGAACCAGACTACGGTATCAACCAAATGGTTCTCGGACTTAATTTCCCCTTCTTTTTTTAATATCCTTCAAAGGCACGGATCACTTGAAAAAAAAAAATGAAATCTACTTCAATAAAAAGTAGGACTGGACTAAAAACATATTTTATTAAAGGGCAATTCCACACCAAAGTGGACATGACACCAAAAAATTCAAATACATGTGACTTAAACAAATTTGGCATCAAATGAAAGCTAAAAGTCTATATTTTCAAGATTTGAAGTCGGAATTTTATTTTTCATACATTTCGGTACCAAAAAATAGGATTATGTAATAATCCTGTTTTAATCCTAAAAATGTGATTAATAGTGATATGAAAGTATTCTACCAAAACACACACAAAAATATGTACTAATGCCATCAGTTTCTGTCATGAGAAAGTATTGGTCTTGAAAAACCGACTAAAACTTGTTTTTAACATTTTGCGTAATTTGCTTCGCTTCAGTGACTTCTAATATTTCAGCCTTCGAAAATGTCCTTCCGTTACCGAAAAAATACATATTATTAATTTATTTTTAAAACTTGCAGTATGAATGCATTGAAAGTTATTGTGCAAAGCAAGTTTAGGTAGGCCTTCAATATGACATTATAACTGACACTGCTGTACTTCTCGTTTTTTAATTACACTTAATTAAATCACGTCCTTCCGTTACCAAATTGGTAACGGAAGGACGGTAACGGAAGGACAAATCGTATTTTTACCAAATGTTACGACATTTGCGCTCATGTTTGAAAAATGAAAATCACTGCAAATACATGCATGTATAATGAGCATTGAAAGGACATTCATGTGACCCACCTTCACAAAAGCGGGATAAGCAGGGCAAGGTGTTTATTACAAAGGAAGGCACAGGCATGTACAACATGTACATTGTACGTGTACATATGCCGATGTACCAGTACTTGTACATGTATGGAGTTGTTCCAGAAAATCAAATCATAAAGTTGCTGCCATCAGCATTCATGGACAATAGAGAAAGATACAAATTCTGTGAAGCCATTCCAGAAACAAATTAAGTCAAAAATGAGATGGCAGAAAGTACCGGTACTTTGGGGCACTTTCATTCAATTTACATGTGTAAGACATGTGAGGTGCAATCTTTGACAAATTATGCCCCAGTTAACAATTTCAGTTTGGATGTTTATAAATAAATTGTTACTACTCTAAATCATTGTAATTTGATTTCAAACATTGATTTTAGAGTTCAATTAAAAGCAACACCTAACTGAAGCCATCAGTTCTACCGGTAGATGTTTTTACCTTAAATGTACATGTAGGCTGGTTGCCCCCCCCCCCCCCCACCCTTTAGGTAAACCACTGAACCTACCGGTATTATTATGAAAAGTTGTTGGTGAACATGTAACCAATATACTCAAGTGCTCAAAAACTGTGTATTTAAACTTTTAAGGATTGAAGTGATGGGTTTGAAGCCCATTTCTGTAGTTGTCTTGTGTTCGTGAATTATGTGTTTTAGGTGGTTTTCGTTTTTCTTTTGTTATCATTAATTAGCAGGCTTCTATCTTTATCTCAATAGTTTCTTGGGTATAATTATTTATGCCAGGTCTGCATATTGTTGATTTCACATTCAGTTACACATTTCAGCAATTTGTTTCACTTGTATAATTAGTGTAAATTCACATTTTGTTCATGCTATAATTGAGTAAACCTTTTGTCCTTCCGTTACCGTCCTTCCGTTACCAAATCATAATCTGCTTAAAACGTTGTAATTATATTACCGAAACACTTAAAGTCAAATGAAAGGCGGTATAGTATAGATAAAGCTTCAGGGATTCCATTTCTTACCTTTAAAATATAATTGCCCCATAAAATTCACAGAGTTTACGCAAAACGCGAGTAAGTTGGAAAACCCTTGTCCATTTTACCGTCCTTCCGTTACCGACCTCATTAATATTCATAATTCATAAACGGGAGGCATTCATGCCCCCCAAAAGTGTGGAAAATGAAAATAGCATTATAGCAATACAATTGTGACATTTGTTTGCTGTAACTATGAACAGTGTCTGTGATACACACATTTGAAATTTTGTTTAATGAGTGAAAACGTCCTTCCGTTACCGTGGAATTGCCCTAAAGAGAAAGTACATACATGTACATCATTGGCTTTTGCAGTAATTTTTAGAAATGATCTTTTTTGAGGGGTTTAATAGATCAAATACTGTTACACTGACATGTTTGAAGTTTTGTGTTCGAAAATGCTGGAAAACCTGAGAAAAACAAAAACGTTCAAGAAGTCTGGTTCCCTGACTCCACTAAAGATGAAATGGATCAATTTATAAATGTCAGAAAATTGTAAGGTAAGGGAACCAGTCCAGCTGGCCTGCACCCGTTCATGAACATGTAACAAATAGCAAACAAAATTTGGACTGAAAAAAAAGTAAATTTGGAGCAGTGGTTGAAAAATAGTTAGGGTTTTCCAACAGTGGTCGGCCGACCACCGTTGGAAATTTATACAAAAATACTTGGAAACGACTTCACACCAGGTGTCATAATTTTACAGGATGCCTTAGATTGCCATTTACCAACATCCCAGTAAGGTATTTCCTTACAATTTAGTTTTGTTTTTCGATGTTTGCAAATGTTGTATATTCCCTTTAAAAGCAAAGAAAACTATGTATTTAGAAGAACAAAAAAGAAAGAAATTCTAACAGCGTGGATTCGATCCTGGGACCTTCAGCATGGTAGTCCAACGTTTAACCATTCCTGCTAGGTTGCTATCAAAGCACTCTGATAGGACATGTAGGAAGGGCAGTTATGTGGCATGATCATGTGATATAGATTTCCAATAGTATTTTTGCAATGCTATAATGATAGCAGTTGAAATTTACAGCAGCCATAACGACATCAGCCACTGCCATGACTGCATAAAAATGTTTGCCTTAACTACAAAAGCATTTTAAGTAAAACAAAGTTAGTAGGGTTGCCCCGAATATACCAAATATTCAAATATTCAATCTTCAACGAATATATTAGCTTTTTGCCACTTTGAATATTCGAAAGCAAAAAACTGCGCACATACACACATGATTGTGATGTTATTTTATCATAAAGTTGCGGCGCTTTATTGTCAGTGCCACTTTTTCTGTGGACGTTAACTGTTTTCCGACGGCTGTTCATTGCTTCTGTAGATCCTTTTAACAGGTTAAAGCCCTTGTCCTTGACAGCTTTAAAATACTAACTACAAAACACTACATATCGGCCATTGCACGCAAATTTTTAACTGCATGGCGCGCTCTGTCATGCCTGCATAATAAGTGATTGTTTAGTGAAGGGCCCCTGTTTAGTTTTGATCAAATTAGAGTCAAGAGTGTTTTTATTACTCAAAAAATGACCTTTTCAACCTTAAGCAGACTTCTCTCAATTCTAATGACACTTTTTTTGTAATTTTCAACAGTTTCTTGGGGTAGAAATTACGATTTTCCTACGCGGTTTACGGTTGATGCCATGCCAGTCAGTGTGCCTTGCTTGTTCACGGAACATCGTGCAGTGATCGCCATCTTTATCTTCGTGTTGGGTTTTGTCGCTGTCATCGTCATTTTCCCCCAAAATTTCCTCCAAAATTCAAAACCCTGCCATTTATCTATGACATACCTGCATGATTTTAATGTCGCCAACTGGTTTGGTAGGTCAAATAATTTTAAAAGTGGGTTTTGTTCCCTTATTTAAAGTTATAGGGGGAAAACTGTTGCAACCTGACGCTATTTCAAAACAGAAAAAAGACAATTTTGTTTGCTTATCTTGTACCTCAGAGAGTATACTTTCATGTGACTTATGTGAGAACTGTAAGGAATATGTTGACAAAGTCTTTAAGAGAGATTTGTAGGCGAATGTGTGGCCAACTTAGTGAATTTGTACACGTCACGTGCCGGTTGAGGGCGTCAAGATGCAGTGACATGTAAAAATTCACTAAGTTGGCCACACAAATCTCTCTTAAAAAGACTTTGTCAACATATTCCTTACAGTTCTCACATGAAAGTATACTCTCTGAGTCTGAGGTACAAGATAAGCAAAAAAAAATGGTTTTTTTTCTGTTTCAAAAGTAGCGTCAGGATGCAACATTCTTTCTGTTAATATAGGAACCGGGCCCGTAGATTATCACAATCGGATTTCCCACGATCGCTGCAAATTTTGACCGGCGTGCCACGTCGTTGCAGCTGGCAGTTTCAGTTTCGAATATCTAAATATTCAGTCAAACACAGTTTCGAGTAGGCCTTATCGAATACTAAATTATTCAAATATGGACAGCCCTAAAAATAATGCCCGCAGACATTCACAGTTTGCAAACATGGCAAATAAACTTTGACATGTTTGACTGAGTTTGAAAATACAAGAAAACAAATTGAACCTGAGGACATGGAACATTAGTAACAAAATCATAAGAAAAACAAGAATCAAAAGCTACATAAAATTATAGTTTACAATTCCCAAATACAATTCCCATGATTGGGAAGTTTTTAAATGTGGCAAATATTCTGAAAAAATATCCATAATTTAATATTAAATTTTGTGCAACATGTCGGCAATTCGAGTTCAACTATTTCATATTTGACTTGATTTTGTGATAATTGATAAAACACAGACTACACAACACGATCGAAATTAGTTACAAATTTCGATACCATTCTTTGGAACTCGAGAACCGATTATTCGGTTTCAATGATGTGGCGCACTCACAAAATGAAAATTTTGTAAATGGGGGAATAAATAAACGTTGTTTTCTACATTTGTGAAAAAGTAATTACACCAAAAAGATCATTCATAATAGTCTATACCTTATGAAATCTAGATATCTTACCTGTTTTAAGCCTCAAAACGACGAAAACATGAAAAATACTTGGAATTTTCTTCCAAAATGCCACGGCTCCTGACGATTCAAAATTTGCGGGCAAAATGGTGGCTGGCGCATGCGTATTATTTGCGCCCTCATGTGACAAATTTATACCAAGAATAGGGGCGTTAACAAATAAACTGTTAAACAAAAAGGGGGTGTTAATTAGCCGTCCATCATTAATGCAACAAAACCGATGAATATTGTAACTTGCATGTGTTTAATCTATGTCGGAATTCTAGTTGAACTTAAAAAAAAACTAATGCAATGGGGGGGGGGGGGGCTATAAACAGTTTACCGTTATTGTGTCAATTAAACTGCACAGCCAACTTGGTTCCTCCATGGTTGGGAATCATAAATTAATTTCATTTCATTTCATTAATTATTTCGCAGGTCAAATTTACAATGGGTAAAACAAAAATAATAATAATATTACAGACAGTACAGTATAATCTTATTGTCTCAATGGTAAGGTGTACATTTCGGTTAAATAAATCAAATTGATTTGAAAGTGAAATTTATCTCAATCTGTCAGAAGTGTAGGCCACTCAAAACACGTCCGTATCAGTGATTCTCGGAAGCGGGCCCCACCGTGACGAGAGAAATACATAGGCCTGTAGCCCTACATCAGTTTTTTTGGTCGGTGGTGGACGTCGTGGAAGATGAGAAGAATCAACATATAAAATCTACGTATCAATGTCACGATTCGAAAAACACTATTCGGTTATATTAATCATTATAGAATCAATAGATCAAAAACTTCGTTTCACCTACCCGTTTTCTTCATTTTGTCGAGGTTCCTTTGTACTTTTTATTTCAAATTCTTTTTATTTCTTTTTCCCTCGTTCAACAATCTGTGTATTGTATCTATAACCCATCGTTTTTGTGGCTTGTTTCACTGCCGTGTTTGAAGCTGTCTGTTGTTCATAATGATTGTGTGAATTGCATTACGCGCACGCATCCAGCTAAAGTTTCTTAGCTACGTGACGTCATTTCAAAAGCATTGTCTTATTTTGGCATCACAATGGTCTCAATACGCGCGCTCGTCGAACGTGAAGCGCTGTTGCGCTCGCAACGCACTCAAGCAAACCGGGCTTAAAGGTGTGTGCCCCGTCAAGGGCGGATCCAGAACACATTGAGGGGGGGGGGCCAAAAAAATTTTGGTGCCCCAAAAGTGGGTCCAAAAACATTGCGGCGTGGGGTTCGGGGATTTTAGATTTTTTTGAGGAAAAGATGGTGGTGTACTTATTGTCTGCGCCTTTAGGGCCTATTGCGACGTCACTTCAAAAAAAAACATGGGTTCGTTCGGGGAGGGGGGGGGGGGCATGGCCCCCTTTGCGCCCCCCCCCCGATCCGCCCTTGTGCCCCGTGCTCTATAGTACAAAAAAAAATGTTTTCTCCTAGCGAATCTTCAATTTGTATGTTTGTTTAAAGAAAAGTCTGTGCTCTGTCTTTCCATGTATGTCTGTCACTTGTCTGTCTGTCCATAGGCTGGGGAACAAAAGCTGATGCTTCACCCTGGACCTAGATGTTGCCATTTAGTTAATGTTCACTATTGCAAATATATCTAGTATGTATTGTCAATTTGAATATATAACATTATGTATTATGTATCATCCTTATGCAGCATCGAAATAAATGTATCGAATTGTTGTTAATAACAATTTAAGTTTTTTTCTCGATTTTTGATCATTTCAACTCACTGAGCCTTCAATTCAACTTAACCAGCTAAAATGGACAATTATATGAAAAGAAACTGTGCAATTATTTCAACTTAAAAGGCAAGGAATGACAAAACGCCTGTGGTAAAAGCTGGTATGTCTATGCCCTGCAGAAAAAAATCAATTTAATTGAATTATTGGGGAAATGTTTTAGAACGAATATTTTAATGTAATTATTCATCCTGTCAGCATTTTTTAAATTAATTTTTTTTTTTGAAATGTATTCAATTTGTTACTAATTGTGGATCACTTTTTGGCCATATCACGATGGAGAGCTCATAATGCTGAACAATGTGTCATTCACTTTGACAGTTTATTGGTCTGGGTGCTAAACATCAGTAAATGCTAATAATAGGCCGTTCTTGAAACTGATAGTTTGTTGTTAATCTACAATACCACCCAACCAAAAGTTCACAATTTTATCATGCCTGACCACATACGCTTTGACATTTGTTTCTTGTTCTCTTTATTGCCAACAATCATGTGCAGAGACATCAAATTCCATCATCCAAAAACATTTGGGGAAAATTAAAGTACATACAGCATACACGGTCATAACCTATCTGAGCATCAAGTATTCCCATGGCCTACACGTACAACACACTGCATCATGTGAAGCTAAATTATAACAAGATAATAGTATATATTACTATATATCAGTATATTATGTTACTTACAGAACTGTACACTGTGTACATGCATACAGTCACAAATTGCATGCAAACCATGCAGTCTGACTGAAATAAACTGAACGGTTTTGCACTTTGCTAAGAGTTTACAAATTAATGCCGACAGTTAAAAATTAATTAAAAAAAAAAGAGAAATTGAAAGTGGAACAGAAAAAGTCTAGAAAGTTAAGCTTGCAAACAAATTTAAACCAAAAAATATCATCAAATGCCTGCAAATGACGTAATAACGTGTTGAAATGCTTTCCCCTTTAATGTTTGGCCCGTTGTGAAAAAATGTAATTGTCTATAAGGCCAAAAAAAAAATACTCGGTCTCTGGTCAGCGCGCGCATCGATTTTAATCATGCGCGTCAACCTTTTTTTTTCTTCAAATTAACACGGAAGCTACAACAGTGCCCTCTATTGCCGCGCCTCCTCAAATTTTTGTACCAAGGAGCACCAAGGAATGGGGAAATTGCACCAAGGCAAATGTTAAAGGGCACCAAGGCAAATTATGGAGGACACCAATGTATAATGAGGACACAAAAAAGCAAAATAGTACCCACCTTGTCTGTACAATACAAGCTTGAAAAAAAAATAGCCACCCAAAAAAAAAAAAAAAAAAACCGCGTCGCCGCATCAATTCCGGAACTTCAGTCTGACCAGAGACCGACTATTTTTTTTGTGGGCCTAATATTAATATTTCAAACAGTTATCACATACAATTTAAATTGCCTCAAAACATTAACATATTGAATGAATTTAAACATACATTTGTTCTATCTATCACATTCAAGAGCACTGAATCAGAAAAAGTTACACATGACTCATTATACATAATGCCACATTTGCGGAAAAAACTGCACACAAAATATTGCAATATTTACTTCACAACTGTAGAAGCATGTACCAGTTAGTATGGTTTCATATTCAAATCATCATCTTTCTTTAGACAAGTGATTTTGTTCCGCAGTTTACCCTTTGTTCTCTTTCTAAGCAAACAAAATACAAAACAATGAGATATGCAAGACAAGTATTACACACATTATCTACAGATATAAATTCTGAATCTTAAATACTTGCTGAAAATACACTATGGCTGGCCATACAACACTTTACCAGAAATTTGATATAAATAACAAACACAATGCAAAACAATGTGCTGGCTGTTCCTAGTAGTTATAATTAGGACTAAGTACAATTATTACAGTGACCAGGTTAACTCTACGCAACATGGGACGAGCTTTTTTGTTCCTTTAAATACATCAGGTCTGAATTGTGTTCTTCATCACCTATCATGTAGCTTGTATTCGTCAGCTAGAGAGGAGAATATGACCAGATGTTGGTGTGATTCTTTTGGGCTTCATAATCACATTTTGCAACTTTAATGCGGAGTTCACGCAACTTCAGTCCTGCACTGTCTGTGTTTCACTGTTAATCAATACATGTCTCCTAGCAAATGTCTATTGTAATGCAATCATATGTATCATGTGCCTGAAACTCTCTGCTCCTCAGCCAATGAAAACATCACTTATATAAACGTAGATGTACATGAATTATGTTTATAAAAAGCTATTACTTTGAATTCATGCCTGATATACATAAACATTTGTACTTGTAGCGATACTTAAGACAAGAAAACCTGAACACAGGTAAAGTCTGAAAGATATACTGGCAAGCTCAGACCTCAACCATCAAGATTATGTCTTTTCAACATTCTTTTGTAAAAGTCACAACTCCTAAAATAGTCTCACAGGTCTGTGCTGATGCTTTCTTGTGAGGTTTGAGACACCGGTCTTGATTTCTGACCTCCAGCTGGGTTACCCTTCTCCTGAGTTTCCTCAGGAGCTGATTCTGGCCTGACTTCCCCCTCCATCTCTCCAGAGGATGGCCTCTCTAACTCCTGGGAATGCCTGGACTGGGAGTCTGACCTAGAGCTGGGGGACCGCTCTCGGATCTGCTCTGCCGATCGCGACCTGGTCATTGCTGTTGCACCAATGTCATCCAGTATGAGCGGGTCATCAGTGGACCTGATTCTAAGACTTCCTGCTGAAGTCTTTCTCCCCTGATAAGGTAAGTCTCTCATTCTCACGGTGTCCTCAGAATCAAGCACAGCAGGTTTTTCAACCATTTCTGGCTGTCCTCCGTCCAAGCTGGACCTTGCCGAGTCATCCACGTCGCCCCCAGGACCTTCTATGAGAGTCTCTTTCAAATTGTCCAAGAAGGTGGTGTCTTGGCTGATCTCAGCGGCAGCGGCAGTGGCACCCAGATCTGGTTGGACAGCCTTCTCATCGGCATCATCCTCCTCTTTCTTGATCTCGGGAACCTCGTTGGAGCCCTTTTCCTCCTCTTGGACAGGCTTTGGGTCTGGTACCTCAGCGATGACTACCTTCTTGATCTCAAAGATCGGAGAGGTCACCACTTCTTTGGTCTCCATGGTTTCTGCTTTCCTCAGGGAAGCCATGAGCTGCATGTTGGTGTCCATCAGCCTCTGGGAAGCGTCTTCCAGGTCGGTGCTCGATCGAGTCACAACCAATACTCCTTTTGACCAAAAAATACAGTGACAACAAATAAACGTTAAGTCAAAAGGGAGTTTCGGATCAGTATAATGATTGGTTCGTCTCACAACCTCAAAACTCTAAGAGACAAAGCCCTTATCAACCGCAATCCTCAAGAACAAGCTGGTAAGACTGTTCTAACAATGCCTCAGACATCACTACTTTAATAATAACATGACATTCAGTCAACTGCAAAGTAAATGATTCAGATCTAGTTCACCTGTTTTGCCCTCAGACAGGTGCTTGCAAAACAGCGCCAAAAGAACATCCAAGTCGTCTTCCTCACTGGATCCAAACAGGTCACCTGACCACATGGACCTGCAAACAAAAGAAATATCAGATCCATGGAAATCAGACTCTTGCTTCAAGAAATATTTACTTGTCTGAAGATGAAATTTCATCGATTGTCACTTTGTTAGGATGTTAGAACTAGCAAGCAAGGAATGTAACAGTTCATTTGCACAACTTGTGAGTTGACTTGCGACTAGCTGACTTGTGGTGGATTTGTGAACCATTCCAAGTACCTCGATTATAAACCCTTGGGAGCTGATGCTTGAATTTGGCAATGGATATAACAAGCAGGAACAAATATTTATTGGTATAAGGTGAGTTTTACCTGTAGACGTGCAGCAGTCTAAGAGCAAGACGTAGCTGTCTATTCCCAAGATGTTCAGCCAGAGTTCTCAGCGCCGTCTCTGGTGACATCCTAGAGGTATCTACCTCAGGAGACAAGGAAGCCTGGCCACTCTCGAGCTCCTCAGAGGCCTGGATCAGCTCCTCCTTGGCTGCTGAGACGTCTTGGGAATAATCAGTCACCTGGTTGCATAGAAAAAAAAAGGAAAAAGGACTACTACATGTTCTTATATTACAATTAACTAATGAAAACGAGGGGTGTGTTCCAATGTCAGCGTGAATGTTAGAAAGGCCCCCGTAAATGTGCCTACCCCAAGGGGAAACGATAATGTCATTGAAAACCTGTCGTCAATATGGCGATGCCCAGTACTACAAGTGTAAGTGTTTGGGTAGCGGCTTTTAAAATCATTGAAAACAATTATCTATTCGATTTCTATTGATATATGCATTTACATATTTCTACTTAATTGTCCATTTTGTTCTCACTGTTCTTCTTTGTCACATTAAAGCTACAGTCCATCATTTGCAGTCATCCGAAATTATTGGCGTAATTATTGTTAAAAACATACTAGGTTGAAAGATAGTAAGGGGACTAAACCCCCTGTGAAATTGTTCTTTCTGGCAAGCTGTCATTTTGAAGTAATCAACGAAAGAAGGCCTTTCCAACGGTGCGTCTTAAGACGCACCGTAGGAAAATATAAATTAGTAGTTCGTTTTGTTATTCGGCGAAGCGCGCGCAAGCATTGGCACGACGCACACGCACGCGCGGTTGCTATAATTCGTCGGATCAGTGCGCCACATCGCGTATAGCTGCAATCGGCTCAGTGAGAACGCGTCTCGGACGCTGAATTCAAGCAATTCAAAACATCATTCAGCAACTTTTGATTTGAAATTGAGATCTTAGAATGCTGTTTTTCTCGGAATATACAGCTGAAGCTGAGCTGAAACTTCATCAGGTTAGTTGTTAGTACCCTTCTTTAGATTTTGAGCACTTTTGTTGCTTCAAACGAACAAAATGCACGAAATACAAATGATGGACTATATCTTTAAGTGTTTTTCATGATTGTATCATTTATATTTTTGAAGGTATGGAAACAAATGTTCTGAATAATCTAATCTAATCCAATTTACCCGTGGCTGGAGCTGAAATTTTGCCATTGGTACTTAGAGTAGCCGGGGAGTTTTGATGTAGAAAATGATGAATTTCAGCTGCATGACTTTTACTGTATGTGACTCCTCATTTTTGAAAACATTATCGAAGAACTTGGTAAGATTGTTGCCCGTTGTTGTTAATGTTTATCAATATTGTTGGCGGACAATTGGCCCCCTTGTTCGCACCTTGCCAGCCTTTACTCTTCTCAAGGTTTGTCCAATCTGCAGTGCTTACCTTTAGCGCCTGACGAGCAGCATTCAGAGTCTGTATCAGCTTGCAATAGCTGTCAAACAACATGCGTAACTGGAAGTACAGACGGTACAGTCGACGACACAGCTCAATTTGCTACCAAACAGAAAAAAAAACACAGAAGTTGGCTTAAATTTACAGAAACAAGCACTTCAGAAAGTTCTCCATAACAAAAAATTAAATTTGACACAATTTTGGTAACTTTGTTAAATCAAAAAAGAAACATGGTATGTATAGCAATGTTTGATTGAATATGTGAGCTAAGCAGCTTTCTTACAATATGTTTGAAGTTCAGCATGGCATAATGGGGCTCCGACTATGCAGGTGAAACCCTATAGTCATCATGACTAAAAATGCAGTCACTCAAATGGAATAAAACATTTGGACGGCTCAGGTTTAGACAAGAAAGAACCTATCATGACATCATATTAAATGCAAAATCACAGTAATGATCATAGATTTAAGAATCTATGCTTCCATAAAAAAGGGCAAAAAATTTAAAACATGTAAATACAGCGTGTGTCAATAAAAACGCAGGATTCAAAGCGATTTTTTTTCTGAGAAAATTATGCTACTGGTGTGCCTAATTTGATAAGGATTTGATTGTCCATAATTTCATCTTTGACAAGATTTTTTTTTGGTGGAATTTGGACTTTTGGTTCAAAAGTTATGACAAGTTTTGTGAAGCCCTTCTGAAGCGGGTTGGTCTGATTCAATGACCTTAACACAACGACCAGTTATGTACAATGCAGGTATGCATTGAAGACAATTAAACCAGAACAAAACTTTCTTTGAAACAACTGATGATAAGTATCACTTAAATTTAATAACTGGACTATCATTGTTTCAAAGCATCATGAATTATTGACTAATAACATTGATTGTGGACTAAAGGATTATGTAAGCCTAATCCTGCCACACGTGTCCTTCTTTGTGATCCATAAATACTTTCACCTGTACTGAATTCAAACCTTTCATTAGGTATGTGTGATTTCACAAATCAGACCAGCTTGGAATTTATAACCCTTCTTCAATGTACTCTATCTCTGGACAGGATTGTCCAAATGAGATGGGATAAAAAGCATAGTGAAGAGAAGGAAAGGTACTTTGAAAAGAGGGTTAACATTATGATGAATAGGGGTGGTTTATATTCTTAATATTTTTGTTTCTAATCCTGCGTTTTTATTGACACACGCTGTAGATCAGGTTCTCAAAACTGGCTTCCTTCCATCATACCTTTCCAATCTTTCATTAAAAAAAACCGACTTTAACAATTAAATGTAATGATATAATTTCAATAACATTCACAGGGAAACATTGATCAGATATAAACAGCTACAAGTGAAATACTTTTCAAAACATGTACAAATTGTACGTCCTGAACTACTCACTATCACTGCTATGAAAACTACAATTAATGATAGCAACATTGAAATGAACTCGAAGCTCCTGACCAAATAAAAATGTCCCAAATAAAAATGTCTCAAAAATGCAACAAAATTGTTACCGAAAGCATAACCAAACTATCTTCCAAATAAAATGCTACAATGTAGTCATGCCGAAACTGTGAAACCAAAGGATGCAATTTTGCATTCAAAATGAACACAGAAACAGAGACGATTTATTAGCGTGACCGCCTCTTAAAAATCGCCTCTTGCATTCTGATGAGAAAATGACATCCAGGGGTTGCACATTGTAATGATATTGAAATATCAAATTTGGTACGCAAGCAAGGCAAGCACAATGGTACTGGAAGGATTACTGGAGGATAGATGCTACAAACAAACTACCAACGAGTCAAAATCATAAATAGGCTCAGTCCGAATCACTTGGCTGTACAGTGGAACGTCGCTATACCGAACACCGCTATACCGAACATTCGGCTATACCGAACATCAACCTTGGCTCCCAAATTTTTGTGTACAAAACGTGACGAACATTGTTGTTAGAAATGTCAACAGAAGAGCGACAAATGGCTATTATTTCCCCAACGAATAGTAGGAAAAAGCCACCCATGTAAGCTCAAAAACTGTGTACATGTAATTACATGATTCAATAGTCACACGTGTTCGAAGTCGTCTTTCAGTAACTACCAGGGCTAACTTGGTGAAGTTCTGCTACGGAATTGGAAATATTAATAGACACGTTTTTCGACACCGCGCGTGTTTGTATGCAACTACACAATAACAATGATCAAAAGAGGGCAACACTAAAAATGTGTGAAAATCGCTATACCGAACAATCGATATTACAAACAATTTCTGTGGATCCCACGATGTTCGTTAAAGCGGCGTTCCACTGTATTTAACACGCGCACCTAAGGAAGCCATTGGCTAGCGGCTGCAGCCACTTTCCATAGACTTGTGCGTTATTGCCAGCCGTAGCCCAGTGATTCGGACAAGCCTGAGCTTGATGTCAGATGGGTATAAGATTTGGTATAAGATTTGGTATGGATAGATGGGCGCTCAACTTTTGAATCTTAGCCTTGCTGCAAATGGATGGATGGGCCAAGGCTTGGGGAACAAATGAATCTGTAAAACTCTGTCTTTCGAAGCCATTGATACCAGCAGAGTTCAAACTCTTGAAAGCATGGAATGGAATGGGAAGATACATCGATGAGGAATGACAGATCTGTATGTACTTACGGTGTTAATATGAGTCATTTCCTGCCCCAGTGGGATAGAGTGTGTCAGTAGATCAGGATAAAATGTTACTTGGTTAGTACAAAACTCATGCTTAAAGTCTGGTTACGTGGAAGTCAAAGGATGTTTAGTACTGCTGAATAACCATTATCATTAATGACATTTTAATGATGGGTTTATAATATGCTGGTATAAGTTTCGAACCAGTAAACCCGACCCTACCGAACAATTGGTTTAGGGTAAGACACCTGCACCTGTGAGAAAGACGTTTTGGGTTAACTTGTGTGATTTTTTCCACAAGTTCTTAGAAAACATTGAGTTACAGTGCCTATAATATTACAAGAACCCAATATAAAAATGTACATCTGCCAAATGCTATTATGCAAATGAGATATTTTTGTTATTGTTTCTGATGACAAATGCTATTTTCAAATGCTACTAACCTTAACAGTGTCCAGTTGATACAATAAGCCAGTTCAGTATTTCAACTGCGCATGCCCACAATGATATGGGTTACAGGTCATTCAGGATAATCGAACGCTCATCGAAGACGCATGAACGCGCGAGTAGACAGTTGCATGATGCTAGTGCGTTAAAAAGGTTGTGGAATGCTGAAAGTCGTTTTGTTTTTTATATTTTTTTATTGTAGAGTAGACCCATATATATCATAATGACAAACACCCATTCTTTTGTAATGTGCGTTTATATGTTTTATAAAACTGAAATTCATCGAGTAATTTGATGGTCGGCGAGCGCATAATTGAAATCAACAGTCGTCGGGTTCTTCGTAAAATCAGAAAAATCGTGACGTAATTGACAGGACTCGTTTATACTACGCTGCATAGGGAGTCCTGTCTATTACGTCACGATTTACTATGTTTTGTTTGCTGCCCCCAACGACGACTTTTACACAAATTGCACGTTCGGGTCGAAACAGGACCTGAGAAACAGCTCTCAAAAGTACCTTTTGTATTCATTTCATGACAGACACAATAGTCGTATTTATTTCATCACACCTTAGGCTACATATACCCGAAAAATGACGGATATGTCTTCGAGCATTCCACAACCTCTTTAATTACGAGCACATGGGCATTCGCAAAGCATCGCGTCAGCGAATTTATCCTGAATGACTTTTGACCTGGAATACTTCACCGAGATACTGAACTGGCTTATTCTTGGGTAAAAATTCAAATTCGGCTTCGGCAGGTAAATTTCTTTTAACTTAATTCTGGATAGTGGGGGAATGTTAATTTTTTTTATGAGGCACTTACCAGATTAGAATTGGGCCTATGATAATCAGACCTAATACAGAGTGTTAAAACTTCAAATATAATCAGCCTTAGCGTAGGGTTTATTCTTACCTGTTCATCCCCTGTTGGTCCAGACATATCCTATACACAAAATAAGTGGAAAAAAAACAGTCATCAAAACTTTAGGGTTTTTAGTATCTATAAAAATATGAAACACCTGATAAAGGTTTTGGCGTAATACAAGCTGTTTCAAAGACTATGTTCAGGTTTTGAGTGCTTAAACGTCAGTTATTTGTTTCAACAATATTTATATTTTACTCGAAACTAGGTGTTTAGAAGTCTAAAAAGTGCAAAAAAAATCCTGTATGTTGGGTAAACAATTGATACAAGCAACCAATAACTTTCTTGAAATGAAGCCTTTTGAAGAACAATTTACCGCCTCATGATACCAATAACAATATATGACAAGTTTGTAATAAATGGTGACAACTTACCTGAGCTCCTAGACTCTGCATTTTTAGTGATGCCTTGATGGAATCCAAACACTACAAGAAGAAATACAAGTTGTTATTGCATACAAATTTATCAATATTTTTGTGTTTTCCCCCAACAAATCTTGATGTTGCTTAAACAGAACAAGATGTACCCTAAGCAAGGTATACCGAGGGGAAATTTGCTTTAGAAGTTTAAATAAATAAAAAATGTTACATAACATGGTCATACATGTATATCTGCACAAATAACTTCAGATGAAAGGTTCAAATCCAGCACACGTAAGCCAAAGAATTTTCTCACAAAGTCACAGAAATTATTGAGAATACAGTAAACTCCGGCTAAACCGACATCGTACAACTCGTCAAATCGCTCAAGTCGGCCGTCTGACTAAAGTCCAGATTGTCCGTAATGCATTTCCACTGAATTTTTAATTTCTAAGTTGGCTTTTATAAGTCACCATTTCGCTCAAGTCGTCGTGTTACTCTCTCTCTCCTTTCCATAAAAAGCATTACAAAATCCTTTGTGTAAGTCGGCATTCAACAAATCACGCATTGGCATCGACTTCCTGTACTGCGGTTGGCAAAGTGTCGAGTGAAAAGTGGTTTGGCACGGCCCGTGATCGCTGCATGCATCGGTGTCGAAAAACGGTGTCCTACTGCATACATCGCATATGCATCGTGAGCATATCAATACCAGTACCCCCTCTAGGCTGTACGCATGCGCTCTGTCCATTTTGGGGTTCGTCTTATTGAATGACTGCTGCGGTCAATGCGTGCGTGGTATATACCAGATCACGCACGTATTTAATTTGTTACTGTGCATGTACATATGTATCGTGGTCTCCACTATCAATACCCCAAACATGATGATACAATTCAAGGATTAATTTGCTGGATTCAACTCAAGCATTAAGGAGATAATCCAGGGTAAATCGAAGCCAATTAGTGCAATGAATCATGTGTGCAAAAGACCGTTCATGTAAGTCGGCAAAATGACGACTTACAGCAGATATCGCCATTCGCGTAAGTCGTCACAAATTCTTGGGTCCCGAGAGTGCCGGTTTAGCCGGAGTTTACTGTATGCCGTAAGTAACTGGGTTAGAAAAAATTACATCCCAAGGAATTCAACTGACCTCAACCGTCAGATCTCTCTTGGAGATGTAAGTGTCATAGTGTTCATGCAGCTCAATCACACAGTACTTGTGTCTCTCTAGCAGTCGGCAAGCCACCAGCGTCTCAGTGTCAATGTAGACATAGGGGCACTCGGCGTGGGTAGTCAGGAGATCTAGGGTACTGAGTGAGATGTGTTAAGGAGAGACAGGGTACCAGATGCTAGTCTAGAGTGCCGACATCGAAGGACATTTGGAACCCGTATTGCCTCTCAAAAGTCAAACACCAAGGACATGCATTAATCAACAAAGTGTCCTTCACATGATTTCGACATAACTTATAAAGAGCGCCCTCTTTCAATCGTGTATGGAGTCTAAAGAAACCAATCCAATTTCATGAGCTGTGAGAACATTGGTGTGCGGTTACCAACTTTGTATTTATTAACATAGCATGTGCTGGTTTAATGGAGCCGGGTAGAAACACTGCTTAGCATAATACAGATGGTAAGCAAAAACCTGCTGAGCGCCAGTGATTAAAATTACATAAAATGTAGGCAGGTTACCATTTAAGCTAAGCACATATATTCTATGCTTAACAAATTTCCATGGAACGCATCTCTATGAAATTAGTCCAAGAATAATCAAAAATGCAAGACTTTTTTTTACAAAGGATATGGAATTGAAGAGCAATATCTCTGAGTTTGTCCCCGAGATAGTTGCAAGCCTCCCTGGTGAGGTTACAGAAACGTTGCTGCATGACCTTGTAGAGCTGCGTGAAGACATGGAACGTGTTGACGGCGCAGCGGCCGCTCAGGTCCCGCATGACGTTGTCGACGTGGGCCCGCCAGGCCTCTTCCACTTCGTCCACGGGGATGTACAGGAAGGAGGAGGAGTGGGTGGTTGTCAGGGCAACGGGGGAATTGGCGATGCTGTCGAGATCGCTGGTGCTACTGTATGTCAGAAACGAAAGTAGAAGTGACATCATTTTGGGTTAATCATATGTTTTTGTAGTCTGAGTATCACCCGTTATCGACGGAGCCCAGACTCCTGTCTAAACGTCTGATATATCAAAGCATGCAGATTTATGCGATCTCGCGCCTCAGCCAATCGGAGTCGACTTTACTAAATCGTGACGTCATTTCATTCCCAAATCAGGACTAAACGTTTGGTTGGTCAATTCGCAGAATGCAGTGTTTTGTAATGCAACAACAGCCGGGTGCGTTATCGCGTAACATGATACAGAGTGCGTGACGCAGGGCTTTTTAATCCATTGTCTATAACGCGCAACGGGTGAATGACCGAAGACCCGATATAGAAAGCGCCCGCTGATTGGTCAAAATCTAGGAGGTCAAGAGGCGGGGTCTTGCCTAATTAATCAGCGAATCTGCTCACATATCATAGACCCATGGCATTCGCCATGGGTCTATTACATAGACTAATGATTTTGATAGTCACCCATAAAACAGCCGTCAGTAACTTTGGCTGCTTCCATAGATGCATGTGTTATTGTAAGTCCTAGCCACATAAATCAGACGCGGCTTTAGAATGGTGGCTGTACCTTGCATTGGATGGTGTCGGACTGCTTCTGTTGTCCATTGGATCCAAGGCTGGTCCCGCGTCTGCCGAGTACAGATTGCGCATGCTGGAGGCCGCATCCAGACTGGCTGAATTCTCTTCGGCACCAGGCAGATCCGAGTTCTGAAAAGAAACGGCAAGATAGCTCACTTAAAAGTGATCCAATAAACAGTAATAGAGATACTATAAAACTTGGACATGGTAATGTGGGAACATTCAGAGAGGACAAACATTTGGTAGGATAAAACAGCTTGAGCTGCTTGCTGCTTAAGCACAGAAACGCGTTAAACACAGAAAATGTTTGCTTAGCAACTACAGGTTGTAGTTGCTTAAGCACAGAAACGCGTTAAACACAGAAAATGTTTGCTTAGCAACTACAGGTTACCGGCTAAAATGTCATGCCATGTATGTTACTTGTGACTGGTACTCAGCTGGTACTACAGGTTGTAGTTGCTTAATTAAGCACAGAAACGCGTTAAACACAGAAAAAGTTTGCTTAGCAAACACAGGTTACCGACCAAAATGTCATGGTATGTATGTTACTTGTCACTGGTACCCAGCTGATTGCTGCTTAGCATATATGATCGCTAAGCACAATTTTCTGCAGATCCGTGAAATTGGGCCCAGGTTTTAGCGGCACTCAAGCCTGACGTGAATATGCTTACCTCATCATCTGAGGACTCATCTTTGATGTCCTCACTGTCAGGGTTAGGGTTGTTGGTAGGGTCCATCTCCTCCAAGGACATGCGGCTGTGGTACCAGTTGAACTTGAAACCCTTCTCATCCTAAAAGACCGGTGAAAAATCTTCAATCATTCACAGTTATGACATGTTAATTTATTGGAAACAAGAAAACCTCCCTTAGCTACAGGGTGAGTAAAAAAAAGTGGAACCCAAACCCCCAAAAGTGTATTTCATATTTAAAAAATATGTAGCACCAAAAATAATAATGACTGGAAAGCCAAGTTCAAAAGCTAGTTTTAGATGGAAAAAATTAATGAAATTGCTAAGTCCGTTCAAAGAATATCACCATTTAAACGCAATGACCCTAAAACCTGTCTCGTCCAAAAAAATCAATTTATTGTGTGTTTTGACTGTTTGGAACAACAAAGAAAATGACACAGAATACTTGTTTCAACAACTGTCACCAACTGTAGCACACAATATTTTGATTAACAACCCCGGTTAGGCAAACAATATGATTTATAAAATTGACTTTTTTAAAAGACGGGCCTTCAAAAGGACTTTGTTGCATATTGTTAACGTTTAAACTCAGATTTCATCGCTGGTGATGTTTGAAGACAATTGTGACGACGATTGTTGAAATCGCATATTTTGGACGAGACAGGTTTTAGGGTCATTGTGTTCAAATGGTCATATTTTTTAAACGGATTGACCAATTTCAGTAATTGTATTCATCCAAAAGTAGCTTATGAAATTTGCTTTCCAGTCATTATTATTATTGGTGCTAAATGTTTTTTTTAAATATGAAATATAATTTTTGGGGTTTGGGTTCCGCTTTTTTGGACTCACCCTGTATGATTGGCACTGAAGTCATTTTATTCTAAGTCGAACATGTATACTGAATAATAGGTGGTATAGAAGGGTTAAAGCCTGAGTAAAAGACGTAGCAGTTCATGCACTTGGGATTTTGATTATGGATAGTAGATTGAGCCTCGTAAGACTGAAATCAACACTAGCTCTGTCTGCCTCCCTCCTCCCACCACCCCCAAAACTCACCCCCACCCACACCCCACAACTTACCCCTTGTTCCCCTTCCTCCCCTTCCAAGAAATCAAAGACTTTAAGCAGCGGGATGTCGCCTCCTTCCTCCTGCTTGCTGTCAGAGTTCATGGCGTCCACCAGGGAGGTGGATTCTGAGGAGGAGCAGAGACTGTTCTGTCGCTCCTGGGTGATGTCACTGGTGGAACTGAATATCACCTGAAGAGGGACCAAAACAAATATGAACTAGAAATGTGTTTGTGTACAAACACAAGCTGTTTCGGATATTTGAAATACTCTGTGCACATGATGAACAATTAGTGACGTCGCTACAAATGTCATCTATAACAGCACATTACATGTACATATCAAGTTGCAACCAAATCCAGCATATAGTTCTGTAGATATAGGCCTTTAATAGAAAAGTGCCCCTTTAATGGATGTCACATGGCATTTGATGATGTCGTCACTTGAATTTTCATCTGTAGTGTAACACATCCAGGTATGGGTACATATCATGTAACAATCCAATCAGACCTATGGTTCTGTAAATAGAGGCCTTAGAAAATGCCCTTTTAATGCGACGTCACATGAAATGGTGATGACGTCTTGATGAAGTTACTTCAATTTCCATCTGTAACACATCATCAGGGACCGTCAAGTCTAAAGTCAATCAGACATATGAAAGTGCCAAGGAGTATGGTTTGAAGAAAAACGTGTACAAAACCTATGGGGAAAATATGCATCTTTAATGTGACGTAACATGACACCTGATGACATCAAGATCACGAATTTCTTCCACGACCATCTGTGGGTGGTAGTCAAAGTGTGTACCAAGTCTAACGTCGATCGGATTTACGAAAAAAGGCCAACGTGGAGTGTCAAAGGTCACGCGTTGGAAGTACTACAGGAAGAGGATACGCCACTCTGGAACCACCACAAATGAATTTGGCATAAGAATTCACTGTGAAAGAAGAAGACACTTTAATGATGAAGGAATAACTGCTCAACTCACCGATGGGCTTCTGGGTAGCCCAACCTTCTGGCCCAGCGCGTTGAGTACGTTGACCAGTCTCTCTCTGGTCCGACGCATGGACAGCTGGGGTTTACGCCAGGCTGATGGGACTATGCTCTGATTGGCTGAGGCTGAATTGCCGTTGGATGCGCCACCTGTTAAGTGGGAGACCTACAGGTGGAATGAATAGGGGAAAAAACAGGGATCTGTTTGTAAATGACCGAGGAACAAAAGTCCAGCTGTCTCCAATTTCAATTTTCTTTAATGCATGCATCTTGCACAAAAAACCATCGAGTGTGGTTTGAAGGCTTCAAAATAGCATGATACCACCTCAGTGATTGCTAAGAGTGTGGCTGTAGGAGTGGGTCTATATTCTGAATAGTATAACAGAATCTTGACAGTGCAATTAAAGAGTCCCCGTATGGCTCCCAGAGGCTGACACAGTCAACACAGTGGGATATCATTAACAATGTACGTCGCCAGTCCATTATTCCTAGATCACACACTGAAAAGATACAGACCATACAGATTGGAGAGATGTTTTTTTTTTACCTCGGTTGGTTCGGTGCTCATACTACTGTCATCACTGCTCTGTGTGCTGGCAGCTGACTCATCACTGAAGGATGTGGTTATGGTAAGCATGGAGGGAAACTTGCGACGAATTACTGGCGTCTACAAAACACACAAAGATAACACAGGAGATCTACCAAAAATCAGTACTGAATAAATTGTACAAATTAAAAGGCCAAAATTGTAACGAATTCTTATCAAAGGCAGTTTCTTTCTCATTGTAGAAAAAATTACCTTTTTAAAAGACAAAGTCTTCTCCAGAATTTTGGGAGTAATCATATCAATTTCGGGGGTTAAATATCTTGTCTACAAGCTGTTCCAAAAGACCATTTTTCATGGGATTTAGTGAAAGTGATTTAAATTAAGTTTGCAAAAGTAATTCAGTTTAGCCTCCTTCCATAACAAAACTATTAGTTTTACAACTCAGGCACTCTTTTCAAAATTGTTCAGTGAATGAAATAGATGAAACTAGCTTTGAAAACAATTTTTTGAAAGCTCAGAAGTTTTGATTTCAAATGGTAAACCTCCGACATGCAATGTTGTGCACCACAGGTTGAAGTGAAATACAAACTTGTACATGCACAGATGTTATTTGAATCACACACACTGCATGCTTGTGGTAATATTGCTACAGAATACTCTAGCGTAAGAAAACCAGCAATATTTCAAAGGCTTGTTAATGAAACAATGGATTCCAACAATCATAGTGCACGCGGCTACTCACAAATGGTTCTGAAAAAAAAAGGTCAATATTACGCGCTGTTCCAATCGGAAATGTAAAGAGCATTTGTGTTAACTCTTGTTTTGGAAAAGTCAACTGCTCTAAAATGGGGGGTGGGGGGAGGTGGGGTTGGGGGTGGGGGTGGGGCTGGGGGTGGGGGTGGTGGAGGGGCAAGTGGATTGGAGGGCTTTGCAAATATCCACACATTGTTGTTATCAAACCATGATACACCCATGTCACATAGCAAAACTGATGTTAGTTGAGGAATCTCACAATTGCAAACATTAACGCAGTGCACCGTGAACAATGTACCAACATGCAATACAACAGCATGAATTCAATGATCGTCTACTCGTCCGTGTTAGAATCTACAGTACGGTGGAACGCCGCTATAACAAACATCGCGGGATCCACAGAAAATGTTCGTAATAGTGATCGTTCGGTATAGCGATTTTAAGCTGCTGGTGCTCCGGTACTCACTTTTCAATAAATAGCGCCCTTTTGAACTTTACCAGGCACGCCCTGGTAGTTACTGAAAGCCAACTTCGAACACGTGCTGACTATTGAATTATGTAATTACACAGTTTTGAGCTTACTACCTACATCAATGGGTGGCTTTCCCCTTCTATGCCTTGGGGAAATAATAGCCACTTGTCGCTCTTCTGTTGTCGGTTTTCAACAACAATGTTCGATTGGTTTTGAACACAAAAATCGGGAGCCAAGGACGATGTTCGGTATAGCCAAATGTTCGGTATAGCCAAATGTTCGGTATAGCCGAATGTTCGGTAGAGCGGTGTTCGGTATAGCGACGTTCCACTGTATTAGGTGAATGATACACATTTGGACAAGCAGTAACAATTTCCATTCCAATTTACAAAGAACAACCCTTTCACAGTTTAGTGGAATTCAGAATTTTTCACTCAGGTTTTGCCTTTACCGCGGAAGAAATGTGTAAAATCATTAAAACATATACATAGTCTCTCTTCCAACATATATCTGAATGCTGTTTCGGAGGTAAGTTAAGCTAAACCCTGCCTTCTCTGGTGAGCAAAGATTCCATTAAGAAAAGCAGTGTGCAACCAGTGAAATATAAGTGCCCTTCTTTGACATCAGATGAAGATAACATAAATAAACTGATTGTACAGAGCCCATAAAGATGTGTTATGGAACAAACTGAACTGCACAGATATTGACAACTAAACAAAATGAAAAGTTCTTGAGGCAAAACAAAACCAAAGCACCAACGCTGAATGACACCTTCAATAAATAAATACAAAATATTTTCAAACTTTACTCTCTACAAACTTAGGTACATCTAAAAACAAAAATCATAAAAGCAAAGATGATGGTTTTTCTACAGCAGACAATGTCATGGATGAACCATCCCTGACAAAATGTGGGAAAGCTAAAAGGTTCAAAATGAGACTAAAGTTGTAATAATAACTAACCCAAATAATAGTTTGACTATGGTGTTTTTCCTAACGATGATTTTCCCGGCCAGTTTATCCAGATTTGATGGTAACTATTCTAGCTTGCATTGATCTTAATAACATGATATGTAAGATGAATATCAAACGGTTATGAATAATAAGTGGTTCATGAATATGCATGACTGTTGAATATATGCATATGAAATGAGCTGAACTGCAGCACCACCATTCTTTTTCAATCATGTACTGTGTGGTGGTCTTTTACCTTGTACGTGTAGGAGGAATCATAAAAGTACTGTCCAGCACAGTCCCACAATTCAAAATAAAACAATGGAATTAAAATAACTTTTCATATGGGGGGAGAGAAAATTGTTGAATTTTGAATTTATTTTAAAAAAAAAGGGGGGGGGGGATAGCTGTTGTTTTCTACATACAAATTTGAAGAAGTTTGTTTCTTGACACTTACATGTTGAAATGATGGCATGACAAAAAAGTTTGAACCTGTTTAACCATTAGTACTTGAACTGCCCCGAAGTGCCCTGCCTGTTAGTCCTTATACCGCCCTGAACTGCCCAAGCATGCTAGATTTATGGTTACATCAAGGTCTACATACAATGCTGTATACTGTAATACAAGTGCTAAAGGGTTAATCTACATTTGGTTTATCGGTTAACAGAAAGGGGAGGTTACATTGAAAAAAAAAAGAACTCCAATGACAATTCGGGCGATTCACAATGCAGTGCACCACCAAGAGTTTGCCATGGAGAGTTCATTTTTCAAGTTTACGGTCGACAAAACATGGCCTATTTGAACGAGTGTCAGTAGAAAACTTGAGCTAATTTGTTATAGATTGGGGCATACCGTTCTGCCGCCTTACAAAAAACTCCATATTGATAAAAAGAAAAGAAAAGGGCAAACATATATTCGAATCATACTTGTACAAACTTTCTGGCCGGAAAAATTAACAATTTCAAATGGGCGTGCTGCGAATTTGACGACCATCTCCCACAATTCACTGGGAAAAATGAACTCTCCGTGGCAAACTCTTGGTGGCGCACTGCATTGTGAATCGCCCGAATTGTCAGGTTAGACTGGATAACTATGTCTAAATGATTTCCACTGATGCCAAAACTACCAGTACAGGAAAATCACAAGGGGAAAATGAACAGGTTGACTGTGAATCAGGTTCAAACCCAACTTTAGTCGATTGTCTTTGTCCGAAAAATCACACACAAATGGGAGATGTCTAACTACAGTATGCAGAGGTAAATAATTTATACAACAAAGGAATGTGTTACGAGACCAAAACCACAGTGGTGAAAAGTACAAAGAGTTTACAATTTGGGAGATTGTTCATTATTAGTATATGGAATATAAGGTACCAGAAATTTATATTTTCTTTTTTATTATGTGAATATAAATTTCGACTCTTAGTCTGTATAATGATTTGTAGGAGGGATGAGACAACCATTTTCAACCCCCACAAAAAGTAAATAAACTACAAAGGACACAATTACTGCAAAATCTTTGTCCTTATTTCTCAAAAAAGACAACTAGAAACCCCCAAGTTCCTATATTTAAATACTTAAACCTTGAAACTGTTTAAGGGGAATGCTCCTCTATTTTCAGAGAATAACACCCAAGTTTGAATTGATTTTTAAACTTTTTCACTTTAAACGTAACCAGCGTTTTCAGTGCCCTATAATGTAAACACTAAACCCCCCCCCCCCAAAAATATTGCCATTAAAATGGTTAGTGGGAAAATCACTCACAAATAACGAACTAATTACAGACAACACTTCTTAAACTACTACATGTATATATACATTTGGCACACTTTGGGACCGTGTTAGGTAAAAAATCAAAACTCACGTTAGACACATCAGGGTCGACCACCTATTGGAAAATTAAATGGAAACAAAATAAACGCAGTGTGGTGTTATACAAATTCTGGAGGTTTGAGATCAATCATCAAACCTTTTTTGGGCGTGGAAGGGGTGTTTACGAGTAAAAAAAAGCCCCTTAAAAATGTTTTTCTTTAATTGCTAGCAGAGGTAATTTATAATTAGTTACAAATCTGAAAAGTGAAGAAAATAAATGTTAATAGAAAAATGTCAATCAACATGCATAGTGCATTTTGATGAAACGCCTCAAGATTCGTAACAGTCTTTTAAGACACATGCATGTTTTGGAAAACACTGGACATCATTATCACAGCAAAAGTTGTCATTTCATCCCATGTATTAGCTAAGATTAGAATATTTGAGCAAAAGAACGTAACTTTTCATCAAACTAAAACAATGTTCAATGTCAGCCAAAATTGTCCAAATGTAAACACTAAACAGGTCATTAACAAAACTGCATATATACCTTTTAGTTGGTCTCATGTTAATGATCCAAACTTCTAATAAAGTCTCAAATTTTGTTAAATTCTTAGGTAACCCAACAGTGAACATGCAATTTGCCCATTAGAAGGTAAATTCTGCTACACCCAAAATGGTCATTTTCAACATTTTGGTATCAGTTTATACAATGGCTGATTAAGATTGATTCTTGACAAAACATTTTCATTGTACATGTGTGAGTACAAGCATCGTGCCAAGGTCGTTTATTATAACTACAAATGAAGTATTTGCACTTCAAAACTTTGTTGTCTGTCAACTAAATCTGTCCGGTTATGAGGGCTAAACAATGGTTCATTACTGAAAAATCATCCATTTTGGGGGAAGTATGAAGAAGGACCAGCACCCGATTTCATCAAACTCTTTGTAGCTTACGATGCATCGCAGCGATGCGACGCCTCGTATCTCTACGATGCGTCGCAGCTGCGACGCGTCCTGCGATCTTTTTCACAAAACACGTCGTAAGTGCTACGCGTCGTAGGTGTATTTATAGCACAACTCGGTGACTGTTTTATGTATTGAGTCAGCGTGCAGTAAATAGTCGTCTGATATTCAACAAAGAGTCGTCGGATCGCAGCTCGAAATTTGTTAAAACGTAAAACAAAATGGCGGCCGTGTGATGCAATTTTGAAGGAAAACAAGCTCTCAGTGGACTGTATAGCTACTTTGAAATTTCAACTCTAACATTCCAGTCTAATTCATAATCCTTCAATGAATTTTCTATTTACAACTTTACACACATTGCCTCGGTGTTATAATCTTGTTAATGTAATGTTTATGGCATAAAACTGGCTTAGAAAATTACTCTTCTTATTTTGCGATGACCACTGGACACGTCGTTACTTGCGATGAGTTTTAAGCCGTTGTCAAGGAACTTACGATGCGTTCAACACATCGCAACTTTCGTGCAATGGATGATACGACGCGTCGCGAGTTGCGACGTGTTACACGTCGTAACTCGAGTTGCGACGCGTCGCAGCGCTTCGTGAAATCGGTTGCAGCAGTACCAACTCAACATTTCAGTCAGTGTGATCTATCTCCCCATAACCAATTTTTTTCCCAACTGTTAGCTTACCTTGGAAAGGTCAAAGGTGAACTCCATAGTGCGTCCCGGTAGTTCCTTCCTTCCATCCAGGTCAAGGGATGATGACCTCTTGCCCATGCCCTCCTCAGGGATGGCTGGAGGCTTGACCAGGGAGGAGGATTTGGAGACGGCTACCTTCAAGATGTTCAGAGATTCCTGCCAGTGAACTCCCTGCACAACAACCAAAAAAACCCAAACTATCAATTAGTTAAAAGGTTTCACAAATAAGGCTGATTTTGTGAAATATCTGTGTTCTACATAATAGATCCGTACAGCTATTTTCAAAGAGGTGCAAGTCAACTGCATGTTGGATTGAAATTTTGGTTTTGATTTAGGAAGTGCAAGGCATCGCTTCACGGACTTGCTGTGCCAAACATAATCATTTGTTTTAATATACTATTTTGTTAATTTGTTTTAGTATACTAAGAAACTAAGCAAATAATAGTTGGGAACCAGTTTTCTAACCAATTTCAAACAATAAACATTTCGCAGGACAAACTTTTTTCCCATTCAGTGAATGAGATGGTTAGCAGTTTCAAACTCTAGCTTCGAAATTCATGGCGCTGGTTGAAAGGAAAACTGTGTTAATCTTAAAGGGAAGATACAACATTTGCAAACATCAAAAAACGAAATGATCAAGTTATCACGAAATACCTTACTGGATTGTTAGGGAATGACAGTCCAAAGCATCCTGTAAAATCGTGGCTCCTGGTGTGCTGACATTTTCAAGAAAAATTGTTTTTTTCCAACGCTGGTCAGCCGACCAGCGTTGGAGAAAATTGGCTTTTTTCAAAAACTTCTTCTAAACTTTCATATTTAGTTATTTCACATTTTCTTTGCAAATGATTACACACCTGTGAAGGGGTACAAGCCTACTAGACTGATTATCTGACTTTACTATTCCCCAAAGTCTATAAATTGCTTCGTTTCATCTTAAGTGGTGTCAGGGAACCAGACTACAAGAACATGATTGGTTTTCTTGGTTTTCCAGCATCTACAAGCCCAAAACGTGAAACAAGTCAGTGTAACAATATTGTCCATCACATACTAATCCTCCAAATCCAATTAAGTCTGAAAATTTCAGCAAAGCAAATGTTGTACATTCCCTTTAAGCCTACTTCATGATGTTCGTGATTTCCTGAATGCTTAAATTTACATGAGCATTTGTGATGTTAAACCAATTTGCGCCGGGGTTATTTTGACAAGAACGGAACGAGGCGCAGGATTACTTTTCACTCGACCTCAATGCCAGGCGGGTTGAAGCCATCACCCTCGGGCAGCACACTCATATTTCCGGCCTTGCTTGCTGTGAGCGGGTCATTGACACATATTTCCGTCCTTGCTCCCAGCGTGTTTATCCGTCATCCGTCACCCTCGGGCAGCACACTCATAATTCCGGCCTTGCTCGCTGTGAGCGGGTCGTTGACACATATTTCTGGCCTCGCTCCTTGCGCGTTTATCTGTCATCCGCTCCGAATACCGTAAAACGTTTGCGTGTATACACATCATCCGGCGCGAACTGGTTAAGCAAATTCTTTAAGGCGAATTTCCAGTGCTACATGTTTTGGGTCTCTCCATGGCCAAGATTGCAGGTCCTTAAGTCTGCAGGTTATTAATTATCCACTCACCTGCACATATTTAGCAATGACTCTGAGCAGGTTATCATTGACCTGTTGCATGGGGGCCGCCATCAGGTCAATATTGTGGATCAGATTGTACACAATTGAAGCAAATTCTTTAAGGCGAATTTCCAGTGCTACATGTTTTGGGTCTCTCCATGGCCAAGATTGCAGGTCCTTAAGTCTGCAGGTTATTAATTATCCACTCACCTGCACATATTTAGCAATGACTCTGAGCAGGTTATCATTGACCTGTTGCATGGGGGCCGCCATCAGGTCAATATTGTGGATCAGATTGTACACAATCTGCAGGACAGGTGCCTGATTGCACATGGGACCTTTCTCCAAAACCTGTCAAGAAGATCATTAAATTCTCAATAAAATTCAGCATTCTCATTAAAACATGACAAAACAGATGTAAATGTAAACATTCCATTTCCAAGATTGAAATGTGGCATAACGCCGATGAAATAAAGCCGACAAAAAATATGAAACAGGCAAAGTATACATTTCCGGGAGTGGTTATCCAATGGCTCCGCCCACATTTGCATAAATTTGCATAATCTATGCACAAATTTTGACAAGACAATATCTTAAAATCCGATTGACTTAGTCTACAAAAGAAGACATTTTTGACACCAATAAAATACAATTTCTCTTTTAATATAATTAAAAGTGAGTAACATGCCCAACTTGAAAAATTAAAATTCCAGTGCAACGCTGTGATTAGAATTCACACACTTATTATAAGTGATTTTCTGCGCTTCTTGTGAGTTTACTAGTCCTTGTCATGGGTGAGCGTGAACACTCAATGAGCGTGTAGCGAGAGTGGTCCTGCTGACACATATAAACACATACGCATCGCCTTCCCACTCCAGTGTGAAGGTCAGGGTGCAATTTTTGGAAACCCCTCCCACAAAAACTGGGAGAAAAACACAAAAACTCAAAGACAGACGCTCAATCAATCTGTAGATTACTAGAAATCCTCAATAAAAGCAGCTCTCTGCTGTAAAAGGATTTTTTTTTTGGAATATTGATATTACTGGATATTGGTACACAACCATCTTGTCAAATTGACCTATCGCCACTTGCGAGCTTGCCACGCCCCTTAGACAACCCTATTGAACTGTGTACATTCAGTTTTGTTTGTCTCATATTTGCGCGTTCAGCGTCCATTTGTATATCATGTTATTGGACAATATTTCACAAGCTGCGTTGGCACGATTCTACCGCGATAGGTTAATTACTCCTTTAAAAATGGTGTCAATTAGAAGAAATGGGCATTTTTAAGTGGAAAACATCTACTTCCGGACACAAAAACAATTTAGTTGCAATATCTCAAAGGCTGCAGTTTGACTACTCTTACAAGTGGACCAAACAGCACCAACAAGATCCCCTTCAATGTCTTACCTCTATAAGGAATGTCATCATGGCTATGCTGAATTGGGAGTAAGCATTGTGGATGTAGCGGCAGACCACGCTGGTCCAAGCCTTACTGTCTCTGTTGTAGGTTCTGTCTCTGTACATGGTCAGAACCGTGGAGAGCGGCGCCATCCGGGTGTACCGTTCCTGGCACACCTGTGCCAAAAAAAAAATCCGATTTAAATTTGTTTATTGGTTGAAAGAGAACAGAGACAGCCAGTTAAAAAATATCTAAGGTAGAGTAAATGATTTTCAGAATCATGTGTCCTTTTCGCATACTATCGTCATCTATAGTATGGTTGGCACGGGTGGCTTGTGCGTAAAGCGCTCGCCTCTCACCAAGGTGACCACGGTTCGAATCCTGGCCGCGGATCGCATGTGAGTAGAGTTGTGCGTTGGTTCTCTCCTGTGCCACGAGGGTTTTTCTCCGGGCCCTCCGGTTTTCCTCCCTCCGGAAAAATCAAACACTTTCGATCTCAGGCTGTGCTCCTGTGGTCATATATGGGTCGATGTGGCCGGCAGCCATAGGCGCCTTTACGTGCCAGCGGCCCGACCACGTTGTAGTCGCGTCCTTCGCAATTCAGCATACCAGCTGCGAGTAAGGATGATTAGCCTCCCAAATTATTATTATTATTATTATAATCTTACATTCTTTTCTTAGCCTACATCCTATTTTAACCTTCGGAAATGTGAGTTTGCAGACGGAAATCAAACATTATTTAGCAGGGAAATTAAATTAACTTGCTCAACCTGTGACTGCCTGATTAACCTGAGTAAACATGGGTCAGGGAATGCATAGACTGGTCACCCCTTAAAAATGAAGAATTCAGCAAATTTCAGTTGACATTCTGTTGAAATTTTATTGAAGCTTGCTTACATGAGGTACAAAAACCCCACAATCTACACATTAAAATCTTTGGATACTCACTCTACCAATGTTGTATGCAATCTCGTTGGCTAAGGTATCTGGACGATCAAAATGCTGGATCAGATACGGCAGGAGCGCCACGATGTTCATGGGGAATCCCCCAGCCTGGGTGGGGTCCACGACACGCAGGTGGGTGTGGCCAATCAGTCTGGAGACCAGCAGGAGAGTCATGTCGCTAGTCACGATGGACGTGAAGCCCTGGAAAGGAACGACACAAAGGGTCCAAATAGTAAAGACATGTGAGGTTGGTGCAGTGGGATTTTTCTGTCTGACCCAGGTTCGAATCCTGCCAGGCAGACATTTGGATTAACTTTTCATCCCGTCTGATTTCATGGGTTTTCCTGAACCATAACGCCCTCATTTTCCTCCATCTCTCAAATTGAACATTTCTTAATCTTTCTCCATGTTTCTTCATGCTTTCTTCAGTGACTTTTGCGCTTTTGAGGAATACTTACCCTCCTGACAACAAAGACTTGACCAAAAATACCAATGTTTAAAGCCTTTTACCATAAAAAATCAGTGTGCTGCTACCCCTACCAGCCAGGCAAATTCATTTCTCTCTTAACTCAATAAGCCTCTGTACTGATGACGTCACACTTTATTTACGTGTGTGCTTAGGTGCTCAGTGGACCGTGGGCCCCCACTGGCTCCATAGGAAAGTGCACATGTAAGCAAAGTGTGACGTTATCAGTACAGAGGCTTATTCCTAGACCCTAACAATGGTCACATACAAGCTGCAATGTGTCTACATGACGTGCACCTAAGGGCCCATGACCATTCAGCCCCGGTATGAAAAGGGTCCCCCGGTAAGCTCGTCCCCTCCCAAGAAGTCCTCTCGTACCGTCCCAGCTACCGGCCCAGGAGCTGGTCCGGTTGCTAATCAGGAACTCCTCTATCCTGGGGTCTATTGTTTTTGCAAGTATTGACACATGTAATATATCCCAGAAGAAACCCGCTTGTGGTTTTCATCTCTCAGCGCGAAACAATAGAACACTTTCGTCGGCACAGATCAAAACCCCTGCCATTGGGTTTCGCGCACAATGGGACCGTAAATTACCAAGGCATTATGGAAGGATTTTATCTTTAATCCGGTAAGTCTGCTATTGCTCTGCTCTGGACGTTCTCTGAAGGGCAATAAAAATGATGCACCTGACTGACTTCAAAACTTATGGTCAGACAGGACCATGTACCGGACGAGCCTGGGCTGAAGACCGGACTGGCTTTGGACCGGACAAGGTACCGGGGGGCCCTTTTCATACCAGGGCTGAATGGTCACGGTCCCTAAATCAGCTGGCACAGCGCCCTCTACAGTGTGTACACAAAGCCAATAAGTTTTTACCTTGAGCAGCAGAGCCTGCAGTCCAGGGAAGCCCTCCCATTGCAGTTGAGACAACACATGCTCCAGCTTGTTCTTGATTTCAGGACGGTCTAGAGGTAGGTGCTTCATCAACTATAAATCAATGAGAATAAAAGATCAAACATGTTCAACTTGTCAACAGCAACTTAGACATATTGTTTTAGCAAAGTGGTATAAATCACAAACATAAATGTAGGTTTGGAAGGATTTTGAAGGATTGAGAAAGATATCTAACTATAATTTCCGGATGTGTGTCTGTGTGTCTGTCTGTATTTCGATTATCTCCAGAACCGGGCACTGTATGAAGTTGAAAATCGGCGGCTGTATTGCTCGGGACACCAGAATGTGCAGTGCCAAGTTTGAAGTGGTTTGGACGAGCGGTTCTCGAAAAAGCTGCAAAAAAGTAATATTTTCTGAGACAAACGTGCCAGTATGTAGCCTAGACCACCACGCACTGATGTTCTTTTCAATTGTTTAGGTCATGTTTAAGCTAAAGCGCTTGTGCTCAATATGACGCAAACAATGCAAAAAGGACGGGCACGCGCACGTGTACTGTAGGGCGATACCATTGTCCAGTATGGGTGAATATATAGCACTGCATACCATGTTTCCATATGTACACGTACGTGGTGAATGCGCGGGCATATTATTTTTGCAGTTGACTGATCGACCATTGTAGGCGTTCGACTGAGCAACCTTACTGAAGGGCAATACCATTGTCCAGAAGGGGTGAATATTTGCACTATTTTTTGCAGTTTTTTCGAGAACCACTCGCCCAAACAACTTCACACTTGGCACAAATTTGACGTGAGTGTGCGTTCAACCTGTGAAAACAACACCATTGAATCTCTTGCGTGTGTTGTTTGCACGAGCAGTTCTCAAAAACTCCGCAAGCATGCAACCAATACCAGTGGCAAAGCAATTTGCGCTTCCCGAACATGCACATTTTAGACGGGCACGGCACTAGTAGGACTAATTATGTGACAGCCATTTTCTGAGGTGGCACCAGGATCGTGCAGGTTGTGCTCAGGTAGTCGCATGCACTCCGGACTCCTTTGACAAGTAGGGTTACCAAAATGCCTGCACGCCTTGTCTTCTTCAAGAATACGTGCAGCATGCGCAGGAACGTTGTTCCACTTAAAAATGGCTACTAATTTTGTTCACCGAATTGGTATACAGGGTGAGTAAAAAAAAAACCGAAACCCAAATGTCGGGACTATTGTTTTATTGAAATTCTGCATGTAGCATTTTCAAAATCTAGGACATGAAAGCCCAATTCAAAAGCTTTCTTTTAGTACAAGAATCATTCAAATCACTCATGTACTTTTCAAGTCACGGAATTTAAACACAACCACCGTTTTATAGTTCTGCCCACGGATCACAAAAAAAGGTGTGCGTTCTTTCAGCAAAACGAAAACAATTCAAACACATCCTTATGTGATTTGTTTTCGTTTTGCTGAAAGAACACTAAACTTTTTTGTGATCCGTGGACAGAACCTAAAACGGTGGTTGTGTTTAAAATTCCGTAACTTGAAAAGTACATGAGTGATTTGAATGATTCTTGAACTAAAAGAAAGCTTTTGAATTGGGCTTTCATATCCTAGATTTTAAAAGTGTTACATGCAAAACTGCACATTTGGGTTTCGGTTTTTTTTACTCACCCTGTATAGTGCAGGCACTTTTGCTTTACATGAGATTCAATGCACTCTGACAGAGCAAAGAATGTGGGTTCATCAACTTTTTGCGATAAGTTTAATTCAGAGCAGAGATTCATCATAAGCAATTCAATTTACAAGAACATCAGGCTGATTGCTTTTTCCCCCAAAGCCAAACCTCTGTTATTTCAGTGCTGTGCATCTCCATGAAGTAACACTCCACGTGTTAAACCATATTTTTTTCGATTTTCAGTTTTTTTACATTTTTAAACATTATTCATCAAGGCCTACCATTGCACGAAGTTTCAAAGCTTCAAGAGCTTTACTTTAATAATTACGCTAATTATCCATGGCAACTTTTGCGCAAAAGTGACAATTTTCATTTTCACAAAGTAACACTCAAGTTCCATTTACCATTGCAATGCATGCCGCGCACTCTGCTCAAATGCGAGCAAAAACGTTTTCAAGAAGTAACACTCTCCTTGTATGAGTGTGCGCGTGCTGACCTGAAGTTGCACTTTCCTCGTGTTGTATACACTAAAGAGTGTTACTTTGTGAAAACGAAAATTTACAGTTTCGCAGCTTTTTCGGTTTCACGAACTAACACTCACCTTTTTTCTCTTATTTCTTGTTGATTTAATACACAAACAGGTGAAAAACAGCAGATGTAATAAATTCAGTAAGTGTCCACAACGAGAAACCCAACTGAAAATCTTCTGCCGTTTTGACGCAAAGTGTTGTTTTAGAAGGCGTTCAACTTTAGATGCCGTTTTCTCCGATTGCTAATTTTTACTGGTATGTACATGGGTGTTACTTCGTCGTGTTGCTGACGAATTGTCAAAATCGCTAAAAAGGTAGAGCTCCTAAAAGAGGCATTAAAAGAAGTTCAGAATTGAAAACTTTGTTCTGACCTTATCCAGCGATCGTAGTGACATCAGGAACTCATACTCGTAGTCAGACTCCAGCAAGGAGACAAAGATCCAGAAGATCTGAGTCAGTAGATTGAGTCGATCCTCGATGCTACTCTCTCCCATCTTGAGTGATTGAGTGCTACGTGAGCGGTGGAAGCGTGGCTTGTCTATCTCACTGGCTGTGTTGCTGCGAGCTCTGTGCTCCGAGTAACCTCTCATCTCTGATATATGGAAGACGAAGAGTAAAGGATCTACTAATCTTCAAGAACTGTGAACGTTTTGAACCGTGAAAGTTAAATTAGGCTTTAACTGGCTCAGTTTTGAGCTAGTGCATGCAGAGTGTCAATATTTTTTCACTGACTTAAAAAATGCAATTCTGATCCCAAATTTTGACCAATCCGAGTAACCTCTCATCTCTGATATATGGAAGACGAAGAGTAAAGGATCTACTAATCTTCAAGAACTGTGAACGTTTTGAACCGTGAAAGTTAAATTAGGCTTTAACTGGCTCAGTTTTGAGCTAGTGCATGCAGAGTGTCAATATTTTTTCACTGACTTAAAAAATGCAATTCTGATCCCAAATTTTGACCAATCCGAGGAACCTCTCATCTCTGATATATGGAAGACGAAGAGTAAAGGATCTACTTATCTTCAAGAACTGTGAACGTTTCGAACCGTGAAAGTTAAATTAGGCTTTAACTAGCTCAGTTTTGAGCTAGTGCATGCAGAGTGTCAAAAAAATTTCACTGACTTAAAAAATGCAATTCTGATAAAAAAATTTAACCGATCACATTTTTGTTTCAGACAAATATTGTTTAAAGCTAAAAAAATCCTGAATGTAATTTCAATTTCTCTGTAAAACTTGTGAATTTCCGGGTTATTTTTTTAACATTCCTTGATAGCTCTCTAAGATAGCTCTCTCTTGATAGCTCTCTCAAAGAGTCTGAGATCAGCGAGTGAGTGATTGACTTTATGACCTTTGACACTGGGTCAACTCAACAGAACTGGGTTTCTGCATGTAAGGATATTTGAAAACTTTGCCGATCAGACTATAAATGGAGAAAAACGTCAGGATGAACAGCCACCAATGAAATCTCAGAAGCTTTGAGGAGTTTACCTGTCCTTACAAGTGAGATCAGGCCTTAAGTTCATCATTACCTGTGGAGCCGTTACTAGCAGCATTAGCTGCATTCTCCATCATCTTGGCTGATGATATAGAGTGACGCTTGACGTTATCAAACCCACACGCCCCACCGGGCAGGTTGTACAAGTTACTGGTGGATTTGCGGAAGTCGTTCTTGCGTGAGGAGCCCGTCTTGCCGCGCTCGCGGTGATCTGTGAAGACCAGATCGGCTGAGAGGACGTCGATGGATGCCTCTAGGGTCAGAAGAATCTCAGTCACATAACCCTGGGAAGGAAAAGGTCAATCACAAGTCAATCACAAGTCAATCATAAGTTAATCACAAGTCAATCACAATCAATCACAAGTCAATTCACAAATTATTTACAAGTCAATAACAAGTCCGTTACAAGTCTATCATTAGTCGATTACATTTAAATCCCAAGTTACTCACAAGCCTATCAAAAGTCCATCACAAGTCCATCACAAGCCCATCACAAGTCCATCACAAGTCCATTACAAGTCCCTCACAAGTCCATCACAAGTCCATCACAAGTCCATCACAAGTCCATCACAAGTCCATCACAAGTCCATCACAAGTCCATCACAAGTCCATCACAAGTCCATCACAAGTCATCACAAGTCCATCACAAGTCATCACAAATCCATCACAAGTACTTCACAAGTCCATAACAAATCCATCACAAGCCCATCACAAATCCATCACAAGTCCATTACAAGTCCATTACAAGTCCATTACAAGTCCATTACAAGTCAATCACAAGCCCATCACAAGTCCGTCACAAGTCCATCACAAGTCCATTACAAGTCCGTCACAAGTCCATCACAAGTCCATCACAAGTCCATCACAAGTCCATCACAAGTCCATCACAAGTCAATAACAAATCCATCACAAGTACATCACAAGTCCATCATAACTCACTAACAAGTCTCAAGTGAATTGGCAAATGATTCAAATTAACTGTGACAAAGGCATTCCTGTTTAAATGATCATCCCCTGTTACTTGTGACTTTACTTGCAATGGCTGCACCATAACTCACCTGTGTTTCCTCTCCTTGTTCTGCTACCGTCTCAACCAATCGGGACAGAATCTCGGACAGCATCCGAGATGACAGAGGGATGTTGAGAGCACGGAATATCTGTAAAATGTCAAAGCAATTAACAGTATAAATGTATACAGTACGGTATGCATTTGTGTGAGATCGCTTGTCCGGGTTCACTAAGCTTGGACTTACACCCCTAAGTTCCTCTTTTAATTCTGCAGATAAATCGTGATCATTCAACTACTGAGCTTGCTGGTGGTTGTTGGTTCGAGTCCCACTCGAGAAAGCTTGTGAATGTTTCTCACAGACTCTTGGACAGCACGCATTTTACAGTGGTGGAATTATCTCCGCCATGCAAAGCCTCAAATCTTACCCAATTATACGGTGCTTATAACATTATCTGTCCTTTAAAGGAAAGATACAACATTTGCAAACATCAAAAAATGAAATGATCAAATTATCACGAAATACCTTACTGGATTGTTCGGGAATGACAGTCTGAATCATCCTGTACAATGGTGGCTCCTGGTGTGCTGACATTTTCAAGAAAAACTGTATTTTTCCAATGCTGGTCGGCCGACCAGCGTTGGAGAAAACTGGCTTTTTTTTTTAAAAAGTGCTCCTAATTTTTCATATTTAGTTCGTCTGCATTTTCTTGGCAATTGATTACACACCTGTGAAGACTACAAGCCTGCTAGACTGATTCTATGATCTTACAATTTTCCCAAGTCTATAAATTACTCCGTTTCATCTTAAGTGGGGTCAGGGAACCAGACTACAAGATAATATATGTTTTTTTTTTTTTTTTTCCCAGCATCTACAGCAAACGTGTCAGTGTAACAATATTCGTTATAACATACTAATCCTCCAAATCCATTTATTTCTGAAAATTGCAGCAAAAGCAAATGTTGTACATTCCCTTTAATTCAATCAAGGCAAACTTAATATTGGTAGGAACATTTCTTGACCCCTACCTGGAAGGAGCGTCCAGCATAATGCCTAGATGGACATGACAGGGCCATGGATAGAGCTAGCTGGGCCCAACGTTGCTCCAGGTGAGCTCCTCTCACGCTACCCTGGAAGACACGGACCACGTGTCTCAGGAAAATCTCAATCTGCTCCGCGCTCTTGATGGAGAAGACCTTGGGGGTGATCTCCTCGCAGCTCCATAGAGGGCGACATTTCCTGAGTGACAATTTCATTGATAAAATTGACTTTAAGTCAATTACAGCCTGAAACCAGCAACCACTTTCTTTTCAAATTAAACTTTTTCAAATAATGATTTCAAGTTCAATTTATTAACATATTTATCTTTATATTCGATTTCTCACCGTGTCACCAGGAATTCCATCAATGCTTTGGCGGTCTCATCATCCCCCCTGAGATGGTCAACATTGATCTGGACGGCACCACTGACCCCACAGGGAATGACCGTGGCCGCGCTGCCCGCGCTGGACACGGAGATGGTGGACCCTGCGCTGATGGTGGTTGTGGAGCCTAGGCCGATCAGTTCTTGGAGGTCCGAGGGGATGTTGTCAGCTGGGTGGGTGCTGGTGTTGGAAACAATGCCTCCTGTGAGGGGAGAGAAGGTAGGAGAAATTGAGCTCAAAATCTGGTATTTCATTGTACAACGAAAGAGATGTTAACAGCAATTGAGGATTCAAACTATGATAGTTATGCATTTTAGGGCTGGACATTCGTCAATGATATTGGTGAGTGTGATGTACAGGGTGTTTCAATAAAAAGGAAACCCAACTTTGAAGAACCAGTATGGACAGACTAAATGTTTGCTGGCTATAAAACTGGTATCATCTGAAAGCGTAATCTCTATGCTTTTCAATGATACGTTGTTTACATTTCCAGGGTCATGCATCACTGAGCCCCACTGTCATGAGATTTTGATGCAAAATTGCAGTTGGTTCACTTCATGTCATACACAATAGGCATGGTGTGCATGAGAATAAGTATTCAAGAAGAAGACACGAGTGCATAAAAAGAAACAAAAAAAACCAAGTCGGGTTGGTTTCAAAACTGGATTTTATTGTTTGTCTTGAATTTCACGTTTTGACCGAGCCACGTTCAAAACAATGTGCCATTTTCCCAAGGATTAACATTCAAGCCATTTCACAGACATTTTCCGTAACAATAGGCACACCGTGCCCTGTTTTTTTTTTTATGAAAGTGAACCAACTGCATTTTTGCATCCAGTTTTCAAGACAATGATGCTCAGTGATGCATGACTCAGAAAACCTAAACACGGTATCACTGAAAAGCATAGAGATTACGCCTTCAGATGATACCAGTTTTATAGCCAGTAAACATATCGTCTGTCCATACTCATTCTTTGAAGTTGGGTTTCCTTTTTTTTTTTAACACCCTGTATTACTCTGTCTCTGGTTCGATTCCAAAAAAGTAAACTGAATGGATTTGGTGGTCTCTCCTGACTAAAGGCAGATATTTAAGGAATGAATAAACAATTCCCTGAATTTGGATGGAAAGCTTGCACATTTTTTCTCGAAAAGTCTCAGAAAGAATGGACGATACTGAGCTGATAAGTGTCGGTGAATGCCAAAATCTATCTAAAAGTTCTTCTTAAGATTTTAATTGTTATTCAATACTTAGGAAGTGCTCGAGTGGTAAAGAGCACTTTAGTCATATGGAAAGCTCAAGGGTTCTTAAAAGATCAAAAGATTCAAGTCATCCAAACGAGATGATTTTGATACAGGAATACCAAGAAATGACTATGCCTTCCTGACCTGTGAAGTTGTATTCCTTGAGTGGTACGTGAGCCTCAGTCAGCGCATGCAGATCACTGATGACTTGGTGAGATAGCAACATCTGTGCTACATAGACGTAGTCATTGTGAGGGGATAGAGCTATCAAGAGCTTCAATAAGAGACACTTGCAGTGCTCATGCACAGTGGGCCAGGAATGGTCCAAACCTGAGACAAAAAGTTGACAGAATTGGAGACAAATTTACCAAAAATCAGTGAGATTTGTGAAAATCAAGAAATGGGTAGCCATAAAGAAATGGGTGGCCTGTATCCGCTCCGTTCACAAGTACCCCCCTCACCAGCAAAGAAGGAACAGTTGGGGGTGACCAACCGACGCCATCTTGCCTGACTGCAATTTTGCCGCGAAGCACGGCCGCACCACTGCATGTAGTACAAATCCCCTGGTGTACTTGCGTCACACACAAGGAACGGTGCGCGTCAACCAGCTAAATGTCCCACCCATGGGACGTCGTTGCTAGGTATAAGGGCGCCCTCTTTCGTTGGCGCACGGAGCCCATAATAGCTATGAATGTGATTGGTTTCCTAAGCTAAGTTGGCAATCAGTAATACTCTCTTAGTTAAAAAAAAATATATGTTACAAGGGAGAAAATCCTGAATATATTGCACATCTTGCTAAATTAGTGACAGCTTGCCATGAGCTTCTAAACTGCATGTAATAATTCACACATATGTGATGCGATCAAGCTAAATGAGTTGTTTGTCGGGAATTTTTATTTGGAGATACAGGCCAAAATAGGGCCACTTCATCACATCACTTCATCACATCTCTTGGTGTTCCGACTTCCATAATTTTTGAACTAAAGATGGTATCAGCATGCGGTTTTCAAAGCAGTAATGCTGAGATTTTGCTCTTTTGAAATCTGTCATAAAAATTTTTTTGACCAGGGTCGACAATCGACTCATGTAGCTTGATCGCATCACATATTTCTTTTAACCTGAGAATGACAAATGAGGCTTTAGTTGATGTCACACTGGAATATTTTTTTATTTAATTAATGTGATTTGATAATTTTGTTTTAAATATTCTGCAGGTTAGCATTTGGTTCACACGCACAATACATTGGGACCACTCTCAACCTCTCTAGACTGGCTAAAACTGTTATCATAGCTGCCAACTTTTCAAAATCCCAATTAGTTATCAACCCGCGCGGTCATTTTCAGCTTACCAACAGAGTACAGGTACATGGTTTACATGTACACATACATGTGCATACCCTTCTTGTTGTGATTAATAATGTACTGTAGGCCATAGGATAATTTTAAAAAAATTAAAAAAATAAAATATTTTTTTAAATATATTTTTTTAATAAATTTGTTTTACTGTCTATATTTGTTTGTTGAAGTCAAATAAATAACAACAATAATAACATGTGCGCATATTTTTTTGAGATGCATGCCATCGATGTTGAGTTTCGAGTTTGTATCATGTTTTTACACACAATGATTTAGGACCACCGTATGCAATAGAAATATCCCGCCAACATACCTTGCAAACGCATGCTGATTTATCTTTTCTGGACGTTGTGATAAACTCAAACTCTATTACCAATTCTTCCAACTATACTCTTATTGAATTCCATGATTAAAATCTCACACTGATGGGTCTCATCCCGGCAATAAGCGACCAATTGTGCTCGTCACTGAAAAGTAGTCACAGTACACACAACCACAAATCCGGAAGGTGCACACAAATGACACACCATTGAAAAACATTTTTAGTCTGGTCCTCAAGTACTCCACTGCGCACACCGCATTGATGTCTATCAAGTGCTTGACCGCATTGCTTATTAGACTTGTCACCAGTCCATCCATTATCGCAACATTTCGCCAGAAGTTTTTGGGCAATAATAGGTTTTGGTTCGTTATAGTTGGCAGCTATGTGTTATTGTGGGTAACTGTAGAGCTGGGAAATCAACATGGTCTTGACACCTCATGATATCAATAGTTCAAGAAATCATTCGTTTATGACTAGGAATGTCTAGTTTTGACTTACCAAGAAACAGAACATGTAGGATCTGAGGCAGGTGGATGGACCAATCAATGTCCAGGTTCTCCGAGACCAGGTCTGTCATCAGCACAGTGGCAAGATTGCACCTGCCAAAAACAATTAACGTAAAGAAATTGAAAACCAGTGTTGGTTTTTCAAGATTTTTGCAAGATTTGAAAACCTGCATGTATGAGGTCAACAATATGTTTGCGGAAGTCTGCAGTGACACCATGCAATAATAAGTCTATCACAAGTCATTAGGTCTAAAGTCAAGTCACAAGTTATTCAAATGAATTGTGACGAAGGTTTTCCTTTGTTGTTGTTGATCTCCTGTGACTGTGACTGAACTTATGGTTGACATGTGATTTACTCTATCACAAGTAAATTAAACTTGTGGGTTGACATGTGAGTTAAGCCCGGTTCATACTCAGCGCGAAAACGAAAGCGAACGCGAATTTGTGACGACATGGCAAGTATTCGCGCTGCGAATTCGCAAAAGTTGAACACATTTCAACTCGGACGAATTTCGCAGCGAATGTTTCATGACGTCAACTTCGCTTCGCATTCGCTTTCGCATGAAGTATGAACCGGGTTTTACTCTATCACAAGTAACTTAAACACAACACCACCTTCGATAAAAAAATATCTTATGGTGTACTTATGATCCATCTAGTACTGAAAGTGAACCCTCAGGTTCAGTTGGGGTTCAGTTTGGGTATGTTTTTTGCAATATTTATCCGAACATTGGTTCGTTCAGGTTCGGCAGCAAATTAGAACGTCAAAACGAATTGCTGCGGATTAGTATACCTGTTAATCGTCTTCGTGCATAATAAACCTGTTTTAGTAGGTCCTTTGTAGGACCCAGTCCCATGCCAGAATAAACCCAACCACGCCACAATGCCTGCTGCTTTGCAGTGCGAATAAAAAAAGAGGTGTATTTTTTAAGTGCTCGAAGTGCAAAATTTGAAATGAGAGTTGAGTTTAGTTGCTTACATGTAGTCCTTGATTGTGTTGCCGTTGTACTTTGTACCTGCACTTAATGACTGCACGTACATGTAGACCTACATGAATTTCCTTTCAGAAGTCGATACCGTCAACCTAAATTATTGCTTTTGTCTAACTAAAAGTACAATTTGATAATTTTATGGGGCAAATTTTGATTATTTTGCTTGCGCAAATCAAAATACGTGCCGCTAAAATAGTGTTTCCGAACATCCGAACTGAACAATTCAGTTTGGTTCGGTTCTGGAGGTGCTATGTTTGGCGAATTTTAGTTCGGTTCAGCGGTTCGGCAGCTAGATCCGTCACAACTATATTAACTACAACACTGCCTTCGATCATAATAATGCATTAAGTCCAGTTAACGTCCCATCTGACTTACCTGAAAAGCGAACCTGAAGGTGGTGCCTCAATATCATCAATATACTCCGAGAGAGGTGCGCAGTAGACCTCATCAGGTACAGGCAGCGGTAGCACCATGCCCACACCAAGGAACTGATTCCTCCAATGTGTGAACTGATCCTGTAGGGTCTCACCGGTCTTGGTTGGGTTGGTTGATGTCTCATCATCTTCTTCTTCTTCTTCTTTGATGGCTTGAGACAATCTGAGCAACATTAACAGATGTTTGTCTTGAATGTGAACTCTGAAGTTCAACAGCTTTTTATAGAGTGCCTCGCGATACTTCAGATGTTCAGGTGACTACTGGGTTAGAAGGGAAGTTTCGACCAGAGATGTAGTCAAGTCTAACACAAGTTCTTGGAAGTCCATCACAAGTCCTCCAGTCCCAATTCAACTCACAAGCTACTCAACTCAACTTTGACAAAGGCATTCCTTTGTTATTATTCATCCACTGTTTCTTGTGACTGAACTTGTGATGGACTTGTATAGATCACTCATAGAAGTGGTGGACTAAGCGACTAGATTTAATTGAGTCTTTTCGAAGCTGAGCATGAGGCGATGATATAATCCTCTAGTTCATTCCAAATCTGTAAAAACAGTCTTACCAGAAGACTCATGCAACCTTAGTTGAATATCAGTGAAACGGGCATTATTTCTTACAAGGCAAAAAAATACTAATTGATGACTCGAATTTCATGAAAAAAAGCACTAGACAGCAGGTCTAGTAACTGAAGAATCTTACAAGACCTGAACTAGTTTTACAAGACCTGTGTCATAAATAAGAAAAAAAACAACATTTTGCACTACATGTATGTGACAGGAATACAACAAAATGCTATTTACGAGTCACCCGTTTCGTGTGTGCACTTGGCTAGTTCCCCTGAAAAATTAGTCTAATTCCCTTGCTAGCGGGCAGGGTCTTTTGCTTCGTAAAAGCCCCATGCAGTACAGGGATTCTGCTTGTCTGCCCGCAGTGAGCCTGGACGTTTAATAGGGAGATACAGCGGTAATATAAATACAACGTATTGCTACCAATCCAAGTTGTGGTGGCCCGACATCGCGACTTCGTACCAACGGAGCATCAACGTACATGTACTGTATGTACGTACGTATGTCTGAGACTGGCATGGATGGCACGTTGGCAGGCAGCTTCGTTGCGTTTCGGCAAGGCACAGGGAGTTTTTTGTCAGTAATTTTAATCAATCAAGTAATGAACTCAAAGCACGCTATTAATCAGACCTCAACTGCTAGTATATTTGGGGGTCATTTTGTTTATATAGTGCAAGGAAAAACACTAGACAGCCGGACTAGTGCAGTCACACACAGCACTAGACCGACGCTGAATCCACTAGACACGGTCCACGGTCCAGTGGATATTTCGAGCCCTGATGTTTATAAACTTGACAGAACGTACTCAGTGCTTTGTGATGTGGATACTCACCTTGCTTTATCTACCACCCCAGCCATTGATTGGTCACTGCTATGTGTGGATGTGCTGGTCAGTGTAGCCAGACTGCTGTTACTGTGATGCATGGAGCTGCGGGGTAAACACAATTCAATGTGAAATTAATGGGTTTTGCTTTTCAATTTCAATTTTATAAACACTGCACAGTGCTTTCAGTGATATTGAGAGCAAAAAGTTGGCTTGGGTGGGACTCGAACCTACAACCCCCTGCTTACCAATGCAGACATCTTAATAACTTGACTACCTGGCCTGCCTTGCTCAGCAATACAACATTCTAAGATTCTAAGAGCTCAATGTATTCTATCAATTCACATGCACGTTTGAAATTTCCGGTTCTGTCTTTAGCTGTTTTCGCACTTTTGCCGAAACAGCTTTGTTTTTTTGTTACGATTTGTTTTCTTTTTGTTTTTCATACCTGTCTGATTTATCTCTTTCTTTCCAGATTTCTTGTGAGGATGTCTGAGAAGCCAATGACTTCCCACTTTGTGGAGTGGATGCTTTCTCCAACGTCCCTCCGCTGCTGCTCCTCCTGTGAAACACCCCTTTATCCGAAGTGGTACGGCTCGCTTCCACCTTCTGCACCTTGTCAGGCAGGGACGATGTACTCCCCATTTCGGGGGAGGCCGTGGTGAATTTGTTCTGGTTGAAGAGCTGGAAGTATGGAGCCTCCTCGATCCGTTCCACGCTGGAGTTGACCAGCTCAATGGAGAACATTTCCTTCATGAGTTCGTCCATCAGTTTCTGGGGCTTGGCTTGGGCAATGCAGGTCATCACATGCTTGACCTGGATAGTAATATTGTTGAAGGAAGAAATTGACTGGAGCGGGGTTTGAACCTACGACCTCAGGATTTCCGTTCCGATGCTCTACCAACTGAGCTATCCAGCCCTACATTGGCGGTTCCCTGTGCGTTTGTCCAAGGGGCGCTAGTCAAAAGCCATAAACCCATATATGCCAGTTTCCCTTTGTGGCTCATTTGAAAATTTGCTTTGATGTCAGTGGCTTATCTATAAAACGCGTGCTTGCACCTTCCCATAAAAATGTCATTTTAAGAAGAGGGTTTTCTTGCTCATGCCTGAACACAGATCTGGTTATTAATGTGTTCCTAGCTATCCCAGCATGCAACACTCAGTGATTTACTCACATAGGGTAGCAGGTCCGGGTTGGTCATGATACCAGCTAATGTCATCAGGTAATTCAGGATGAGACGCAGGTTACCAGACCAGCAGGTGCACAGGGCTGCCCAGAGTTGCTCCAGTTCTTGGGAGTGGTCGTCGCCATTCTGAGGGGGAAAACAAAGGAAAAAGTGGCATCATTTAACAATTCTACCTGCTAGGCTAGGAATTATGGGCTTATTATCACCATTCTGAGATCAGATGCTCTGATGATGCAAATGATAAACGCTGGTGAACAATAACAAAGAAAGTGGAAGTCCATTTGAGTCCAAAATTGTTTTCAAAAAAAGTTCAAGTTCAGATTTAACTTCAATGTAGATTTGATATTGAACTCATTATTTATCAGCCAATCTGTTAAGTTTAGTTAATGCTTAAAGCTATAGTCCATCATTTGCAGCCATCCGAAAAAGTAACTGGCGTATTATTGTTGAAAAACATACTTGGTTGAAAGATAGTAAGAGGACTAAACTCCCTGTGAAATTATTCTTTCTGGCAAGCTGTCATTTTGAAGTAGTCAACGAAAGAAGGCCTTTCCAACGGTTAAGACGCACCGTAGGAAAATTTAAAATAGTAGTTTGTTTTGCTATTCGGCGCAGCGCGCGCAAGCATTGGCACGACGCAAACTCGCGCGCGGTTGCTATAATTCGTCGGATCAGTGCGCGACATCGCGTATAGCTGCAATTCAAAACAATTCAATACATGATTCAGCAACATTTGATTTGAAATTGAGATCCTAGAATGCTGTTTTTCTCGGAATGAACAACTGAAGCTGAGCTGAAACTTCATCAGGTTAGTTGTTCAGTATCCTTCATTAGATTTTGCACACTTTTGTTGCTTCAAATGAACAAAATGCACAAATTACAAATGATGGACTATATCTTTACCATGAATGTAAGCAATTTTATAACGCATAACACTCACTGCGATCGTTGACGTCATACAATGCGCTTGATATTCGCTTTGTTTAAAACATGAACTGACAATGAGGCTAGACAAACCCCTCCTTAATTGTACAAATGAATAGGGTCATAAACCCTTTATAATGAATGTTTCTAACCTCGGATGTAATAAAGAAGAGGTTATTCAGCACGATATCAGATGCCTTTTTGGATCCCCAGCCGCAGGTCTTGAATGGGCTACCGTGATCCTGGTCCTCTGGGTCAGTGTCTCTCTCATGCTTGCCTAGGGCTGTGCCATCGCGGCTCGACTCTCCGACCAGCTCAACGTTGTACAGCCATGGGAGGAGGATCTCCAGCATGACATTGCGATGGGTGAGGGGTGCAGATTCAAAACGCTCCGTGATTTCTGACGGGATGAGGGAAAACAGGTTTCATTTTCAATTCAAGTTTTATCAGTAGCGTTCTTGTTAGTCACATACTGCCCTTTCGTGGAATTTGTATCATTGTGATGTTGATATTTAATATTCACTGATGTGATAATATTGGTGGTTTGTGCTCAGTGCGTACAATTCACCTATTTACTAGTGGAAACCTCGACCAGCAAGCTTGCTTGTAACAAACATGGTATAACAATTTCACTGCGATCAACCATGTTTGCTGTAATTTTTAATCAGTGATTACTATTGTGTGCTGACTAAAATTCTATGGAAGCATAGAATTCTCAATAAACAAAACTAAAAGGGCAAGGCTAATTGTTGAAAGATTCTGTATCAGTGACGCTCTTGTTAGTAACAGTAAAGTCCTTTCTTAGTATTAAAAAGGAAACTAAAAAAGGCAAATTAGTACAAGGGACATTTACTCTGTTAAAAAGCCAATTGCTGAAATATTCTGTTAAGAGGCCAATTACTCAAAAGTAGCTTAGGCGAAATTGCGACTCATTTTGATGGATTGGGTCATATATGGATATTTAATAATAATAATAATAAAACGGTTCTTATATAGCGCATTACACAATGTCTCAATGCGCTTTACAACACAAAATAATTAAATGTTAAATAGGTATGTCTTAAGTGCAATTTTGAACTCAGTTTCAGTTCTTGCAGTCTTGATGTGTTGTGGGAGAGAGTTCCAGAGAGTAGCGGATGAGTGTGTGAAGGACCGATGTCCATACGTTTTGGTGTGAATGGCAGGGGTCTTCAGCAACAGCGCTGAGTCAGAGTGTAGGGTGCGCGGTGGTTGATAGGGTTCAATGAGGTCGCGAAGGTATGATGGTGATGAACCGTCGATGCATTTATAAGAGTAGAGTTTTGAAGATGATGCGCTTACTGACAGGTAACCAGTGGAGATCTCGAAGTATTGGGGGTATGTGTCGTCGTGATGGTAAACGGGTAACAAGTCTGGCGGCAGAGTTCTGAATTCATTGAAGTTTTGCGATTTGGGATTCCAAATTGTTTGCTTGCTTACAGTAAGCAGGGCCTAAAAATAAGGCCCAGATCTAAGGGTTACCTACCAGAAAAGACAGCCAAGGTGAGTTCAGGATGCAGCCGTGCCAGGTCATGGGACAGCGTCTTGTGAGACTTGCCGTAGGTCGGCTGTAGCTTGCTCTTGACCCCGCCAGAGCCAAAGAAGCGTTTGTCCAACACCTGAAGGAGTTGCAAGGCGGTAGAGCGCACCGTGCTGTAAGGATCAGCTGTCTTGAAGAGGACCACGCACAGGGTTGGGATGACCTCACATGGGTAGTGACTGATGGGTAGAAAAGCAAATTATTCATGTATAATACCATTTTATGGTCCATGTTCAGCTTGGGTTGGATTCGAACCAGGGTAACAGATATGAAAATATCACTGCATCAGCCTGAATCCTCATGAAATGCCTCTTGACTCAACCACCTGTGCAGGTCCTGTACAGCACCCGTAGATGACTCATCTTATTAAGTATTACAGGCTGCTAGGGTTTATTCTGGAGTACCAGTCTTCACCTGTGCAGGACCCATAAGCCACCTGTGCAGGACCTGTGAAGCACCTATAGATGGATTGCCAATCTCAGTACCATTGCTGTTGCCCTCCCTAATTTTATTGAACAGCAGCGCCATGGCTTGGAAGTAGCCATTACAGCCACCTGTGCAGGTCCTGTGCAGCACCTATAGATGAATTGCCAATCTCAGTACCATTGCTGTTGCCCTCTCTATTGTTATTGAACACCGATGCCATGGCTTGGAAGTAGCCATTAGCCACCTGCGCAGGTCCTGTGTAGCACCTATAGATGGCCCATCTTAGTACCATAGGTTGCTGGGGATTGTTCTAACATACTCTAACCAACCAGGAGTATAGGGGCTTACCTGTGATTGCTGTTGCCCTCTCTATTGTTATTGAACACCGATGCCATGGCTTGGAATCAGCCATTAATCACCTGCGCAGGTCCTGTTTAGCACCTATAGATGGCCCATCTTAGTACCATAGGCTGCTGGGGATTGTTCTAACATACTCTTACCAACCAGGAGTATAGGTGCTTACCTGTGATTGCTGTTGCCCTCTCTATTGTTATTGAACACCGATGCCATGGCTTGGAAGTAGCCATTAGCCACCTGCGCAGGTCCTGTGTAGCACCTATAGATGGCCCATCTTGGTACCATAGGTTGCTGGGGATTGTTTTAACATACTCTAACCAACCAGGAGTATAGGTGCTTACCTGTGATTGCTGTTGCCCTCTCTATTGTTATTGAACACCGATGCCATGGCTTGGAAGTAGCCATTAGCCACCTGCGCAGGTCCTGTGTAGCACCTATAGATGGCCCATCTTAGTACCATAGGCTGCTGGGGACTGTTCTAACATACTCTAACCAACCAGGAGTATAGGTGCTTACCTGTGATTGCTGTTGCCCTCTCTATTGTTATTGAACACCGATGCCATGGCTTGGAAGTAGCCATTAGCCACCTGCGCAGGTCCTGTGTAGCACCTATAGATGGCCCATCTTAGTACCATAGGTTGCTGGGGATTGTTCTAACATACTCTAACCAACCAGGAGTATAGGGGCTTACCTGTGATTGCTGTTGCCCTCTCTATTGTTATTGAACACCGATGCCATGGCTTGGAATCAGCCATTAATCACCTGCGCAGGTCCTGTTTAGCACCTATAGATGGCCCATCTTAGTACCATAGGCTGCTGGGGATTGTTCTAACATACTCTTACCAACCAGGAGTATAGGTGCTTACCTGTGATTGCTGTTGCCCTCTCTATTGTTATTGAACACCGATGCCATGGCTTGGAAGTAGCCATTAGCCACCTGCGCAGGTCCTGTGTAGCACCTATAGATGGCCCATCTTGGTACCATAGGTTGCTGGGGATTGTTTTAACATACTCTAACCAACCAGGAGTATAGGTGCTTACCTGTGATTGCTGTTGCCCTCTCTATTGTTATTGAACACCGATGCCATGGCTTGGAAGTAGCCATTAGCCACCTGCGCAGGTCCTGTGTAGCACCTATAGATGGCCCATCTTAGTACCATAGGCTGCTGGGGACTGTTCTAACATACTCTAACCAACCAGGAGTATAGGTGCTTACCTGTGATTGCTGTTGCCCTCTCTATTGTTATTGAACACCGATGCCATGGCTTGGAAGTAGCCATTAGCCACCTGCGCAGGTCCTGTGTAGCACCTATAGATGGCCCATCTTAGTACCATAGGTTGCTGGGGATTGTTCTGTAGTAATAGCAGCACTGTCTCCTTGCCTAGCTGGACAACCTGGACGTTGAACAAAAATACCAGTCAATGGAAAATTTGCAAGTCTCTCTAAGGCAGTAACGTAAGTGTGAGCAGCAGCTGGAAGACTGATTCTTACCCGTTCATCATTATAGTTGAGCAGATTATCCAGCCATGTGTACAAGTAGCCCTCCTGAGATAATGCATTGGAGTCGAAGACTTCTCCACTGACTAGCAGACCACACATAGCCTGAATATGGGCAAAAAACACAGGAGAATACAATAATAGGGACAATGCAAACAATAAACACAATAGTGAAAACCAAGAGATTCACGCATGGTTCTAAAACTCTGAGAGACAAAGCCAAATTCATGCAGCTTCGAATCTCCAAAATTTGCTAAGTCCCGAATAAATTTGCTCAACTGGAATAGGCTCCTAGCCAAAACATTCAGCAGTTTTAGTACTAGTGACTGGTTGTCATCAGTAAGTGCACTTGTTAAGCAACATTTTTCAGAAGAAACAAAAAGTGAGTTGCTACCTGCAATGCTTCCATTTCTAGGTCAGTGATCGGTTCGTCCTTGTAGGTAGGACTCCTATCCACCGCGCCGTACGTCACGCCCAGTTTGCGACAAAGGGAGCCACACAGGAAGAAGACACTGTAGCGTACGTCCCTCGGGAGAACGTTGAAACGGTTCTCAGCTGTGGAACAAATACAGTACAGGGTGGTTAAAAAAAAGGACACCCACATTTGACAGCAATTTTCACCTACTTAATGAACTTATTTTTTGACATAGTAGTAAAGTATACGCCTTTAACCATGCTTAGTAAAAAAAAGCTTAGTAAAAGTCGCAAAAATAGTGATATTATGCTAATTTGAATGCAAGTCACTAAAATCAGTCTTGTCCACGGGTTATTCTATGTAAATTGGACGTTTTAGTAGTTCATAAAAATTAAAAAACCTGCCCACCAATATATATTTTGCCCTGGTAACTTTTATTGAAGCTGTCCAATTATTCATGTCAGTGTTACGATCATCTACTCAATGAGCTGTCAGTTTAAGTTCATTGTTGCATAGCATTACATAACATAACAATCAAATGTTAAGATGGGCTTCATTGTTAGCGCGTTTTTTTCAAATGATAATGTTCAAGCATGCATTGGTGCATTTTGTGTCGAGAGTACATGTATATCTCTGTGGACAAACAGGTTTCGCACATGAAATGTTCAAATTAGCATAGCTCAACGACAAAATCTGCAAATGCAACGATGTTCTTTTCGTCACATTTGCTTAAAGACCAGTACTTTAATAGCTACTAATCGACAGTTAAAAATAATTTTTAAAAATAGGTGAAAATTGCTGTCAAATGTGGGTGTCCTTTTTTTGAACCACCCTGTACAACATCTATCAACTTTCAAACTTGTGTCTCAACATCAATATAGTGTGGTGCCATGGTATGCACTCGTAATTAACCCTAACATTTGTACATGATATGTACTTCATAAGTCGTTTTATCAGACCTGAATATTACACAAATATTCAAATATATAAAGTCCAGATTTTACCCAGCGAATAATATTCCTCCAATTCCACAATTTAAAGCCACTCAATATTTGTTTTATATAACTGACATATAGATCCTTGTCATTTGATATATTTGAACTTTTATTTCACTACAAAATTGGTGGAAAATGAGTTTCTCTCTTCCAAACCACCGCTTCACGAAAATGAGTGAACCCAACTCTGTAGCGCTGGCTCTTGGGAATACGCGCTACGTGCAACGCTGTACGTGCACACCAGCAAGCATTTGTACACAAATACCGCGTCATGGAACAAGAATCATCCTAACTGTTGAATAGTATTTCCCATTCCCCTGGGCGAATGGGACTTTTTGAGCCCCGGCGTGAATGGCAGCAATAGCGAATGTCACGTGATGTGAGTTCCACCAATCAAATGACAAGCATCTGTATGTCGGTTATATAACAATGGATATCTTTCAAGGCACCATTATTATGTCAACTATGGTATAGCGTGGTGCCACAGTGTGCGGTGGTGACTAACCCAGACTTTCTTACCTGGTATACTTTTGATAAGCCTAGCCACCAGACCGCTGTAGTGCAGCCTGATCTCATGCAGCGTTGGTGAGTCTTTGTCGCCCTCGCTCTCCAGCACCAGACGCATGTTCTCGATGTAATCAGCGAGGACTGAGGCGTTGTGTAAGGTCTGGCCATCCTTGTTCAAACTGCCACTGAAACTGTAGTACATAAGAAACGGATATATTGTTGTGAGATCTTTAGGCCAAAAAAAAAAAGTCTCCGGTTTCTGGTATGCGCGCGTGTCGCCGTAGCCATGCGCGTCGGCAAAATGAAAAAGTTTTTTTTTCAATGAAAGATGATGTCTCAAAACCGCCAAACTCACTGGTTTGACTGGAATTCTGCTGCTGCGCAATTTCAACGTGTTTTTTGATGGGGTTATGATCGAGAATAAGCTTTATGTGGCCTCTCTGGACTCCCATATATTTGCACTAAGTTTAGTCGGGCACCATTTGCAGTCATCAGCCGACATTTGACGCAAAAAAGTCGGGTTAAAAAAAAAAAAAAAACGCGTCGCCGCACCACTTTTTGGACAAGCTCCATACCAGAAACTGGAGCCTTTTTTTTTTTGGCCTTAAGGGGGCTATCGAGAAAATTAGAATAGAAAGCATTGAATTTAAACAGAAACACCTCTATTAAAAGATATGGGTTTTAGGCATGGTTTTGAAATGTTCATGTGTTTTTTGTAGGTAGGAAATATACAACATTTGCTTCTGCTGTAATTTTCAAAAATGGATGGATTTTGGGGGTTGGTATTTTATAGCAAATATACACTGACTTGTTTGAAGTGTTGTGTTCGTAGATGTTGGAAAATCCAAGAAAAACAATCTTGTTCCTGTAGTGTAATTCCCTGAACCCACTCATGAAGAAATGGAGCAATTTATAAACGTCGGGGAATTTTAAGGTCAGGGAACCAGTCTAGCTGGCTTGTAACCGTTCACAGGTGTGTAATCGATTTCAAACAAAATGCAGACTCACTAAATATGGTAAATTGGGGGCAGTATTTTTTTTTAAAAAGCCCGTTTTTTCCAATGCTGGTCGGCTGACCAGCGTTGAAAATTGATACAAAAATACCCACTTTTCTTGAAAATGACATCACATGCAGTTTCCATGTCACAGGGTGCTTTAGACTATCATTCACTAACAGTCCAGTAAGGTATTTCAACATAATTTAGTAGATTTGTTTTTTTGATGTTTGCAAATGTTGTATATTTTCTTTAAGATGATCAGACTAGGAGTTCTTAAGTGGGCAACAGCAAGTCAAGTTTCTGAATGTGTCTTATTTTTTTATAATTTTTGGGCGTTTCTGAACCAAAGCAACTAAACTATACTTCTTGAGGTATTTATGCTCCTACAACTTTTACAATGGAAGGAGGTTTACTGTGTATAGTTTACCTTTCTCTGAATACACCATGTTCAGCCAGAAGCTCAAATACCCTGATGAGATGGACCCGCAAGAAATCTCGTCTTCTCTTCCTTCGCATGTTCTATATGCAAAGAATATCAATACAATATATGTAGGCGCTTTCTTTGCAAAACACAGAACACAAAGAAATGCTGGCCTATTGATCACAATCAGGTTATTTAGTGAAAAAGGTACATTGATGGACCAAATATTTAAACTCCGGTCTCCCTTATGCAAAGTTTCATCATACGAGGCTGTGAAACATACCTCCGTTTTCCGTTCCACTGCATCTTTGATGAAAGGTTGAAGTTCATCAAGCAGATCCCTGAAAGAACCCAGACAAGAACATTCAAAAAGACAAATAAATACATTTGGGGGGTAATCGTCCTTACTCGAGGCCGAAGCTGAATTGCGAAGGACACAGCTACAACGTGGTCAAGCCGAAGGCATGTAAAGGCACCTTAGGCAGCAGCCACATGGCCCATGTATGACCACGGAGCACAGCCAGAGATCGAAAGTGTTAATTTTTGCAGAGGGAGGAAAACCGGAGGACCCAGAGAAAACCCTCGTGAAAACACCCTCATGGCCTCAAAACCCTCAGAAAACCCTCATATATGTGACCTGTTCTGTCAAAAGCAGACGCTTCTGGGCAGAGGTTGAAATTGAGATAGGGCAAAAAAACGCTGTGGGGGTGATTTTTTTCCATTTTCTAATTTTTTGCATATTTGTAATCCTGAGCATGTCTAAAATATACTATAAAAGTTTGAAACCCTAATTTGATCTCTTATTATAGTATTTTTGATGATTTGTTAAGGTATATCAGTTAAAGAAATTACTGTTTTGTGACGTTCGTGGCCATTTTCTCTGTGTTCTACTTTTCGACACAATGAACTTCAAAATAGCATAACTTTGCGCAGGAATGACCGGTTTCAAAAATTAAACCACCTATTAAAAGGAAACTGAACATATGTTAACAATATGCAAAAATCTCATTTTTGACCTTATGCCCAGAAAAGTCTGATTTTGACAGAACAGGTCACATATGACCAAGACGGGAATCGAACCCGGGCCAAAGTGGTGAGAGGCGAGCGCTTTATGCACTGCGCCACCCACGCCACCCAAGGATGCATCACTTACTTTATTTGTGACAGTTTCATTAAACTATTCAACCAATTAATTACGACTTTCAATTCTTGGATTTGCAATTGGTATTTTGTCACTACTAACAAATGCCTTACTTTAATGCCACAGAAGAGGTCCATCCCAGGCCATTCACCACAGCTTCCCTGGTGTCCGTGTTGTCACACTTGATTAAAGGAACCAGCATCTTGAACAGGATACCAGCCGAGACCCCCGTGGACAGGATGTAACCTTTGACCTCCGATCGGTCCACGTGGGCCATTTCACCTGAAGGCCCACTGTCAGGACAAACAAAGGACAGTGATATATTTAGTCATCTATAAATAAAATCAAGGTTTGCTAATATTATGAAGAAACTATGGAATTGCGGCTTGAAACCCCAGAGAAAATCACAAGAAGATGAAACACCATTTCGCATTAAGAGGTAAAGGAAAATCTGGCCAATTTCAAATTAAAAACATGCAATGAAAATTGAAAATATGAAGACTCTGGCTTGGGTGGGATTCAAACTTTCATTTAAATTTGAAAGTTGAGAGGTATAGACTGGAGCATGGTTAAACCCTGCGTAACTAAGAAGGGCGGGGGGAAAAAACAAAAAGGCCTGAACTAAGTATTGAACATGAACTGAACATAATATTAACATAATGGGACCTTATCTACAGTCAATTTTGCAAAATGAACTGTGTCTTCTGGTGTCAGATGATGTCTAGCTCCGCCAGCCCCCACCCCAAGTAAAATGTTTCTTACTAAAAAGCTACAGACTATTGACGCACCTGGTTGGGTCAGGTGACATGCAGCGTCTAGGCGTTTGGTATCCCGTGCTGGGTGGGGCACAGCTACAGGCAAAGACTAAGTAGTTCCTCCAGAGTGAGATGTTCTCCTCCATAGGATTGAGGGTCTTCTTGGAACGGATGGAGGTACGACCCTCCGATGGAGCGCTAAGGAAAATAAGAGACAATTCCCGTCACAGGCTTTTCCAATGAACGGTATTCCTTTGTAAGGCTGCATCCGAATCAGTTGTCTAGAGCTAGGTCTAGGTCTGCGCCCATTGAAAATACGCGGGGACGCGCTGACAATAGACGTAGCCGTAGCTCTGGAAGCCCGTTTCGGACACGGCCTAATTGTTCATACTGCTACTTGTGGTCGCTGTTGTGAACAGCCTAGTGATTCACTTGTGGTGGAGTGCTGTGGCCTCGTGGTTAAGGGCATCGGATTTGTGGTCTGTGGGTAATTCTGCAGGCTGTGAGTTCGAGTCCTGCCTGGGGTCATGGTGCGTGTGCCCTTCGGCAAGGCACTTTGTCACTCATTGCTTCTCCCCACCCAGGAGTAAATGGGTACCTGTGAGGGCAGAGATGGTTATTGTGGTTGATTTAGCTTCCTTGTACCTAACAGGCAGCATCGAGCTGTATACTCCCCAGGGAGCTGAGAAGGTTTCAGGAGTGTTTGCCCTTTGAAACAGGGAAAATAATAATTGCAAAGCGCTTTGATACCCCCTTGCGGCATTAAGGCGCCTGCTATTATACGTGTAATGGTACCATTAAGGAGACATGTTATCGTAGTTTCTTCGCACAATGGGAGACATCGGTCATTAGGGAAACATGTTCATGTCTCCCTAATGTCACAGCCCCCTTTAGAGGCAACATTTTGCTGTCGCAATTAGATTATATTTGTTGCTCGTGGTCTAATTAGTAAACATACCGAAATTCATGGAAAAAAGACAAGGGAATATTGGGTTAGGCACATTTAAGTTTGAAAAAATTCTGTGCACAAGTCTATGGGGATGTCTCCCAAATGTCCAATCCAGGGTAATCATTATTATCATTATTATTATTATTATTGTGACCAGACATGAGATGGACTTGTCAACAATACTGGTAACCATTGTGGGAAATGTTTGACTTACTTGGGGTCTATGTGAGTGTAGAGCTGGGTTAGCCTAGCGTGTACCACCGGCCAGGCCTGACTGATTGCCGCTGGGCAGAAGTGCGGCAAGCAGCTGCTGTCAAAGAACCTGGCCAGGCAGGTGATCCAGGGGTTGAAGCCGCCCATGCCCCGGCTGGATAGCGACTTGCCGATAGAGTCGCTGGGCGTTGACTCGTAGGTACTGCCTGACCATTGGTTGATGGAGCGTTCGACTACCCAGTGGAGGTCAATATTGGACAAGGCTGTGATGGTGGCCTGAAATATTAAACAGATAGAGGAAGTTTGAAAGGTAATACAGAAATTGAACAATTATTTGAATGATGCAAATAATATCAAAGTCATTTATTTTCATTGAGTTGACAAGTGACAGTTCCAGGCCAATATTATTGTAGTGTTTGAGCATGCCCACTACAATATTATTGTAGCAGGCACGTGTGGTTTAGCAGTGGAGCACAGGATTCATGATCGTGAGGTTGTGGGTTTGAGCCCTACCGTGGCCATGCGTGTTGTGCCCTTGAGTAAGGCGCTTTACCTCAATTACTCCTCTCAACCCAGGTGTTAAATGGGTACCGGCATTATTCAATGCTGGGAAGGTAACAGACTCGCTGTGGAGGAGGTGTGGCGATCCCCCCACAACGGCATAATGAGTCTGGCCCAATCGCTAATGAAAGAGAGATGGGCACTCCGTTCCTGTGAACACAGGTTCGTCCCCTTTTGAGCACGCAGGACACAGGCAGGAAACGAGGGAACTCCAAACCACACAATAGTTTGTACAGTTTTTTTCATATTTATAATGGCATTCGTGAGAAGTAAAAAACGAGGAAATCAGCGGATCCGAGGAAAAGGTGCATGCCTGAGGATAACAAGATGATGTTCACTCACCTTTTCGGCAGGAGGGAGTTGGTTGAGAAATCCTTCCACTACGCCGGGGCAGGCCTTGTCTACAACATCAATGACTGCGTCATCATCAATCTGGTCAGAAAAAAACAAGTAGAAAACATGTATTTGGTTGTAACAGTTACCAAGACCAGACACTAGAATGGAGACGATGATTTAAAGAGGTTGTGGAATGCTCGAAGACATTTCCGTCATTTTTTAGGTATATGTAGCCTAAGGTGTGATGAAATAAAAACGACTATTGTTTCTGTCATGAAATGAGTACAAAAGGTACTTTTGAGAGCTGTTTTTCAGGTCCTGTTTCGACCCGAACATGCAATTTGTGTAAAAGTCGTCGTTGCGGGCAGCAAACAAAACACAGTAAATCGTAACGTAATAAACAGGACTCATATATGCTACTCTGCATCGGGAGTCCTGTTTATTACGTCACAATTTACTGTGTTTTGTTTGCTGCCCGCAACGATGACTTTTACACAAATTGCACGTTCGGGTCGAAACAGGCATGACAGGACTTAAAAAACAGCTCTCAAAAGTACCTTTTGTACTCATTTTATGACAGAAACAATAGTCGTTTTTATTTCATCACACCTTAGGCTACATATACCCGAAAAATGACGGAAATGTCTTCGAGCATTCCACAACCTCTTTAATGGGTTAAAATTCATTACCCCTTTATACACAATCAAAAGAATGATGTCCTTACCCTTGAGTATCCCAGTGTTCCAAAGAGCGCCCGTACTTCCTTGAGCAGGAAGTAGCTGAGGCGACGGACCAGCGGTCGACAGCTGCACAGGAAGACCAAGGCAAAGCCCTCAGCGGTGTTCAGGATGCTAGCATGGGGGTTACGCTCATACGGGGACTTGACTGGACCCTGTTGGATAACAATGCTATTACTTTAGTCACGAACTTCCGATTTGGGAGTTTAGTTTATACAGAATTTTCGAACGGATTCCTCACCTTTTCCTCTTTGCTCTGGACGGCTGTCCGCCACTGCGACAGCAGCTGCAGTAGCATCTTGAGGGCGCTCTCCAGGATCAGCGGGAACGTGTCTGTGATGTCACGAAGGATAAAATTGATGAAGCAGTTCAGCAGTTCATCGCGCCATCCTGGGAGGTCCAGGACCATGTTCTGAAGCGATGTAAAAGCCAACCTGTTGAGATAAGAAAGCCAGAACAAAAAAGTCATTACAGTCACCGACCCTAACATCCAAAGAAATAATGCCAGAAACTTTCAAGAATCTTCTGAAATTCGTCAAGTCTGCAGGAAACCACTTGAAAATGCTTTGCTCTTTGCCCTTCAAGGTGCATGTAGCCCAATGTAAGGTGGCTGGGATTTTTCTTTCACAAATCGGCAAGATCATCTGAAACCTCCTGAGGGATTTTGAAGAATCTGTGAGTCAGGGATAACCCTAATCCCTGAAACTCCAACCAATCAAGGTTACTCCTGGGCAGAGAGAAACATTTAGAGACAACGTGTCTTGCCCAAAGACACACATCTCAATCTCGCCAATGAGACTTGAACCCACAGAATTTAGATCTATGCTCCAGACGGCAAGATCAGCTCACTAGTTCAGACAAGATCAGTAAGACAACATGATCCTACCCTCTGAGTTCATCATCTCTGTGAACTGTCAGTCTGGTAAGGAGCTCCAGTAAATCCTTCCTACTCATCCCATCAGGGATGATCCTAGGGATGGCTGCCACACAGGTACGGAACAGCTCAATCTTGGGACGACGTTCACTCCTACATTGGAAAACAACAACATCTCCTGTTAGCAGGGTTCAACGATTAGCAGCAAAGTTGTACAAACCACATGAGCTGAGATTTGTGGTCCCTTGATAACTCTGGTAAACTTGCCCGAGTTATAATCGAATCAGTTATACGTCAATCAAGAACAATATCATGGGCCATGTTACCAGCGAATGCCTTTATCACAGTTTATTAGAAAGCCTATCACTTGACTTATGGCCGGATGACTGGTGATTGACTTGTGGTTGACTTGTGATTGACTTGTGATTGACTTGCGATTGACTTGCGATTGACTTGTGATTGACTTGTGATAGATTGGGATTGACTTGGGATTGACTTGGGATTGACTTGCGATTGATTTGCGATTGAATTGCAATTGATTTGCGATTGACTTGCGATTGACTTGCGGTTGACTTGTGATTGGCTTGTGACTGGCTTGTGATTGACTTGCGATTGGCTAGCGATCGACTTGTGATTGACTTGCGATTGACTTGTGATTGACTTGTGATTGACTTGTGATTGACTTGCGATTGGCTGGCAATCGACTTGTGATTGGCTTGCGATTGACTTGTGATGGACTTGTGATTGACTTGTGATTGACTTGTGATTGACTTGTGATTGACTTGCGATTGACTTGTGATTGACTCGGATAGATTGGGATTGACTTGCGATTGACTTGCGATTGACTTGCGATTGACTTGCGATTGACTTGCGATTGACTTGTGATAGATTGGGATTGACTTGGAATTGGCTTGCGATTGACTTAAAATTGATTTGCGATTGACTTGCAATTGATTTGCGATTGACTTGCGATTGGCTTGTGATTGGCTTGTGACTGGCTTGTGATTGACTTGCGATTGGCTGGCGATTGACTTGTGATTGACTTGCGATTGACTTGTGATTGACTTGTGATTGACTTGTGATTGACTTGCGATTGGCTGGCAATCGACTTGTGATTGGCTTGCGATTGACTTGCGATTGACTTGTGATTGATTTGTAATTGACTTGTGATGAATCGATTACAATTCTGACTTCAGTCTTGGCTTCTGCTCAGACTTGATCCTGAATCGGGCTGACTTTACAATCTAAACGGTCAGCGACTTCCATCTGCACAAAGACTGGCATAATTTGCAATTCAGATTCTTACGTCATGAGATCATCCAGTTCTTTGTTCAGGCACTGCGCATTGGTCATCAGCAGAGCCCGTCCCACCGCTGCATCTAAGGACCTTATGATGACATCCACTGCCTTGCGGATGCTGGGATAGTACGGGAGAACACCGATACTCTTGGCTGCGTCTTCCGTGAGCTGCTTGTTGAGGAATGTCTTGCGGACGCGGAGGGTGTTACCCGAGGGCATGATGCGGGTCGTGGTGGGCATCGGAGGCACGCCGTCTTTCTGTTGGAGGTCGTCTGCGATGACCAGAAAGGCGCGCAGGCCAATGTTCATTCGCTGTGGGGAAATACATAAAAAGGTGCTTGGTTAATGATATCAACACTGTCATTTTTGCCAATCTTTTTGAAGGTGATAATTCAAGAAATTTACAGTTGTGCAGAGCTATGGTGTCACAGTTGTGGAGACTAATTTGTGTGGTCAAACCACCGTCAAAGCTTCAAGTGTATGGTTTGCAGTTAACAGAGTCCAGGTGCCGTGTTGTACAATATCAAAGAGTAAAACTTGGTAAAAGAAACCAAACGTTAACCCTAAAAATCCACCAGGAGGTTTTGACACATTTTACAGAACTGAGAAAGGTGCATGTAGAGAGATGTAATTTTCACTATCGAAAAATATGCTGATGCCCCTTAAGGCCTCCAAAAAAGTCTTTGGTTTCTAGTATTGAGCTTGCCCCAAAAGTAGTGCGGCGACGCAGCTTTTTTTTTCACTTTTTTTTTTCTTCAAATGTTGGCTGATGACTGCATATATGTGCCCGACTAAATTTAGTGCAAAATATATGGGAGCCAAGAAAGGCCACATAAAGCTTATACTCGATCGTAAACCCATCTAAAAACACGTTAAAATTGTGCAGCAGCAGGATTCCAGTCCAACCAGTGAGTTTGGTGGTTTTGAGACATCATCTTACATTGAATAAAACACTTTTTAATTTTGCCGACGCGCATGGCTACGGCGACGTGCGCGCATACCAGGAACGAGAGACTTTTTCTGGGGGGGCCTAAATGGTTAAGTCCATAAACTTGTGATTGGATTCCTGCACAAAGGCCCATTTTGGATTGGAGGAGTCGAAGGAGCTAAGCTTCATTTGTCCTTACCTCTGGGCACAACACCCTCTGTTTACTGTTGACCCCCAGCAGATCAAAGATGACATCCCTCATGGCAAACTCCAGCTTCTCCTGAGCAATAAACTGCAAGATCTTGACAAAGATGTTGAGTGGAGTGTCCCGGGGGACCACATTGCGGGAACCCTTGGGGAAGAGGCAGTTGACGATGCTCTGGAGACGCAGATGGGTGGTGGTGTTGCTCTCACATTTGATACGGATGATGTACACCCAGAGGAGGCGGTAGAGACTCTCCAGGGCTACACGGGACATCTTAGGATCACGGTGCTACAACACAGAATAAGGTGTCAAAGTTAATTCTCTTTTTTTTAGATGGGGTAAGTTGTGATTGGCTTGTGCCTTGTTTATTGATGTAAGTTGATAAGAAATTTGCAGAGTTTAATCAGTTCTTCAGATCATGACAACACATCCACTAAGCTTTAAAATGACTTCAACTTCCCAGAAACTGTCAGCTGATCTGTGAACATCAAACCAAAGTTTTTACTGACACAATTTCCATTTTTAAAGCTCATCCACAGAAAACCATGAATCAACTAATTTCCAGAGAAAACCAAAGAGATCTAGTCAGCTGGTCCACTAAAACCAACTACCAAAACGTTCAACAAACCCATCTATCTAATTAGCTGATCAACTAAACTCATCTACCTACCAGAACAACCGTCAGCAAGAAATCAACTCAGCTTCTCTGTTACCATCAACTCATCAGCTTATCCACTATAAACATCAACTCACCTTGTTGAGTGGGGACAGACACAAATTCAGCAGATTGCACCAGTTGGAGAGGAAGAACTGTTTCTGGCTGACACAGAGCAGACAGGTGAGTAGAGGAAAGGCGGCCAGGGCGTGCTTCTTCTTGTTGCATTGGTCCAGCGTGGTCTGGTAGAGCTTATCCACAAAGTTCTTGAGGACGGGAATGTTGACCTCGTTCATGACACACTGTAAGATAATTAGAATCGTGGGTGTCAAGAGTGCTGTCAAACCATCTCGCACAAGTCTTTTGGAGAGCTATTAATTTCAACATTGTTTACTCTTAGAATTGATAGTTAACCTAGCCTTGGTCAAGGCGCTAGTTGATATTCATCCCGGTCGTAGCACGGTAAACGATATCCTCGCTAGCGCTATGCATGCGGTGCTAAGTACATCGCGAACAGCGACCTCACGCGGCCACCATTTCTATGCAAATCAGTTGGACCCAATCTAGCGCCTTGGTTCAATCGTCGGCAAAAGCTTATGTTTTTCTTTATTTTGCGCTGGATTTCTAGCGCACGACCTCGTATGCGAATACAGATAAGTGTAGGCGGGGCTAATATGTGGAATGTCCAATCACACCTTCGTAAATCCGGACGTCATCAAATTATTTGCAGCTATTCGCCTTTTGCGGACGTGACAGGAACCACAGTTTTTGTGCATTGGTGCCGTGTGCAGAGACACACAACGTGTACCTGTATGGATTATGTACGGTGCACGTTTCACTAAGCAAGTTTCCACGCAACGATCAACCAATAAGAAAATGACATTTAAGGTCAGCTAAGGCTAGTAACATAATGAGCACCACCCCCAAAACCTCACATGGACGATTGAACCAAGGCGCTAGATTGGGTCCAACTGATTTGCATAAAAATAGTGGCCGCGTGAGGTCGCTGTTCGCGCTGTATTTTTAATGCACTGCATGCATAGACATAATTATGACTGCATGCATAGCGCTAGCGAAGATATCGTTTACCGCGTTACGTTACGGCCGGATGAATAACAACTAGCGCCTTGACCAAGGCTATAGTTAACCAGGGTTGCAGCTTACCGATGCCACGGGTACCAGTATTTCCACCAGCAGACCTGCCAGGGCATGCTTGATGTCTTTGTCTTTGACTTCTAAGTAGTAGTTGGCGCACTCGTGAAGCAACTGGAAGGAAGCCTCAAAGTCCTCCACCGGGAACATCTTGACACGGTAGAACTTCATACCCATGATCAGGCTGATGATGGCCTGGTGAGGCAGAGATCAGACGGGTCAATGTGTGAAAGGTCAAAGGATGAAAGGTCAAAATCAGCAGTACATGCTACGTGTGCAAAGGTCAATCTGAATGGCAAATGATTACATGGATTGATTCGCAGACTACTCGTTTGACACAATTTGGAGACAATACATTTCAGTTGTTTCCAAGCTCATCCATATGTGGAAATGATGTTAAATTTGAGGGCAGATGCACATTTTGGCAACCCTATTGGCTGGAGGAGTTAGTTGCATTAAACAACTGTAGTGAAAGTTGAGTTGTAATTAAGTCAATCACAAGTCAATCACAAGTCAATCACAAGTCAATCACAAGTCAATCACAAGTCAATCACAAGTCAATCACAAGTCAATCACAAGTCAATCACAAGTCAATCACAAGTCAATCACACGTCAATCACAAGTCAATCACAAGTCGGTCACAAGTCGGTCACGAGTCGGTCACGAGTCAGTCACGAGTCAATCACGAGTCAATCACGAGTCAATCACGAGTCAGTCACGAGTCAGTCACGAGTCAGTCACATGTCAGTCGCGAGTCAGTCGCGAGTCAGTCGCGAGTCAGTCGCGAGTCAGTCGCGAGTCAGTCGCGAGTCAGTCGCGAGTCAGTCGCGAGTCAGTCGCAAGTCAGTCGCAAGTCAGCCGCAAGTCAGCCGCAAGTCAGTCGCAAGTCAGTCGCAAGTCAATCGTAAGTCAATCGCGAGTCAATCACAAGTCAATCGCAAGTCAATCACAAGTCAATCACAGTCAATCACAAGTCAATCGCAAACCACCCAGTCTCATGTCAAATCACAAGCTAGTCAAATGAAATGTGTCAAAAGCATTCCTTGTCAGTGCTCAATTCCTGCTACTTACGACCTGACTTCTGAATTGATTTATGATTAGACTTGCGATTGACTCAATTCCAACTCTAGCAATATGTACCTGTGTTGTCTGAACGTTCTGTGGTTCCGAGCGCAGTTCTTTCAGCTCGATCAAGAAGCGTTTACGGACAGACATAAACCTCGTCTTTGCCAGGACCCCCAGAACCTCTGCATACAGGTCAGCAATGATGTGGAAATTCTCTGTGTTTGGGCCTGCTTGAAGGCTGCGATGAAAAGAAATATTCAAATCAAACATTGTGTATTGTTTTTATAAGCACTAAGCCATTACAGTTTGAGTCGATGAAAAATAGTTGAAAATGAAATTTTGAAGTAGTTTAAAGCTGGTATATTACTCTACTGAAAACAAAAATGGATTTCTCCCTGATGAACGTGTGGAAGATCACTTGACACCCTGTGAAGGTTAAAGTGTTAGGAATGTAATACAGGGTTCTCGCATCGTGGACAATTTGGGAGGATCAACGATGGTCCCTGGCATAAATGACAAGGGAGTTATGTTAAGGGGCCTACCTGTCTCTATGTTTGAAGTGTTTGAAGGCAAGGGTCTCGATGTGATTGAGTTGTTTTTCTGGGACGGGATGCAGGGGGAGTTGCTTCAACACCTCGATCAGCACCAGACAGTAGAGAAAGTCCACTGCCAACTAATCACAGAACAAAATAAGGATCGTTATGGACTCCCTGTGGAAGTACCCATCAGCAGTATTATGAACATCCCCTTCACTGAAGAAACCCATTTTGTGCAAGGATTGAAAATTGGGAATGATAACAAACTCAAACAAACAATGTAGGAGATCTCACTTCTACTCTGGTTCTAACCATCGTCAATTTAAGTTTATAAATATCATTGAGGGCAAGGAACAGTCAATATTGATTCCAAAAAATCCTGCTTTCCATAACCAATTCGTTCTCAAATACAAATGGATGATCAATGCATATGAAACCTGAAGTGTCACTACTAGCCCCAGGCTACAAAATGGTTTAAAAAAGTATGGGAACATACTTTTCTTTAAAAACTGATGATTGAACAAATGCAGACTTTTGAAATATTTGTACTTACATCCCTTCTTTCAGAGACATAGTCTTTTTCCCTGAAATAAAAAAATTAAAAAACAAAGTCAGTTGGTTAATTACAAATCCACTCATTCCACACAAAAATGAGAACAATTCTAGTGATCATACACGTCAAACAAAAATTGATTTACAGTATAAACACAATGATGACCCACCCCTTGGATTTGCCAGATGAACCCTTTTGTCTTCTGGCTCCCTCGTCTTCATTCTGAAGCTCGTACCAATCAAACAGGGTCTTGAGAAGAGAAGGCAGGCAATGCTCCGAGACTGCACTCAGGGAACTCAGAAGCTGAGGACACCAGACAAGATCAAAAGATGTTGAAAGTAGGCACAAGTTTGTGCTTGGAAGATTATTAACCCCTTAAGGACGGGGTGTAATGGGGACATTCCTCCACACATAGACTGCACAGCCTTTGTGTGGTAGCAGGACTGCACAAAAGCAGCAGCTGTGGAACTACCCACTAGCCGTGTGCCACGGCATACCACAGCTGGCAACTGCATTCCAATGAGGATTAGCGGCCGCGGCCATGACCGCTTCCCGTACGCATGGGGTTAACCTTAACACTCAAAACTTCTTGACTGTTTACATGGTTAATGACTAGCAGTTTAGAGTGTGCTTCACACCTATTTTCCACTTGTCGCTTTTCAGAATACTCTTTTTATAAGTGCACATCACACAAGTTCAACCCTTGTTTATGCTCCTAGACATACCTGATCAAACTGTGGGTCCTCCCCACGTTGTAATGACTTAGCAAGGGGACTCTCCTGCAGAAAAAAGGCAATGTTTGCATTTATAAATCTATAAATACCTGAGACAGTTGAACAAGTCCCATTGGTTGACAGCCCGTCACGTGAGTGGTTTAAAAGAAAGTAAAACACAGCTGCATTCTGCGCCACATCACATGGGTACTGGCCATGCGAACCAATTTCCATATAAGGAGATTTTAGCACTATGCACGCGAGGCACACATCATAGACATAGTTAGAGGGGTGTTGAACATGAACTGAAATTGCTGAACAAAATCACTGAAAATTTGCAAATTTTTGACTTGTTTTGACTTTTGGACGGAAAGGTATTTATGAATGGGAATAAATATGTGCTTGGCTGGAATAAACAAGTACATTTAAAACCGGCTAGGGGCCTTGATGCGGATCATGGCCCAACCTGTACTTTACATTTTTTTTATTATGAATAGATCATGGAACTCAAAATCCCTGTATATTTGTAATTTTAATTGTTTGTTAGTTTTTTGTTTCTGTTTGGTTATATTTTGTCATCGAACTCATCCAGCCCCCCGCCCCCTTCCTTCTTTTGAATATACGCTAGCCATGAAGCCAAGAAACGTTCCCTGGCTATATTACTACTTCAGTCAAAATAGAACCCTCCCCCCCAAAAAAAGCTACTTTGTGGGACATGCTTCAAGCACGGTACCGCCTAATTACAATTTCTAATTGTCTTTGTTGGCCGAGTCCATGGATAGATACATTTAGTTTAAAGCTATAGTCCATCATTTGCAGCTATCCGAAAAGTAACTGGCGTAATTATTGTTGAAAAACATACTTGGTTGAAAGATAGTAATGGGACTAAACTCCCTGTGAAATTATTCTTTCTGGCAAGCTGTCATTTTGAAGTAATCAACGAAAGAAGGCCTTTCCAACGGTGCTTCTTAAGACGCACCGTAGGAAAATTTAAATTAGTAGTTCGTTTTGTTATTTGGCGAAGCACGCGCAAGCATTGGCACGACGCACACGCGCGCGCGGTTGCTATAATTCGTCGGATCAGTGCGCGACATCGCGTAACTGCAATCGGCTCAGTGAGAACGTGTCTCGGACGCTGAATTCAGGCCCAATTCAAAACATGATTCAGCAACTTTTGATCTGAAATTGAGATCCTAGAATGTTGTTTTTCTCGGAATATACAGCTGAAGCTGAGCTGAAACTTCATCAGGTTAGTTGTTCAGTACCCTTCTTTAGATTTTGAGCACTTTTGTTGCTTCAAACGAACAAAATGCACAAATTACAAATGATGGACTATATCTTTAACACAAGGGACTAAGATCCCGTCCTACCAGTGGCTCTGACATGATCTTCTCAATCTTCCTCTCAGCTTGAATGGTGAACTCGGCAAACAGACTCTGCAGTACATACTGGCCCGGTTTGACGTTAGTATCCAGCATGATGGTAGAGGTAGTGCTTGGGTCACGCTCTAGGCCTGGTTCATTGACTCTGATCCATGGTAAGGATAAGGTGTCAGAGGATGCACTTGTCACCAGACTAAGTGTAGAACCTGTACGAGAAAAGAAAAATCATTCAATAAATTGGTCTTTCAAGCAATCAATAAAGGAGAAACATAACAAAACCTGAAATTGTATACTAGTCATGCGTAGTTTAGATTTGGAGAAGAGCACTTTTCCTAGAACACGCTATTGAAAATTTAACATTATCCATTTGGGCATTAATTTCGACAAACCGGGTATGCACAACTCTATGTTGCCAATAAAATTTGGGGGAAATTAAATTTGCCAACTGTCCAAACTTCTTCTCTACAAAATTCTGGTGCAATTGTTAAACTGGTCACACAAGTCTTTATTTGTGCTCAGGATGTACAAATTCTTATGCTTATAAACAACAGCTGGGCAAAACTGGTGCCCAACCAAAACCTTCCACAGGGCAATTTAAGACTTTTTTTCTGTACCCCAACTCCTACTTAAAAAAGTCAAACATCTTACTTTAAAAAAAATTCTGCTTTCACGTACCTCTAGTCATTTCTTTGTTCAACGTTAAAATAATTATAACGCACCTAGTCAGTTTTCCAACGTGGTTTATTTGAAAAGTTGTAATAAAAAGCTGTATCCTCTCTGAGCGATCCCTGTTAGCTATTTCCCTGGTTTGAAGCATTGCTGATGTTGCTAGCATCGTGACTTTGAGCGTGATCCCTGGCTACATGGCTTATACTGGTTTATGGCTTCTGACTAACGCCCCTTGAACAAAGACACTGACAAAATGGGGAACTGCCAACATAGGGCTGGATAGCTCAGTTGGTAGCGCACCGGAACGGCAATCCAGAGGTCGCAGGTTCAAACCCCGCTCCAGTCAATTTCTTTGTGCAACCTTAAAATAACTTTACTTACCCGTTAGATTCTCACTCTGCGACACTGACGTAGTCATGCTCTTGGATTTCTTACGCCGGGATCCTGACTGAGACATCTTGAGATGATGTTAATGTGAACAAAGATGCCAATGGATTTTCTTGCAGCCTGGTTACGGCTGGTGCAACATGCTAACACGGTCCATTTTTGTGTTGACTCATTGAGGTGAACAATCTCTCAGAATCTGCGAATAAAAACAGTGATTAGGCGAAGTAAAAAAAAAAACATGTTTAGCGTCCCCGCCCGCTTCCTTTTTAGAGGCCGCCTCCTTTTTTTTTTTTTTTTTTTTTTTTTTAAATATGGTACAATTGCGCAGAAGAGATGTTCGGTTCTGCATAGTTACATCATTTTGGTCTCATTTTCTGTTGCATCTTGCCCATAAGAAGCCAATATGTCATTTCCTGAGTCCAAGTGGCGGCCATTTTGAAAAAAGCTGGTAACCATCTTGAAAAATAGCCCGGCCGCGTTGTCTTGAAAAATGTGTCGGGCGGCCATTTTGAAAAAAAAAAAAAAAAAAAAAAAAAAAAAAGGGCCTCCTCCTTCCTTTTTGTCAAAGAGGCAGGACGCTAAACATGTTTTTTTTTTTTTATTTTGCCTTAATTATTGAATTATGTATATATAGGCCTATATAATTATAAGGCCCCCAAAAATAATAGTTCTGCTTCCGGATACCCTATCTGCCCTATTTGACAGCCCCTACCCTAATTTTTTTTTTTGGGGGGGGATGAGGAAAATAACCCAAAACCATCAATTACTACCTTTTACCCTTGACTACACACTTGACTACATATAGGCTATTACTAGATCAGGCGATCAACAACAACAAAAATACCAAAAATAAAATCCCTACCTATACCTACAATACACCCTAGTTTCCAATGCCATGTAATCGGAAGCAGAAGTAGATTTTATTTTTGGCCTAAGACATCAAAACCGTTGGAAAAAAAAAAAACAATTGAGAAAATGGTTTGGCCATCGGCCATTTTAGGAACAGATTTTCTTGTACAACTACAAGAGTACAAGACTAGTAGAAGTGGGGTCCTAAGGGCTACACGATCATACTTCTTATCCCTTCATGTTGGTATCCAGGAATTTAACAGGACTACTACTATGCAAAATGTAACAAAGGATTACAGTTTTATGAACGGAAAGATTTCCATATAGTATACGAAGTTCACTCAACACTCTGGGTACAAACCCTATGAGAGTGGACTGAACAATTCTAAGTGTTTTCTAAGACAATGCTTGTATTTTCTCACTGCTCAAATTGACTTTGATGACATGAAATTGCTATCTGGGGGCTTGTTAGTCAATACAGAGGAAAATTAGTGAACTTCGCATATGGTAATCTTGCCGCCTAGTTATGTTATTATTTAATTGCGCTTAGGGTTGGGTTCGCATTTCTAAGGTTTTGTTATGGTAGTGTTTTAGTCATTGGTTTAAATTAAACCAATAATTGTGTAGTTTAGGACACCTCTTTCTTATGATGTCTTACAAGTTCCTTTCACAAATCAAAACTTTGCCCCCTTTCCACAAAGTCCATTGACACTTCCTGCTTGTATCATAACAAAATGTTTAAGTATCAAGTAGAAGTGGGGTCCTAAAGGGCAACACGATCATACTTGTTATCCCTTCATGTTGGTATCCAGGAATTTCTTTTCATTCTCTTGGAACGGGGTCCTAACTAACAGTAAACTACACGATCAACGATTACGTTAATTTAAAGATGATGATTAGGCCTACCTGCCTACAGATTATTGAATGAACTTTTTTTTTAAATGTCAGTCTAGTAGACGTGTGTAGCCTCTTCTAACTTTATTGAATTGATAAATCTGGTCAATTAACATTAACTGAGACGATTTTCCCACCCATGCTCCGGAGATTCAGACTACTCTTTTAGTGTCGGAAATACCAGTTGTATAGCATTCCTAAAGCACGGGTACGTATCAGGGGAGTCTAGGACAAGATAATATTAATAATAATAGCCCGGAGTGGCAATTGTTCACAATAATTGAAGAAGAAAAAATAGCCCAAATTAAAATATACGCTTTCATTCAACAGAATAATTCAGTAAGTTGTGTAACGCAATGTCAAAAACTAAATAAACTTCAATCAAATTTTGACGTTTCACTTACAAGTTTACGGCATAAAAAGTGTCCGCCATTTTGATTCAGTCACGTCTGCGAGACCTTCTGAAACCTCGGTTTCATTTTGGCGGCGGCTCATAATCAATAGTTAAAGGCCAGTTTTTGTACCTGACCTTGAGACTGCTGCTTGATATGGATCCATTTACTTTTCTGTTTACGAACATTAATTCCTTTAATTAAAATAATGCCTGAACTTTTAGCTGTTCAAACATCTGATAATATAAGTCAAGATGGAAAAAAATCCTTACATTTAAAGGGAATATACAACATTTTGTCTGTGCTGTAATTTTCAGAAATGGATGGACTTAGTATTTATAGCAAATATTATATACATTGACTTTTTCGAAGTTTTGTGTTCTTAGATGCTGGAACTACCAAGAAAAACAATCATGTTTTTGTAGTCTGGTTCCCTGACCCTACTTAAGGTTAAACAGAGCAAACTTCAGTAGCTGGCTTGCACCCGTTCACATGTGTGTAATCGATTCCAAAGAAAATGGGGAATATTTAAATATGATAAATTGGGAGCAGTATTTGAAAAAAGACGTCCAGTAAGATAATTTGATAGTTTTGTTTTTTCATGTTTGCAAATGTTGTGTATTCCCTTTAATGTTCAATATCATGAATGATTTAAACACTTGGATGCTGAACATCATGATTAAAAATGTGTCTTTTCGGGGCCTGGTTTTTTTTTTCATCTCAAAATTTGCTCATATAAGCTTCGACCGTTATGTTTGCTTGCAGGCTCAGTATATCTTGTACCGTGACCTTGATACCATGGGGAAATAAGACACGTGATTTTACCAATGGTTATATAGGCACATCGATCGAGTCTAGAAAACATAATTCAAGCCAACGAGCTCCCACAGACCGCTGTGGTTAATTTATCTCTATCACTATGGAAACCAACTGCATCAGCGTGACCATGGAAACACAGCTCCCATTTTTATTAGCCTACATGAAAACATCACTGAAACATGACTCTAAATTATAATCAACGTGGCCGCGGACGTGCAAGTTCCTTTGGAATAGGCAATTGTGTCAAGCAAAGGAGCGGATTTGGTCCATTCCCAACCGAACCACCGAACCAAAGTAAAGGGTTCATTTTGAAAACCTAATCGATATACCGCGAGTTTTCGGATCCCCCCCCCAAGAAATTTACCTCATGAGGTTGCGTATTCCTCCCTTTTGTATTCTCATTTCTTATGTGGGATTTTCCAAAGACGACGCATGAAAATTTTTCTCAGTATCGTGGTATTGTAAGAACAGTAAGATAGAGACAGTGACGCAGACAATTATTACAAGCTACTGGCATTCGGCTACTTATTAATAGGTGAGTGCAAAATTGAAGAATTTTGTTTTAATCTGTTCTGATTCAGTGAAATTATTACGCTTAACACCGCTCAGGATCAATGATGTACAGGTTTTTACTGTTAAACAAAAATTCCAGAGGCCTACCCCTTATTGAATACAGCTTCACAAAAATTGCCTGACGGCCGTTAATAAGGCAGTCTTGCGGAGGGGGTTCCCCGAGTGAGACATCCACTGATGACTAATGTGTGCCGGAATTGTTTGCGTGGTAAGTGAAACCGAGTTGAAAAGGTCAACAGGTTTTCCCACATGAATGTCCCAAGAATCGGTTCAAGAACTTGAGGCTGATCCTATAGTTAACCTGATGACGAGGAGTGTTGCCAACCAGAACAGCAGTTGAACACTGAAGTCGAAGCTATAAGGTTCAACTCACTCTATATTCTTATTCGCGTTTTGCTTTTGCAGGCCATGGATCTTCACGTGCCAAACGCTCAGGCTGTTTCGGATTATTTCCGTCGCATCCTGACGGATATCCTCGAAGAACTTGTGAATAAGGTTCCCGATAGATACACATCCAATACTGAAATTGTCAAGCAGTCGTTGAGAAAAATCTCCAATTGGTACAAAAACGGACTCCGCTTTGCCAATTCAGATTTGCGTTCTGACTGGAATGACCCGGCCAACCGCTGTGCTTACGCGTTTCTTTACTTGATGCACCATTGCTATCTCGTGTATGGCTCGCTTCAGTACTCGGATGAGGTCACAAGAAGTTGGCGCAACAGGAGCAGTTTGAAGGTTTGCAGCATCGGAGGCGGGCCTGGGTCGGACATGGTTGGCTTAACAACCTTCCTCCGTAACAAAGGAATCTTCCCGCCTTCTCTGGAATGCCTTGTCTTGGATCTGTACCCCAACTGGAAAGACACTTGGGACACGATATACACCCACCTACCAGAGACCTTTACTGTAACTTACCACAGGTGTGATCTGGTCAGAGACACAAGACTCCACACTAGAGATCTACAGTTTATCAAACAGGCTGATATCATCACACTGTCTAAATCTTTCTCAGCAGTGTCTGCTTTCTACCGAGCCAACCACGCCAAAGGCGCTTTCCTTCGGGATGTTCTCCAGCAGACCAAACCAGGCTGCTTCGTTCTGTACATCGACAATGACTGCGGCGGTTGTACTCAGTTTCAGCGGGACTTCGCATCCCGAGCCGGTATGGATTTAGTATTTGAATTCCGCGGCAAGCCCACTTTTCCAAAGGGGGCGTATTCATATACCATCCGAAAGTACCACAATCTGTTCGAATTCAGTCCGATGCGCTCCTGCGACGTGAATATCCAGTTATTCCGAAAGAAGGGAGCAGTTCAGTCTGGTCATGCCGTCAGAATTGAGAGTAATCCAACCGGCCAATTGAGGGCCAAGAGTTCCTCCAAGCGGGCTGCAGTTCCCCAAGGACCCCCCGTGGGTATCTCAAGTTCCTCTCGGAGTACACCCCACCATGATGTGATTTCCAGCTACAACAGCGTCCATGGAATCGCAGTAAGAAACACCGTAACGTCACGACCAACATCCCCGCACTACTCGTCAGGAATTCCGCGGGCTGCAAGCAATGTCTACCCAGCATATTCCACCTATAACCAACCATACTCCTCTCACCGTACCGCGACCGTGGAAAGACCCTCATTAGGAAGCTACAGAACACCAACAACCCCAGCTGACTCCAGCCACGTCAATATCTCTGTGATCTCCCATCAACCCAAACGAGTTGATCAAGCACCCAAGCCAAGCAATTCAGCACTTGTCCCTAAGCCAAGCAAGCAAACATCCAACCGACAAGCATCTCGTGTCGCAAACACTTACCCTAACAGTTATCGGTCAAGAGACGAAAGACAACATCAGGACGATGAAGATGAAACCACATTGTCCAGATATTGCTGCCCACAGGCATGCACAATTTTGTAAGCCTCTCGAGTCTAGAGTGTTCACCTGCATAATTTTTTTTAGATAAAAATTTTCATGGACTTGATTCAAGTCTGTAGACCTTCTATATATATGGAGTCTTCGAATATACGTTTTTAAAAATAATTAAGAAATTAACAATTTTTGTATCCATCGTTTGTTCAGACGTCAGTTTTTGAAAGTTATTTAATGCAGGGTTTGTGGGCATAGAGTTATATTAAAATATAACTCTATGTTTGTGGGAGAGTGTGGCTGAGTGGTTGGGTTCCCGACTCATAATAAGAGGGTCAGGGGCTCGAATCCCACCGCTGGTAATTATGTTGTGTCTTTGGGCAAGCCACTTCATTCCCGGCAGTTTTCTCTTCACCAGGAGTATAAATGGGTACCGGCATTAGCTGGGGAATAACCTGCGATGGACTGGAATATCCCAGGGTGGGGAGTAGAAATATTCTCAGACGTTTCGTGCTACGGACACAGAAGATAAACGCCGGCCTGATGGGCCACATTGGCTCGTGACATACTATACTACTACTTTTGTACAGTACACGTCGCTTCATTTTGGATGATTCAATCTGTTTTGTGAATGAAGATGATTCAGGAATCAGCACTCTTATTTGGATTTGTATATTTTCATTGTCGCTGTAAAAATGAAGTTTTTAAAAATGTATATGTTTTATTGTTACAGTATAGAGGATCAGTATGATTGCAGTGCCTTTCTCTGTCTTTATGCACATTCCATTCAATAATCAGAAATCAATCAATCGTTGCAAGAAAAAGGATATAATGCCACGTTTGTGTAACACACAAATCGGGTTTTGTTTCAAGACTTTTACCGGATTCAATTAAGTTATCCAACATTATCTCTTATAAATAATTAATTATAGAAATCAACCTTAATCTGATGAATTTTAAAACGCAGCAAATTTAGTGGAATAGACAGTTACATAAGCAACCTTCGATTTTTAGCAAATTAATCTCTTCAATTTTACGCAACTTCAAGTTCTTTTGAATTCGTAGTTCCTGTGCATCGGCTATTTTTACCTATTGGTATGGCTGTTGTCATTTCTACGCTGCTAGCTCTTCTTGTTTTGCCCCTGTATTTTGTTGTGCCCTTTTCCCTCGATGATATTCGACCTATACATGTAGTATGTATTATACGGCTTAACCTTTGTCGACGCGACCAACATGCCGCGTCTATAGCTAGCTATGTAGGCTTACTAGACACAATGTTCATGTTTTGTCAATTATTGTTCATTATCAAGTATACTGCAAGTACAAGAGGGTCAGAGTTGAAAGCTGAGGTAATTTCCCCGATGAGAAATGCCGTCTTTGCAAATAAACGAGGCTGTACATCTTTAGAACTGAGTGGTGCAATAATAGCATTCATTCGTGGTATTGTTTCTGACCAAAAAATATATTCTGTGCGAATTAAGTATAGGGGCCTACACCGGCACGCCAGCGTTTATTCAGGGAATTAGAAATAACTGAAGTACATCATAATTGTACTGAGCTTTACGGGAAATGTTGGCTTTCTAAAACTACATGTACTGGAATTCTGGAAAGCAACTATTGTACGCGGTATGTATTTCATAATAAAGTTTTGTCAGAACGTATCGGAAAGAGTGAGCAACTTTTCAGGATGATTGAAACAAATCTTTTGTCTTTCGAATTTCAAGTTAACTTTGGGTTTGAAATCGCAGGATAAGTCGTCGTAACGTTTGTAAGTCATAGGTCGATCATGCTGTTACTGGAAGTTTAAATTTATCATTTCACCGAATAATAATTCCCATTTTAACGGCCTACATGAAAACATCACTGGAACATGACTCTAAAATACAGTGCACATGGCCGCTGACGTGCTACACTCCTTCGTAACACATATCAATTGGTAGACTGGTTCCCGTCCCCGAAAAATATGGGGACCAGTACCTAGAGCTCGCATTTAAAGCCATTGGTTGGATTACCTCTACGCGCACAGCATGATTGTTAATTTTTTAATCACTTTCAGCTTTGGGCATGACTCTTGTCTTACCCCAAACTGAACTAAACTTAATTCCATCTTTACGCAAAATCGCCAGTGTCTCCATGTAGGCAACTTTCAAGCACTTCAACTGCATGTTTCAAATACTACAATGCCCTCTATTTATTTATACTAGAGACAATTTCGAATTCAGCGAAAATCGAAGCATATCATCAAGTCAGAAATTGCACATTGATCGGACCATTACCATTTTGCAACAGGCTGGTTCCGCGCAAACATTACCGTTGCGATTTAGAATACAGGAGGGGGGATTAAGACCTATACACGTCGTGCATATAATTTGCATACATTGTTTCGTGTAATCTACACCGCCAGCTATCGGACCCCATATTTCAAGTCCGAAGGACAATGGGGTCAGGGAACCAAACTACCTCATAAGGTTGCGTATACTGTACTTCCGCGTTGATATTCCCGTTTCTGATGCGGGATTTTCCAAACTAAAGACGACGCAAGATATTTTGTGCTCATAATAATATCGTGGTACTGAAAACCGCAGCCTGAGTGACGCAAGACAAGGACAAGCTATCATTCGGCCACTATTCAGTAAGGTGAGTAAAAGGTTTTGTTTAAATCTGTACTGATTTTGAAATTATTTCGCTCAATTGACGCAGCTTGGATTAATGTAGAGGCCTTTACTGCTTAACAAAATCCAGAGTTTGTATTGTCTGCCCGGACCAACCTCGTTCCCAGGATGTCAAGCAGTACGCTCCCAACACTACCTGCAATTGGAAATGAGGTTAAAATAGTACGCTCTGGGGACGAGGCTGTACCCGGAAATCTTCACAATTAATAATGCAGTCAGGCATAAAGGGAGTACTAATTATCTCAACACACCGTCATCACACGATAGTTCGTCAAACACAAAAAAATAAGCAGCGCGGTTTGCCGCCATCTTGCTTCGCACGGTGCCTGAACTATGTCATTTGTTTAAGGATGGGTGTGAGCACGTAATCGTGTTTGCCAGATTCACATAATGGGTGGCCCGCTGAGGCAACATGGCTGCCCTTTTTTCAGAGCTGGACGAAGAGACATATTTTCTTGAACAAAACACGCTTAACCTCCTGGGTTTTTTAAGCCAAAATATCCTTTTGGTCCATACTTTACAGTTTAGTATCACATAATGTTGTCAATTTGGAATGTGTTTAGAGGTACGGTGAAGATAACGGTGACGGTGTGTATGTTGACAGTAATTAGTATATGACCGGGCGGAGGGGGTTCCCCAAGTGAGAAATCCGATGATTGTGCATTATTATTATGTGCCAGAATTATTGTTTGCGTGAGTGTATAACCAAGTAGAAAACTAAACATGTTTTCCACATGATTATATCAAGAACCGGTTAAAAAAAGAGCAAAGGCTGATCCTGCACGCTTTTCTTTTTACCGATGCCGAAGAGTATTGCCAACCAGAACAGCAGTTGAACACTGAAGCAAGGTTCAACTCACTCTATATTTCTATTCGCGTTTTGCTTTTGCAGGCTATGGATCTTCCCGTGCCAAACGCCCAGGTTGTTTCGGATTATTTTCGTCGCGTCCTGACAGATATCCTCGAAGACCTTGTCAATAAGGTTCCCAATGATGGATACACATCCAATACTGAAATTGTCAAGCAGTCGTTGAGAGAAATCTCCAATTTGTACAAACACGGACTCCGGTTTTCCAATTCAGGTTTGCGTACTGACTGGAATGAACCGGCCAACCGCTGTGCTTACGTGTTTCTTTACCTGATGCACCATTGCTATCTCGTGTACGGCTCGCTTCAGTACTCGGATGAGGTCACAAGAAGTTGGCGCAACAGGAGCAGTTTGAAGGTTTGCAGCATCGGAGGCGGGCCTGGGTCGGACCTGGTTGGCTTGACAACCTTCCTCCGGGTGCATGGCATCTTCCCGCCTTCTCTGGAATGCCTTGTCTTGGATCTGTACCCCAACTGGAAAGACACCTGGGACACGATATACAACCACCTACCAGATGCCTTTAGTGTAACTTATTGCAGGTGTGATCTGGTCAAAGACACACAACTCCACACCCGAGATCTGCAGTTCATCAAACAGGCTGATATCATCACAATGTCTAAATCTTTCTCAGCAGTGTCTGCTTTCTACCGAGCCGACCCCTCCAAAGGCGCGTTCCTTCGGGATGTTCTCCAGCAGACCAAACCGGGCTGCTTCGTTCTGTTCATCGACAATGAATACAGCGGTTGTACTCAGTTTCAGCGGGACTTTGCATCTCGAGCCGGTATGGATTTAGTATTTGAATTCCGCGGCAAGCCCACTTTTCCAAAGGGGGCATATTCATTTACCATCCGAAAGCACAATAGTCTGTTCGACTTCAGTCCGATGCGCTCCTGCGACGTGACTATCCAGTTATTCCGAAAGAAGGGAGCAGTTCAGTCTCGTCAAGCCGTCAATTCGGCTGTTCCCCCTGTGGGTATCTCAAGTTCCTCTCGGAGTACACCCCACCATGATGTGATTTCCAGTTACGACGTCTTCCACGAAATCGCCATAAGGAACACCGTAACGCCACGAGCAACATCCCCGCAATACTCATCGGGCATTCCGCAGGCTGCAAGCAATGTCTACCCAGCATATTCCATCTATAACCAACCATACTCCTCTCACCGTACCGCGACCGTGGAAAGACCCTCATCAGGAAGCTACAGAACACCGACAACCCCAGCTGACTCCAGCCACGTCAATATCTCTGTGATCTCCCATCAACCCAAACGAGTCGATCAAGCACCCAAGCCAAGCAATTCAGCACTTGTCCCTAAGCCAAGCAAGCAAACATCCAACCGACAAGCATCTCGTGTCGCAAACACTAACCCTAACAGTTATCGGTCAAGAGACGAAAGACAACATCAGGACGATGAAGATGAAACCACATTGTCCAGATATTGCTGCCCGCAGGCATGCACAATTTTGTAAGCCTCTCGAGTCTAGAGTGTTCACCTGCATAATTTATTTTAGATAAAAATTTTCATGGACTTGATTCAAGTCTGTAGACCTTCTATATATATGGAGTCTTCGAATATACGTTTTTAAAAATAATTAAGAAATTAACAATTTTTGTATTCATCGTTTGTTCAGACGTCAGTTTTTGAAATTTATTTAATGCTGGGTTGGTGGGCATAGAGTTATATTAAAATATAACTCTATGTTTGTGGGAGAGTGTGGCTGAGTGGTTGGGTTCCTGACTCATAATAAGAGGGTCAGGGGTTCGAATCCCGCCGCTGGTAATTATGTTGTGTCCTTGGGCAAGCCACTTCATCCCCGGCATGTTATCTCTCCACCAGGAGTACAAATGGGTACCGAAATTAGCTGGGGAGTAACCTGCGGTGGACTGGCATTCCGGGGTGGGGAGTAGAAATATTCTTAGTCGTTTCATTCTACTGACACCGAAGATAAACACCGGCCTGATGGGCCACATTGGCTCGTGACAGACTATACTACTACTTTTGTACAGTACACGTCGCTTCATTTTGGATGATTCAATCTGTTTTGTGAATGAAGATGATTTAGGAATCAGCACTCTTATTTGGATTTGTATATTTTCATTGTCGCTGTAAAAATGAAGTTTTTAAAAATGTATATGTTTTATTGTTACAGTATAGAGGATCAGTATGATTGCAGTGCCTTTCTCTGTCTTTATGCACATTCCATTCAATAATCAGAAATCAATCAATCGTTGCAAGAAAAAGGATAAATGCCACGTTTGTGTAACACACAAATCGGGTTTTGTTTCAAGACTTTTACCTGATTTAATTAAGTTATCCAACATTATCTCTTTTAAATAATTAATTATAGAAATCAACCTTTATCTGATGAATTTTAAAGCTTAGCATTTCATGGAATAGACATGTTACATAAGCAACCTTCGATTTTTAGCAAATTAATCTCTTCAATTTTACGCAACTTCAAGTTCTTTTGAATTCGTAGTTCATGTACATCGGCTATTTTTACCTATTGGTATGGCTGTTGTGATTTCTACGCTGCTTTTCTTGTTTTTGCCCTGTATTTGTTGTGCCCGTTTCCCTCGATGATATTCGACCTGTAGCATGTTTTTAATGGCTTAACCTTGGTCGACGCTGCCATAATTATGTACGTGTATGCCGCGTCTATGTAGGCTTACTAGACACAATGTTCATGTTTTGTCAGTTATTGTTATCATGTATACTGCAAATACAAGAGGGTCAGGGTTGAAAGCTGAGGTAATTTCCCCGATGAGAAATGCCGTCTTTGCAAATAAACGAGGCTATAAATACACTCCTTTAGAACTGAGTGGTGCAATGATTCGTGGTATTGTTTCTGACAAAAAATATATTCTGAGCGAATCAAGCAATTTATTCAGGGAGTTAGAATTTCTAACTCCCTGAATAAATTGCTTGATTCGCTCAGAATATTTCTAATAGAAATGAAGAGGATCATTACATTGTACTGAGCTTTACAGGAATTGTTGGCTTTCTAAAACTACATGTACTGGAATTCTGGAAAGCAACTTTTGTACGCGGTATGTATTTCATAAAAAAGTTTGTCAGAATGTATCGGAAAGAGTGAGCAACTTTTTCATGATGATTGAAACAAATCTCTTGTCTTTCGAATTTCAAGTTTACTTTGGAGTTCGAAATCGCAGGATAAGTCTTCACAACGTTTGTATACAGTCATAGGTCGAGTCATGTTGTTACTGAAAGTTTATCATTTCACCGAATAATAATTCCCATTTTAACAGCCTACATGAAAACCTCACTGGATCATGCATGACTCTAAATTACAGTGAACATGGCCGCTGACGTGCTACACTCCTTCATAATAAATAGCAATTGGTAGACTGGTTCCCGTCCCCTAAAAATGTGGGGACCGGTACCTAGAGGGAAAATACAACATTTGCAAACATCAAAAAATAAAACCACCAAATCATTTTGAAATACCTTGCTGGACTGTTAGTGAATGACAGTGTAAAGCATCCTGTAAAATCATGGCACCTGGTATACTGTCATTTTCAAGAAAAGTGGTATTTTTGTATCAATTTCCAACGCTGATCGGCCGACCAGCGTTGGAAAAAACTGGCTTTTTTTCAAATACTGGCCCCAGTTGACCATCGCACTTGTTTGCAATCGATTACACACCTATGAACGGGTACAAGCCAGCTAGACTGGTTCTCTGACCTTACGATTCCCCAATGTATGTACACTGCTCTGTTTCTTCTTAAATGGAGTCAGGGAACCAGACTACAAGAAAATGATTGTTTTTCTTGGTTTTTATAGCATTTTCGAACCCAAAACCTCAAAAAAGTCAGTGTAACTATATTTGCTAAATATTTCCAACCCCCCAATTCCATCCATTTCTGAAAATTACAGCAAAAGCAAATGAAGTATATTCCCTTTAAAGCCATTTATTGGACTACCTCTACGCGCACAGCATGATTGTTCATTTTTGAATCACTTTCAGCTTTGTGCATGACTCTTGTCTTACCACAAACAGTAACTCAACTGAACTTTATTCCATCTTTACGCAAAATCGCCAGTGTCTCCACGAAGGCCACTTTCAAGCACTTAACTGCAGATAGGTTTCAAATACTACAATGTCCCTCTCTATATTGATAGTAGCTATAGAGACAAATTGGAAGTCAGCGAAAATCGAAGCATATTACCACATGTCAGAAATTCCACATTCGTGGACTATTGCCATTTTGCAATAGGCTGGTTCCGCGTAAACATTACCGTTGTGATTTGGTATACAGGTGGCGGGATTCAGACCTATACACATCGTGCATATAATTTGCATACATTATTTCGTGTAATGTAATCCATGTATGAATCACCGCCAGCTATCGGACCCCATATTTTAAGTCCAAAGGACAACGGGTTCAGGGAACCAGACTTCCCCTATGAGGTTGGGTATACTTCCGCGTTGATAATGATATTCCCATATCTGATGCGGGATTTTCCAAAGACGACGCAGTTTTTGATCATAATAATATCGTCGTACTGAAAACGAAAGTGACGCAAGATGAGAGCAAGCTATCATTCGGCCACTATATAACAGGTGAGTAAAAGTATTATTTTGTTCAACTCTGTATTGATTTTGAAATTATTTCGCTCAATTATTGACACTGCGCAGCTTGGATCAATGTAGAGGCTTTTACTGTTTTAAAAAAAAATCCAGAGTTTGTATTGTCAGCCCAGACCAACCTCGTTCCCAGGGTGTCAAGCAGTGCGCTCCCACCACTACCTGCAATTGGAACGAGGTTGAAAATAGTAAGCTCTTGGGACGAGGTTGTACCCGGAAATCATTAATAATGCAGTCAGACGGAGGGAGTACTAATTATCTCAACATACCGTCATCACACGATAGTTCGTCAAAACACTGTCAACACCTCCAAAAAAACATTATAAATTGACAAAATAGGCAGAACTGTAAGGCATAAACTATAAGATAATTTCCATCGGTTTTAGGTTTAATTTCGTTCATGAAAACGGACAGTTTTTTTTTCACGCGAAAATTTTTTTCAAAGCAGTGCGGTGTACCGCCATCTTGCTTTGCACGGTGCCTGAACTATGCCATGGGTGTGAGCACGTAATTGTGCATGCCGGATTCACACAATTGGTGCCCTCTGTTGGTTTATTTTGTAATTTTATCACCCCTTCAGCATAATGGTTTCGTCCTCACTGCCCGCTGAGGCAACATGGCTGCCTTTTTTCAGAGCTGGACGGAGAGACACATTTTCTTGAACAAAACACTGCAATTTTCAGACGCTTAACCTCCTGGTTTTTCTTTTAAGCCAAAATATCGTTTTGGTCCTTACTTTACGGTTTAGTATCACATAATGTTGTCAATTTGGAATGTGTTTAGAGGTACGGTGAAGATAACGGTGACGGTGTGTATGTTGACAGTAATAAGTATATGATCGGGCGGAGGGGGTTCCCCCAGTGAGAAATCCGATGACTGTGCAATATAATATTATTATGTGCCAGAATTATTGTTTGCTTGAGTGTATAACCAAGTAGAAAAATGAACATGTTTTTCCACATGATTGTTTCAAGTGCGGTTACTAACAAAGGCTGATCCTGCATGGTTAACGCTTTTCTTACGAGGAGTATTGCCAACCAGAGCAGTTGAACACTCCAGCAAGGTTCAACTCACTCTATTCCTATTCGCGTTTTGCTTTTGCAGGACATGGATCTTCCCGTGCCAAACGCTCAGGCTGTTTCGGATTATTTTCGTCGCATCCTGACAGCTATCCTCGAAGAACTTGTAGATAAGGTTCCAAATCATGGATACATATCCAATACTGAAATTGTCAAGCAGTCCTTGAGAAGCATCTCCAATTTGTACAAAAGCGGACTCCGGTTTGCCAATTCAGGTTTGCGTTCTGACTGGAATGACCCGGCCAACCGCTGTGCTTACGTGTTTCTTTACCTGATGCACCATTGCTATCTCGTGTATGGCTCGCTTCAGTACTCGGATGAGGTCATAAGAAGTTGGCGCAACAGGAGCAGTTTGAAGGTTTGTAGCATTGGAGGCGGGCCTGGGTCAGACCTGGTTGGCTTGACAACCTTCCTCCGGATGCACGGCATCTTCCCGCGTTCTTTGGAATGCCTTGTCTTTGATCTGTACCCCAACTGGAAAGACACTTGGGACACGATATACACCCACCTACAAGATACCTTTAGTGTAACTTACCACATGTGTGATCTGGTCAAAGACACACTCGGACTCCACATTCGAGATCTGCAGTTCATCAAACAGGCAGATATCCTCACACTGTCTAAATCTTTCTCAGCAGTGTCTGCTTTCTTCCGAGCCGACTCCTCCAAAGGCGCTTTCCTTCGGGATGTTCTCCAGCAGACCAAACCGGGCTGCCTCGTTCTGTACATCGACAATGAATACAGCGGTTGTACTCAGTTTCAGCGGGACTTCGCATCCCGAGCCGGTATGGATTTAGTATTTGAATTCCGCGGCAAGCCCACTTCCCCAAAGGGGGCATATTCAGATATCATCCAAAAGTACAATAATCTGTTCGAGTTCACTCCGATGCGCTCCTGCAACGTGACTATCCAGTTATTCCGAAAGAAGGGAGCGGCTCCGTCTGGTCCCCACTCGGCTGTTCCCCAAGGATTCCCCGTGGGGATTTTTTCAAGTTCCTCTCGGAGCACACCCTACCATGATGTGATTTCCAGCTACGGCGGTTTCCACGGAACCGCAATGAGAAACACCGTAACGCCACAGGCAACATCCCCGCAATTGTCATCGGGCATTCCGCTGGCTGCAAGCAATGTCTACCCAGCATACTCCACCTATAACCAACCATACCCCTTCGACCATACCACGACCGTGGAAAGACCCTCATTAGAAAGCTACAGAACACAGACAACCCCACAGACAACCCCACAGACAACATCTCGTCTCACGAACACTACCCCTGGCTGTTATGGTCAAGTCGTTCCACAAGGACCCCCCGTGGGGATTATCTCAAGTTCCTCTCGGAGTCAGAGCACACCCCACCATGATGTGATTTCCAGCTTCAACAGCGTCCACGAAATGGCCATAAGGAACACCGTAACGCCACGAGCAACATCCCAGCAATACTCCGCATCGGGCATTTCGCGGGCTGCAGGCAATACCTACCCATCACATTCCCCGCAATACTCATCGGGCATCACCCGGGCTGCAGGCAATACCTACCCAGAAACTGCTGCCAGAAACCGACCATATTCCTCCCACCAATTGAGGACTAACACCGTGGCTAGCCAAGGTAAAATAAAAAATATTCTGTCTTTAGTGCATATTATTCCTTGTCGTGAAGACTACTGTGATCACTCATAGTAGGCCATGGTGTGCTTTTGTGAGTTTAATTCTAAATAGCAGCATTTTTAATTTTGTTATTAGTGCTACTTCAGTGTATTAACAAGTGTTATTAGGGGCCTACTCCTGTTGCTTGCCTCCTGGGTTGTTGTACTTAATTTTAAACCCTTTTGGACATTTGCACTACATTATGAGTATGAATTAAAAAATTGTGCATTTCACCTGTCAAATCTCACCCCATGAGACGTTTGATTTTGTTGATCATCATGTCAGATGAACAGTTTAGAAGAATTTGGGTACTACTAGTCATATGCCTGGATTGAATTAGTAAAATGGAAGAACGATTTGGCCATTAAGGATTTCCCAATAAATTCTGGACAGGCCTATGAGGAGAAAATGGAAAACTGTATCACAGTTTTTTCTCACAAATTATCAGTCAGCTAGGAAAATTATTATCATTATATTATTATTATTATTATATTAAGATAACACACTAACATGTATAATACGTAAAATTAACGTCAACGTTAAAGTTAGCATTTAAAAAAAATGGTAAACATGACAGTGCAAATGGCAAAAGAACATCTGGTCTCTACCATTTACATAATAAACCACTCTAAACCATACTATACAGGTTGATTTGGCCAGGGTTACTGATAATGTAATAGACTGATGGATAGGACTATTTTTAAAACGATGAGTGTCTGTCCGTAGGGTGGCATGTTATTATTCCGTATAGATTTCGACCATGACTTTCAAACATGGAAGGAGGAAATTATGACTCAGTGCGAGGGTTGCATTGAATGTTTTGGCAAAGCTACGGCAACGATCTTCCCTGATTCAAAATACTGTATCATTCAAGATTAATATCAACTTCCTTTTCCGCCTAACAAATTAACGGTTTTTTTTCGCACGCAGATGTAGACGAATTTGATGACGAGGTGCTTGAGAACGTTGCCAACCTGCTCGACCAAGCCTGGCCGACAGTCGCGACTTATCTGAGTTTTGATGACGATGAGTGCCAGGCTATTATTGAGGCTCACCCAGGCCGCATCAAGCAGCAGGCCCTTCAGATGCTCACTGCATGGAGGGCGGGCTACGCTGGACCAGACATCTTGGCTGAACTGAAGGGGGCACTCAGGGCAGTGGGACTACACACACTACTTCCTGAGCTCGGTAGGTTTAACCGTCATTTGAAAACTTCTTGTTTATACCTTCTTGAATTATTGGATTCATCTTTAGCACCATTGCTCATGCCCACAGTGATGCAGGCTGATTCACTTGCTGCACAGAATGTCGTACGAAAACGCAGAGGGTTATCAGAGAGTCGATCTACTTGATTCAACCACAGAGCAAGGAACAGATCTATAATTCAACTGCGTCCTGATAGGGGGAAATATTTCAAGGATCACCATGGAAAGCAGCATAACACGGACAACGACATTTTTTTTTTACAGACACAGCATCGAAATGTGTGTCATCACTGTCAGTCTACAAACAACTCATGTGTAGAATTCCCCGTAAAAACAAACAAACAAATTGCATGCACAAACCCTCCTCGTCGACCGCACTTACATATAATCACTGCTCATACAATTTGTACACAATTTGTGAATAAACAGGTGGGAAAATTCTGGAAAATCCAACACTCCAGAAAGTAGCAGAGAGTGTCGGCAACAAGTGGAGGAACTTAGCGCACTATCTTTCGTTTGACGTCGAGCAGTGTCGAAATATCCAAGCAGCATTCGCCACGACCAGGGAGCAAGCAGGTCAGATGATTGCGGCATGGAGGCAGAGCTTTACCGGTGATAATCCAGTACAGTTCTTGGCTACAGCGCTCATCGCTATAGGGCATGACGATCTTGCCAGAGAGCTTGGTAAGAATCACATATTACCTTTAAATTGGATTTGGAAATGTTAATTCTTTGGGTATGGACTTGGAAACCAATAGGCAAATTCCTATAGACGAGGTGTCCACTATATATGTAGCCAATTAATTTGTATACAATTTGTATAATTTGTGATAAAACAGGTGAGGAAATACTGGAAAGTCCAACACTCCAGAAAGTGGCGAGGAGCGTCGACAACAAGTGGCTAAGGTTAGCGCAGCATCTTTCGTTTGACGTCGAGCAGTGTCGAGATATCCAAGCAGCGTTCTCCACGACCAGGGAGCAAGCAGGTCAGATGATTGCGGCATGGAGGCAGAGCTTTACCGGTGATAATCCGGTACAATACTTGGCATTAGCGCTCATCGCTATAGGGCGTGACGATCTTGCCAGGGAGCTTGGTAGGAACAACACATTTCCTCCCAAAAAAGCCCCCTCTACTGCCGCATTCATGCCCCTAGAATGAGACCCCTGGCTACGCCTCTGCCCACCATACCGCGACTGTATGGGTCTTCATTAGGGAGCAACAGAACACCGAACCCCAGCTGACTCCAGCCACATCAATATCTCTGTGATCTAAGTATAAAGTAAGTAAGTAAGATCTCCCATCAACCCAAACGAACGGATCAACCACCCAAGCCAAGCAATTCAGCACGCGTCCCTGAGCCGATCAAGCAAACACCTCACCGTACCGACAAGCATCTCGTGTCTCAAAGACTAACCCTAACAGTTATCGGTCAAGAGACGAAAGAGTAAAGACAACATCAGGACGATGAAGATGAAACCACATCATCCAGAAACTGCTGCCCACAGGCATGCACAATTATGTCAGCCCCTACATTAGTATAGAGGTCGTCTGTATTAATTTTTTGAATAAATATTTTCACGGACTTGATTCATGTCTGTAGACCTTCTATATCGGGAGTCTTGGATTATATACGTTTTTAAAAGAATAAATACATTTTAAACCTAAAGCAGCCGGGTTATTATTGACAATCTCACAGCCAGGGGGCGGGTTCCGCCCCCGCCCCCCCCCCAGATCTCGGCCATAGAGTGACGAGAAATTACGAAACTCGGTGCATTTATAGAACAACTTAATATGAACATACCCAAGAAATTTCATGACTAGAGTTTAAAACCTGTCTCGCCCTGAAAAGCAATTTATTGTGTGTTTTGACTGTTTGGAACAACAACGAAAATGACACAGAATACATGTTTCAGAAAATGTCACCAAATGTAGTACACAATATTTTGATTAACAACCCTGGTTAGGCAAACAATGTGATTTATAAAATCTACTTTTTAAAATATATATATAGGACTTTGTTGCATATTGGTAACGTTTAAACTAAGATTTCATCGCTGGCGATGTTTGAAGACAATTGTGACGACGATTGTTGAAATCGCATTTTTTGGACGAGACCGGTTTTAGGGTCATTGTGTTTAAATGGTGATATTCGTTGTAGGATCGACAGTTTTCAGTAATTCTGTAATCTAAAAGTAGCTTATGAAATTGGCTTTCCAGTCATTTATTTTTGGTGCTATATATTTTTTTAAATATGAAATATAATTTTTTTTGAGTTCCACTTTTTTTAACTCACCCTGTACATAGTATTACTACTGGGGAAATTCGGCGCCGAAAATTCTTTCCCTGCGCGGTAATCCATGGTCGGAATTTTATGTTTTGGAATCAAAAGATGCGCAAGACTCGATGCTAAAAAGTCAGGAAAGCTCGCGTTGGGGAAAAAAGTTTTTTTTGCAAGGGTATCGCGGAAGAAGTGGAGGGGGGGGGGGGAAGGCGGATTTCGCCCCGGCCCTTTTAGGGTTAAAATGTATACGGGGTAATATCCACCGTTTGTTCAGAGGTCAATTATTTAAAGTTATTTGGTGCAGAGTTTGTGGGGGAGTGTGGCCTAGTGGTTAGGGTTCGGGTTCGTGACTCATGACCAAAGGGTTATGGGTTCGAATCCAGCCGCAGGTCATGTTTTGTGTTCCTGGGCAAGACACTTCATCCCCACTTGCCTCTCTTCACCCAGGAGTATAAATGGGAACCGGCATTAGCCGGGGAGTAACCTGCGATGGACTAGCATCCCATCCAGGTGGAATAGAAATATTCTTAGTCGTTTCATGCTACTGAAACTGGAGATAAACAGCGGCCTGATGGGCCACATTGGCTCGTGACAGACTTTACTTAGTTTTACTACTACAATTTGTACAGTACACTGAAAAAAATTGCCTGGGTTAATTTTACGCAAGAAAGGGTGAAAACTGCAACTACCCAAAGTTGGGTTGTTCTATAACCAATTGTTTTGGTTGGAATTTCTGTTAACATCAACCAAAACTTGTGGTCATACAAGTCAAAATTTAATTTGGTCTTGTATGACTACAACTTTTGGTTGAATTTAACAGAAAATACAACCCAAACAATTGGTTATAGAACAACCCAACTTTGGGTAGTTGCAGTTTTCACCCTTTCTTGGGTAAAATTAACCCAGGCAATTTTTCAGTGTACGTGCACTTTATTTTGGATGATTCAATCTGTTTTTGTGAACGAAGATGATTCAGGAATCAGCAATTTTATTTGGATTTGTAGAATTTTCATTGTCGCTGTAAATATGAAGTTGTAAACAATTGTATGTGTTTTATTGTTACTGTACAGGATCAATATTGTTGATTGCTGAGCTTTTCTCAATATAATATGTACATGTCATTCAGTAATCAGAAATCAATCAATCGTTGTATAGAAAAGAATATAATGTCACTTTTGTGTACCACAAATTGTTTTTTTCTTCAAGACTTTTAATACTCAGATTCAAGTAATCCAATATTATGTATATTGTAATAATTAATTACAGAAACCAACCTTAACCTGTTGAATTTTAAAACGCAGCATTTTCGTGGAATAGCCAGTATATAAGCAATCTTGGATTTTTAGCAAATTAATCTCTAATTTTACATAACTTTCTTATGAATTCGAAATTCCTGTGCATCGGCTATATATTGCCACCTATAACTGTTGTATCTACGCTGCTTTTTTTCCCGTTCATATTTTTTTGCCCTTTTTCCTCGATATTATTTGACCTGTGTATTGTATGGCTTTAACCTATGTCGACGCGGCTATAATTATGTACGTGTACGCCCCGTCTGCGTAGGCATTGTGAATTCATGCATGTCAATTATTGTTAATGTTATCAAACATACTGCAAATACACGAGGGTCAGAGTTGAAATTTCTGCTGATGTAATGTTCCCAATGAGAAATAATGTCTTTGTAAATAAACGAGGCTATATAAAGATTCACCTTTAGAACTGAGTTGTACAATAACAACATTCATTCGTGGTATTGTTTCTGACAAAAACATACATTCTGAGCGAGTTAAGTGCATGTATAAGTGCATAAACACACCGGCACGTTTATTCAGGGCATTGGAAATAATATTGAAGCGCATCGTCATGTACCTGAGCTTTACAGGAAATTTTGGCTTTATAAAACTACATGTACTGGAAAGCAACTATTGTACGCGGTATTTGTATTTCGTAATAAAGTTTGTCAGGATTTATCGGAAAGACTGAGCTCTTTTCAGGTGATCATTGAACAAATCTCTTGTCTTTCGAACTTCATTGTCTTTGGGGTTTGAAATCGCTGGATAAATCGTCACAACATTGTATATGTAGGTCTAAGTCGAGTCATGCTGTTACTGGAAGTTCAAATTTCACAGATAACAATGGCACCTTGGAAGCGCTTTGCGACTGCCGAGGATGAACCCTCCGAATTCTTATACTGACACAGCTCCCATAAAACTCTACATGAAAACATCACTGGAACATGACTTAAACCCCCCCCCCCATCTTCCTTTTTCCAAACCTTCAATTCATTGGCCACAAAATGCTCCTTTAGCAAAGACATTGAGTGCATACAAATTGGTATTTGGCCCGCGTATAGGTAATTCTGGGCCTATTTATTGAGTCTGCATCCTTTAATCTCCAAGTCGAAGCACACAACTTTAAAGTTGCTGTGCTTATCAGACTCGTTATTGATGTGACATAATACAGCAGCGTCCCTACATACCAAACATGTAGGAGCGGACTGGTCCATTCCCAACCGAGCCACAGAATTAGGGTACAGGGTTCATTCTTGGATTTTGTTCCATATGCCTGAGTGTTGACACAGATCTCTTTTTCAAACTTCTGGATGTTGTTTCCCGCCCGCGGCTCCCAAGAAATCGACTCCGTTTGAGATTGCGTGTACTTCCGCGTCCGGGTATTCCCGTTTCTGCAGATGTGGGATTTTCCAAAGACGACGCAAGAATGTTTTTCTCATAATAGACGCAAGAATGTTTTTCTCATAATATCGTGGAACTGAAAAGACAGTGGCGCAAGACGAGGACAAGCTTCTGTCATTCGGCTACTTTTATAATTATATAGGTGAGTAAATTTGAAGAATTGTTGTTTAAATCTGTACTGATTTTGAAATTACGCTTGACACTGCGCAGCTCGGGGCTTATTGAATATCTTCACAAACGTTGCTTATAATAATTTATTATAATGCGGTACGGCAGAAGGAGTTCCCCGACTGGCATGAGTGATGTAGCGGCAGTATCACACCCGGAGGAAGGTACACTTATGATAATTTATACTGACATCACCATTTCGCTGCATATGTCATAATGGCCTCACTGGAGAACATGTGTTATGCATAATGTATGCGCTGCACGTGCATGGTTCAGTATGATTCAGAGAGGCAAGTGCACCGGTGACATACAGTGTACCTCTTCAAGGCCGGCTATACTGAGCTATATACACCTAGGGAAATGCTTTCCTTTTTTTGTGGCGATCGAGGTACTGGCTCAGGTATTATGATTCACAGATGCCACATGAACGCTACTGAAAACTTCATGTGAACAGAATGGATCGTTTAAAGATGGTACATTATACACAACATGACTAAATTACAGCGGCTCATTCAATTTGTTATTCAAAATAAAATATGATACTCTGATTGAAACGGAATCGAAGGATGCTAATTTTACAACAAAAAACTTCTCCAATTCCCTACCAATTAAATCATTGTTTAGTGTGTTTCACTAAACCCCTTATTCAGTTCATCCCAGCATTTCGTGAGCCGAACTAAATCTGTTGTCCGTCGGAAGCGTTTCTCGTAGTGCATGTATTTATAAACAATAAACATATATTTTCAGTTAGTGAGCTGAGGCCCTGTTGGGGTGGGGTTAGGGTTTTTGTTTATGCACAGATCCCTTCGACCATATTAAATTATACTCGTATACACTTATTCTGGAACTATGAAAACGGGTAATGTAAGAAAGAAGAAAGAGTATAGGCCTATAGGTTTCTGTCATCTGCACACCCCGTGTATTTCATGAAAGTTTATACATCTTGAACTACTGTCAAACTACTAGCCTGACTCCCCCGGGCACTCCCTGGAAGGTACCATTCCCAACTATGATGCCTGTGCCGCCCGCAATCCGCTTCCAAGGCCCAAACACACACATTAACTGCACGCCTCCAGTCCCAGATCCTGCCAGTTGCACTATCTGCTAATTCATGTTAGTGACGTCGTGGGACCTTCTTCCCAACCTAGTGACGTAGGCATAAAGTATCATAAGTGTCCCTTCCTCGGGTTGTGATACTGCCGCTACCATGTGAAATGTGTGTGGGATCAACCTTTGAACTTTTTTTAACGACTCTTGCAACAAAGGCTGTACATGTTCACAGGCAATAGAAAATCGTGTGTACTTCTCATTTCAGAATACTTCTCATGCAAACAATTCCAGCAGTTAACCTCTTTTTACCGATGACGAGGAGTATAACCAGAACAGCAGTTGAACATTGTATCTGAAGGTTCAACTCACTTTGTTCTTATTCGCGTTTTGCTTTTGCAGGACATGGATCTTCCCGTGCCAAACGCTCAGCCTGTTTCGGATTATTTTCGTCGCATCCTGACAGATATCCTCGAAGAACTTGTAGATAAGGTTCCTGGTAGATACCCATCCAATACTGAAATTGTCAAGCAGTCGTTGAGGGGTATCTCCAATTTGTACAAAAACGGACTCCGGTTTCCAAATTCAAATTTGCGTTCTGACTGGGATGATCCGGCCAACCGCTGTGCTTACGTGTTTCTTTACTTGATGCACCATTGCTATCTCGTGTACGGCTCGCTTCAGTACTCGGATGAGGTCTCAAGAAGTTGGCGCAACAGGAGCAGTTTGAAGGTTTGCAGCATCGGAGGCGGGCCTGGGTCGGACCTGGTTGGCTTGACAACCTTCCTCCGTGTGCACCGCATCTTCCCACCTTCCTTGGAATGCCTTGTCTTGGATCTGTTCCCCAACTGGAAAGACACTTGGGACACGATATACGCCCACCAATTGGACTCCTTTACTGTAACTTACAGCAGTTGTGATCTGGTCAAAGACAAAGGAATCCACACCCGTGATCTGCAGTTCATCAAGCAGGCTGATATCATCACACTGTCTAAATCTTTCTCAGCAGTGTCTGCTTTCTACCGAGCCGACCGCGCCAAAGGCATTTTCCTTCGGAATGTTCTCCAGCACGCCAAACCAGGCTGCTTCGTTCTGTACATCGACAATGACTGCGGCGGTAGTACTCAGTTTGAGAGGGACTTCGCATCCCGAACCGGTATGGATTTAGTATTTGAATTCCGCGGCACGCCCACTTTTCCAAAGGGGGCATATTCATATACCATCCGAAAGTACCACAATCTGTTCGACTTCAGTCCGATGCGCTCTTGCGACGTGACTATCCAGTTATTCCGAAAGAAGGGAGCAGTTCAGTCTGGTCAAGCCGTCAGAATCGAGAGCAATTCAACCGGCCAAATGAGAGCCAATAGTTCCATCAAGCAGGCTGCCGTTCCCCAAGGACCCCCCGTGGGGGTTATCTTAAGTGCCTCTCGGAGTACACCCCACCACGATGTGATTCCCAGCTACAACACCTTCCCTGGGATCTCCCACCACCCCAAGCGAACCAATCCACGACCCAAGCGAAAAACTGCCACCACAAGTTGCTGCCCGCAGGCATGCACAATATTGTAAGCCTCTCGAGTAGAGTATTAATCTGTATTCATTTTTTGAATGAAAGTTTTCATGGACTTGGTTCATGCCTGTCGACCTTCTAAATTTATTTGGAGTCAATATAATACGCTTTTAATAGAATTCAGAAATTGTAAAAACGTATACGTGGCTACATCCATTGTTTGTTGACACTTCAATTATTGAAAGTTATGCACTTATTGTACAGTGTAGGTGCATTTCATTTTGAATATATACATCTTCATTAATTATTTAATCTGAGTTTTTTTCTGATTCAGGACTCAGCAATCCTAATTGTATACTTGTACAATTTTAGTAAGCCAATTCACCATTCTGCTTGCCGACCAGTTTTGAGAGATAAACAAAGCAGAGGAATCCACATATTCGTCTGTTTTGGGGAACGTGGTAAACCGAATCGGCATTCTGGATTTTTTTATCTAATCCAAAGAAGATGGAAACTTTTGTTCGAATAAAATAGCAGCATACAAAACATCTTAAAGCATGGTGCCATCAAAAATTGAAAATTTAATAAAATCTGACATTCACTTCAAAACAAGAACTTTTCTTCGATTTTGTTGGTACCCTGCTATATGATATTGCACACGTGTGGTGAACTGGTGAACTCCCAAAATAATATATCAACTGCACACGCGCAGTTGAAATTGTGAAAAGGAGTACTGTCGCTGTAAAAATTAAAGTTTTTAAAATTGTATGTGTTTCATTGTTACAGTAGAGGATCAGTATTATTGATTGCATTGCTTTTTCTCAATCTTTATGTGCATATCATTCAATAATCAGAAATCAATCAATCGTTGTAAAAAAAGGATGTAAGGCCAATTTGTGGGCCTACAGAAAAAAGGATTTGTGTAACAAGACTTTTACCTTAATTAAGAGTTTTCAAACATCTCATGTAAGGCCGTGTTGGAATTACTAGGATACGGATTGAAATTACACACGTGTCTGTGGTAGTGGCTGCAGCCGCTTCTCATAGATTTGGATGTAATTTCAAGCCATAGGCTAGTAATTCGAACACGGCCTAAATAATTGATTAAAAAAACCAACCTCGATGAATTATTATATGCAGCATTTTAATGCAATAGACAGTTTATCCTATGCATCTGCTATTTTAACCTGTTGGGGTGGCTGTTTGTAGCCCAGCATACCGCACTACGGAGGGAGTCCAGGACATAAAGTGCTGAAAACAGGGCGAAAAAAATTATAACAAACATTTTAAATATTTGTTTTCCTTGTAGAAGAAACCAATTTCACGTCTATGTACTCCCTACCATACACAATGATAGACGACATAATCAAGGAGCAAATGTTTGGGTTCACAAATTCAACAGAAATTCCCTAAACTGAACAGTGTCTTCCTAAAATGACATAACAGCAACAGCGCCCTCAGTTATCAAGAAAAGCACGGAATTAAAACAAATGTTTAAAGAAGTACGCTTTTCCATAACATTAACCACAAAGGATGTCAAATACATTTGAGAAGACTAGGAATTTGCACAAAGTTATGTTCCTTTCGTTTGTAAATTCATGCCAAAATCTCTTTAAAAAGTAATATGTAATCGTGGCTTTTTAAAGTATTTTATCATGTGATTTGTTTTCGTTTGAGTTTTACTCATCTATGTGTCCATTGTGCAATTGTAATGCATTTTTATGATCAAATATTTTGTGATAATTATTTGAAAATTGAATATTAAGTTTAGTCAGGACAGTCGTGGCCGACAAAGATTCTGTTCTTAGAAAAACTCTAACGACTAATTCAACAAGGATTTTCGCTTTGCAACTTATTCACCCCGGAGAAATTAAGCGATTACACAGATTAACCATATTTGGAGCTTTAATTTATTGTATTATAGGATCAAAATACTCGCATCAAGAGTTTGCAGAGAGCCACAAATCGACAAAAGAACGGTAAATCTGCAATGAAATGTAATTATGTGAAAATTAGAAAAATATATAAAAAAAAGGTCCTTAACAACTCTTTTTAAAGATATGATTTCTGATTTTTGATTTCATTTCTGATTGCACAAACGTATTTATACACTTAATTCAACATAGTAAAGCCTGTTTTAGCGGTGTTGTTTCATAGTTGTAATAGTTTTACAATATAGTTAAAATTTATGGTTGTTTAATAGTTCAGTCAGTAATATTCCTGCAAATAACCAGCATTTCTACAGGGTGACAAAAAAATGCAATCATGAAACGTTTGCCTGTTTTTTTCCCCAAAATTGTGACGTGTGAATGTTTATGTTTTGGGTATCAGATTAAAGCTGAGAGCTTTTTCTTTCAAATACTGAGAAAAAAAACGTGAAAACAGCACATCGGGATGCCGAGAAAATGCCAATTATGTAAAAGAAGTGATTTTTCATCCGTTCCCAAAGTGTTTCCGACAGTGAAACATGTTACTGTAAGGTCACTGTGCAATTGTTTTTCATTTGTGCAATTTCTGTAATATTTTGACATATTTATGATGCTTAAAAGGTTTAAAATAAGAGTGGATGGTTGCTAAAATACAGCTTAAAAAATACCCGAAATTGCACTTTGGAATATGACTAAATCATTGTAGGTGGTTCCTGCCTCGAAACGATACAATAAATAACAAATTTATCAATTACCAGAACCAGCACCCAAAATAATTATGTATGCACACACAAATATGTATTCAAAACACAGCCCACCCCCTCTAAAAAATGGATGCTTACTAAAGCACACCTTCAAAAAATCATTAGGCTCTGTAACTATTGATGGCGAGCAGGCATAGATGGACCAATTTATTTTGCATTTAAGACGCCAATTAAATAAGGAATAGCACTGTTTGTGTATCTGTTGGTCTTACATCTTACTCTAGAAATCTTTTGGCTGTATATCGCACCTGATCGCCCGCTGTTTAGGAAGCCAATCTTTGAAACTTGTTAAGCGAATGGGTGGATGGGAATCTACTTGCGCTGGCTGAATCGAACCTCAGTCCTGGTTTACATGAGGATGAAGATTGTATGGTCCTTTAATAGTGTCGGACCAGAGTAGGTTGAGCATTTCTTCCATGTACATTACAGTTTTTAACTATCGCGTCATTTTCGAAGACGAATACTTAGGCCAAAAGCTTTTTTAAATAAAGATTTGAACCACTTACCACTAAAAATATATAACCCATGAGAGCCAGTGTTGTAACTGTAAAGTGATGTTTAACATAGAATTATGTCCTCATACTTGAGTAAATCAAAATAACATGATTCATCGGTTTACTCGACACGGGTGCATGACGAGCCCAATAACTTACCGGTACACAAGCTTAGGGTAGAACAGTACGTAGCATAATACACCAATCCCCAAAACGGTCCCAAGGCCAGATTGGCATAAAATTAGATGTCAAAACTCATGACTCCTTTGTTCCTCTCTGTTATACAATAAAGCTGCCCATTCTGTTGAGACTACGATGGGGAAACAGATGCCATTCAAACATCAGAAATCAATCAATCGTTGTAGAAAAAAGGATATAAGGCCAATTTTGTGTACAAGAACTTGCTTTACAAGAATTTTATAACCAGATTTAAATTATCCAACATTATCTCATAATTATATTAAATGATTGATTATAACGATACCAACCTTAACCTGATGAATTTTAAACGGAATTTTAACAGCAGCATTTAACAAAAACATCATTTAAACGGAACAGACAGTTTAATAAGCAAAATTTAATTTTTAGCAAATCAATTTTACATACATGTAACTTTCATACGAGTTCGAAATTCCTGCGCATATATTTGATTCTCTTGGTATATGGCTGTTGTATTATCTACGATGCATTTATTGTCAACCCCCCCCCCCCGTATTTTGTTGTGCCCTTTTAATCTACATGCTATTCGACCTGTGCATTTTGTACGTTCATGCCACGTCTACAGGCTTACTATTAACAGACACAATGTTCGTGCTTTGTCAATAATTGTTATCAAACATATTGCAAATACAAGAGGGTCAGAGTTGAAAGCTGAGGTAATTTCCCCGATGAGAAATGCCGTTTTTGCAAATAAACGAGGCTATAAAGATACACCTTTAGAACTGAGTGGTGCAATAAATAGCATTCATTCGTGGTATTGTTCGTTTCAAAACTGAACATTCGGTGCGAAAATGCACATATCTTCAGGGGATAAATAACTGAAGTGAAAAATAACTGAAGTGCAATGTTACATGTACTGAACTGAACAGGAAATATATGTGTGGGCATTCTGGAAGCACAGGACCTACTGCGGAAAGCAAGCACGCGGTATCTGTATTCCATGATAAAGTCGGTAAGGATTTATCGGATAGAGTGAGCAATTTTTCAGGTGAGTTGAAAACATCTTTTGTCTCTCGAAGTTTGAAATCGCAGGATAAGTGGCCATCACATTTGTACATATAAAGGTCAAGTCATGTTATTTCTTATAAGTTTTTAAATTTCACTTCTTTTCACATTTTACTGTCAAGTCATGTTCTAATTTATCATTTCGCAGAACAATTATGGAACCTTGGAACCGCTTTGCGACTGCTGAAGAAGAACCCGCCGACTTCTATCGTCTTGTACTGACGAAGGTCTTAGATGATCTCATGGATCAGATTGGTGGTATATCACAGATTGAGGAGGTTAAGATAGCACTGAGAAAGATCTCCCAGATGTACAAAGGGGGACTTTCGATCGCTTCTAGCCAGTGTCGTTCCGACTGGAGTGACCCAGCAAACCGCTGCGCAAACGTCTTCCTTTACTTGATGCAGCACTGTCATCTAGTGTACTTCTCCCTTCAGTACACATCAAGGATCTTCAGCAGTTGGCGCAGCAGGAGTAACTTGAAGGTTTGCAGCATCGGAGGTGGACCTGGGTCAGACCTGGTTGGCTTGACAACCTTCCTCCGCACGCACGGCATATTCCCGCCTTCCTTGGAATGCCGTGTCTTGGACTTGTACCCCGACTGGAAAGACACTTGGGACACGATATACCAGTGTGTTCCTGAGTATTTTGGAGTAGCATACGAAAGATGCGACATTGTCAGAGATGCGGGCCTTACCACTCCTACTCGTCAATTCATCCGACAGGCTGACATGCTGACCTTGGTGAAGTTCTTCTCCGCAGTATCCGTTTTCTTCCGAGAAGACCCAGGGCGTGGCAATTTCCTTCGATCAATTCTCTGTGAAGTAAAGCAGGGCTGCTTCGTGCTGTACATTGACAACAAACATGATAGCGACACTCAGTTTGAGCGAGATTTTGCATCTCAAGTTGGACTGGTTAAGGTGTTCGA